CGGTCCTCGGTGCTCGGTGCATTTGCACTCGGTGCTCGGTGCATTTGCACTCGGTCCTCGGTGCTCGGTGCATTTGCACTCGGTGCTCGGTGCATTTGCACTCGGTCCTCGGTGCTCGGTGCATTTGCACTCGGTGCTCGGTGCATTTGCACTCGGTCCTCGGTGCTCGGTGCATTTGCACTCGGTGCTCGGTGCATTTGCACTCGGTCCTCGGTGCTCGGTGCATTTGCACTCGGTGCTCGGTGCATTTGCACTCGGTCCTCGGTGCATTTGCACTCGGTCCTCGGTGCATTTGCACTCGGTGCTTGGTGCATTTGCACTCGGTGCTCGGTGCATTTGTACTCTGTCTTCGGTGCATTTGCACTCGGTGCTCGTTGCTCGGTGCATTTGCACTCGGTGCTCGGTGCATTTGCACTCGGTCCTCGGTGCTCGGTGCATTTGCACTCGGTGCTCGGTGCATTTGCACTCGGTGCTCGGTGCATTTGCACTCGGTGCTCGGTGCATTTGCACTCGGTGCTCGGTGCATTTGCACTCGGTCCTCGGTGCTCGGTGCATTTGCACTCGGTGCTCGGTGCATTTGCACTCGGTGCTCGGTGCATTTGCACTCGGTGCTCGGTGCATTTGCACTCGGTGCTCGGTGCATTTGCACTCGGTGCTCGGTGCATTTGCACTCGGTCCTCGGTGCTCGGTGCATTTGCACTCGGTGCTCGGTGCATTTGCACTTGGTGCTCGGTGCATTTGCACTCGGTGTTCGGTGCATTTGCACTCGGTGCTCGGTGCATTTGCACTCGATGCATTGGCACTAGGTGCTCGGTGCACTTGCACTCGGTGCATTTGCACTCGGTGCTCGGTGCATTGGCACTCGGTGCTTGCTGCACTGGTACTCAATACTTGATACTTGGTGCATTGATACTTTGAATGTGGCCTGTAGAATCCATAATTTCAAACAGTTCCAAGATTGGGCTACCTAGTTCAAAAGTTACGGCCCTTTGAATTTTCTTTCGAAGTTGGTTTCTAGTAGGGAATGCAATCCCGCAGCAAACTCTCAATCCCGGTATTTGCGGCATTGTTAGATGTTAATCCCGCGGGACTTTAAATAAATTGGCAAATAAGCAATTCTGTGCGGTAAACTTCTGTATTAAAATAAATCGCTAATTATCCCAATATTTAACAAAAAAGTACCTTCGGCCTAACCGAGAACTCAAAAAACCTTACCTGTAAAGCACAAAAAGTCTTCTAAAGTGCCTCAAAAATCATAGTACATTTTTAACGAAAAAAGTTTAACAATTATTCAAAAAATAATTCGCCGTTATCAGTTTGATTAACAAAGTAAACAGAGTCGTCCCCTTGGTCGACAAATTCCTGTCCCGCAAATCCCGCGGGATCCCGCTCCATTTATGTGCGGGATTAATCTCGCAAGAATGCTGCGGGATCCCGGTATTTCGGGACTGTGGACATTCAATCTTACTCGACTTGCGGACCAACCGAAGGCAGTTCCATAGTCAAGCGCATGTCATTTCCAATTAATAATAGCATTACCAACATATTATTAACTATTAACTAAACAAATTAATTCTATGGATTTCAATCAAGACCATTTGAAGTTTGTTGCGGGGCTTTCTTTCGGCTAGCTAACATTTTCGAACAGAGGGGCCAGGTGCCAGAAAAACCATTCAAGAAAAATTGCCGAGGGGGAATGATTTTTCATTCGCATGCTCCGTTCCTCCTTTACATCGCATCAGCCGCAGGCACACCAAGGAGAGCCAGAGGGTTTACCCCTTTTATTTTGGTTCGAAAACCAATCACGCTGTTTTTCATCAAAAAGTATCAACAATGCCCCGTTAATGTTTTACGCCCCCACATACAGCAAACCGAAATCTACGATCCGCCGCACAAACCTAATCGTAATTAAATTCAAAGTCGCACTTTCAGCAAGTTAAATGTAAAATGCTACGGAGTAGAAAAGTTCCACTCGACTTCTACATTATATTTCAAATTATATCAACTCCCTGTACAGCCTATTTATTTCATGATAAATTTACAAAGAGACGCAAAAAGTACCTAGTCTCTTGACGCACGCACTCCCAACTACCTGTTCTAGTGCTCTACATAATAATAAACCCATAAAGAGCGTTTAAAAAAGCGGCAGGTACCTCGGTGTGACTCCACGGAGTCATTGGATTTGACCCATTTTCAATTGGCTTGTTACATGAGGCATATAAGTCTACTGTGCAAAGTTTGAACCAAATCGGTCCAAGCGTTTGACAGTGATCCTGTTCACGGACAGACGGACACCATCGACTCCCCTATAAAGCTTGCATCGCTTTGCTCTGCCGCTTAATAATACTGCGTCAACCATTATCTCGCGAGCTTGAAAACCATGACGCGAAATTACTTATGACGTCCTTGCGCAATTCGAATTGTTGAAAACGCGCGGTGAACAAATCCATTGGCGTAACTTGAGTTTTTCTCCATAAATGAAATAAATAAAAGCGGGAACGGTTCAAATTTAAAATTGTCAGATACTGTAACATTTTAGTTTTAAAGTTTTAAACAAGGGTTGCGACTTGGAGGTCACATACATGCTACAGGCAATAGGGTGCAGAAAATCGAGGCGTATGCTGAAATATGATGCATAGGAACACTTCCACTGTCAGCGACGTTTAATTGAGTTGAAACAATGATAAGGTCCAGTAGGATCGATGAGTTTAGACGTGATTCTAGTAGGCTCGTTAATTAATTGTTTTAGACCGACCTCATACAACATACTGGTGAATTTAATGCAATTCGAGTTATTATAATTTAAGAGATCTAAATTGAAATCTCCCACGCAATGAAGTAAAGGAATAAATGTGACTAAAGCTATGCTCATTTTGAATTTCATGCAATTCGGTTCATAACTAATGGAGATCCTTATTTTTTTACCTACATTGCCAATTCACGAACTCCGATCTGCACATGAGATAAAGAATTCACCTGCAAAATTTCATTGTAAAAATTAAAAATTATGAACTCGCTAGGAGCTCATTAATGAACAATGCTATAACATACGTATTAAAGTAAGTCACAATCCCGCGGTCGTGGTTTGTGGCTATTTCTTTTGGTTCGTGCAGTGCACCAAAGCTATGGTGGGGTTGGGTATTGATTTTTGATCAAAGATCAAGGAAGATGAAAAACTTGGTTTCGTGACAGTAGGTACACCTCATTCCGGGACGACAGTCCCGGAATATCCCAATCACCCTATAAATGAAATGAATAAATAAAGGTGTTAATTTGATGGACTTGTGAGGTTTAAGTTTTTTGCACGTAAGCTTAGATTTTGTGAGTGACGTTAAAGTTCCTTGTTAGTGAGGTTAGGTGTTCCTTCTCAGTTAAGCTAGCATTACACTTGTCAATTTCTTCATGAATTAATTCATGAAGTTACTTCATGAAGAAATTGTATAACGTAATACACCAACTTTGACATCCAATAAATTCACGAAGAACTTCGTGAATTTCTTCACGAAATTAAAACATGTTCTATTTTTCGCCAATTTTACCGTGAAGTTCAGTGCTACCAACCAAAAAATTTTTGTTTATATCAGAGAGAGTGAGGTTATGACTATATGTTTATGTTTACATTTTACCCGAAAAAATGTCTAATAAAAACGAGAAGAGTAGTTGTGGAAAGGTAAGCAAATAAATGATTACAAAACATTTTACAACTGTAACCTATTTTTTTGATTGGGATGGCACCACTGCTCCAATGAAAAACTTCACCAATTTATTCACAGATGTAAAAACCAAACACTGTCGTGAAGAAATTGACGACAATAAATTCGTGAATTAATTCATGAATAAATTGACAAGTGTAATGCTAGCTTTAGGTTTTGGTGTTTTTGTGGGCGGGCCCATGCGAAGAGGCGTGGCCAACCAACCTTGGAGGCGGAGCTTACTTCACCTCACTTAAACTAAGCTAACCTAACTATAGTGCGTTCGCACCTCCAGATGCAGACGGACTAATTGCCTCTCTTACTAGTTTGCGTTTCGATAATACTATCCTTGTTTCTAACCGCATTGATGTCAAATTGACATAATATGAAATTGAAGTATTAAAACAAAACATAATCTCCTTGTGCTGTCATTGTCACGTTTGGCAAGCATGTACTGTATGTCCATAAGCACCATACTGTATCTGGAGGTGCGAACGCGCTATAGCACTCTGATCTAACCTGAGTATTACCCTAAGCATATCTAACTTAACCTAACTACAATCCACATCTAACCTAACTCGCTCCCTAACCTAACAGAACTACAATGTACTTCTAACCTAACTAGCTCCTTAACCTAACCTAACTTAACCTCACGAATACCCCAACCTAACCTAACTCCCTCTCTAGCTTAACCTAGCTATAATCCTGGAACTTATTCTTATACATTTCGGCTTGTAAAATCCAAAACTGCAAATAGATTTTTCCAGGGCCTTTTCTGTCTGTCCAATTGTATACCATCCAATTTACAGGTCAGCATATATGTAACGACATTTTGCAGTTTTTGGTAGCATCGTAACAAATAACCAGCACCCTCTTATGGAAAGCTGGACAAATTTAATCGAAACTATTTTAAACACTCATTGCATCAAATCAAAGTAGTCGAACTATACACTTTACTCTTAAACAAAAGTCACAAAATTTCTAGCGATTAAGTAAACATTTTTTTACAGTTTAATTATAGGAAAATGTCTATGTTTAGAAAAATCAAAGTTAGGTGATGTTGTCGATTCCTTTTTGTGACCACCCGCTAGCAATTTCAAGACCACAAAATTTGTTTTACAAATTTTGAGTAATTCCACAACCTGCAAAATATATACCTACAATTTCAAAGTCGTGATGTAGGGTACACATACCTCGGGATCAAGCGGAGTTACAGTTTCCAGCAGTTGCCTGGCCTGATGAAAGTGCTTACAGCCGGCTATATACAAGTACATGCTGTCAATTGCTTGTTGACTACACCTTGCTGGCGAGGTCATATCCCTGAACTCCGAGTATTGCACTGGTGGTGGTGTTAGTAAACTTTGAAAGGGTGCAAATCTGTGTTCATATCGAACCTGCTCGCTATCAAATTGAGGGTGAGGCATGGTTAACTTTTCATCGATTCTAAACCCTATCAGAGCCTTGTAATAGCCACCGCACATATTCTGTAACGCTTGAAAAAATAGTATATCTCGATTGTAAGGTCTCGCTTTCTTCTTGTACTTGGGCTTGATTTTCTTATTCCCTTTCGTTTTACGTAGTTCACCTATTAGCTCTTGCTCAACCAAGAAACTATCGGCTCGTGTTAGTGCAGATACCAACCATCCATACAGGAACTCATACAGATACCTGAAAATAATTTTAATTACCTACCTAGAATGAGTATAGGGTCATCATCTGAACAAATTTGATGGATTGTAATGAATTAATTTTTACAATTTTAGACACACAGGAGTACAAGTTATCAAAGATCGCAGGAGAATTAAGACATGATATGCAAAGTATTAGTATGTAGGGTTTTCTTAAAATTTTAGTACTACAGATGTAAATATACCTACTCATCCCTAATAACATTCTGAGCATAAAAGGTTAAGTTTTTGAAACATGGAAACTGCAGTACTTTGAATGGTTGTTAAATTCAAACTTTTCCGATGTGCAGGATATATGTATGAGAAAAAAAATGGTCCATGCGCGTACACACCCCCTCATTGTTGGGTCTTGTCGTGGTTGTGGGGCTTGGAGGTGCAGAATTCCTGGGAAAAGGTAGGCAGCTGGTGTTTCTTCCACACAGTCATGAAGGATCAACCGCAAGGGACGCTGATACACCAGCAGCGAACTTGTTAGATCATAGAATAATTTCATTTGAAATTAACTGCAAGGGCGCTATCACAACCCCCAAGGTAACAGATATTCCAGTTTACAAAGATCTCCTTGGAGAAAAACCCTTTCGGGGAACGCCTCTTGGAGTCTACCGACATACACGACAAAGCAGATCTTCTTATCAACTCCATTGTGGAGTCATTTGAACAGGCATGTCCTTTGAGGACTGCCAAGACGCTCTATAACCATCCTTGGTGGGGCAGGGCGCTTGAGCGGGAGTTTTGAATTGCACAGTCGTTTCTCGGCTGCACTTGGGTTATTACACGTTAGTTAAGTTATGCTTCCGCTCCCTGGGAAATCTTAATCATTACTGTTTCCGTGTGTCTCTTTTAGATTATTCGCCAGTGGGCGTTCCCTGGAATCGCCGTTCTCTCCATCCGATTACCTGAAGCTTCTACAATCATTCCGAAAACCGCCGACCTTTGCTAGAAGCAGGGTTTCTCAATCTTCTGGTGGCGCTCGAGTCCCGCCGACTGTCGCCATTTATTTTGCAATTTCAAATTTACAAATAATTATAATTCTTTTGTCTTAATTAAATTATAACGTGTTTGAGCGCGGACTTTCCGGCAGAGTTCGTCGCATTATATTCCAAAAAAATCTGTACTTATATTTGTAACAATACCGGTGGATTTTAGTTTAGCTCTAATTCAGCAGGGGCTTATATCCAAAATGTCGAAGCCAATTTGTAACAAGTAGTACATTTACATCTGTGTGATATTAAATTATTTGTGAGAAAGAGAATAAATAAAATACAAAGAGGTATTCTTGCATGATTTACACCAACCAACTTCTCCATTTTAAAATAAAGAAATGTTTTCTCCATTGTTAAGGGGTATACTAACCAATAAATGTAATAATACTCGTGCACACTATACAACTCCAACTCAAATCCAGCCAGCAGATACATAATCATAATTCTCAAAGTGTGGTACAAGATCCATGTGCCGAAACAAGCCAAATGTGGTCTCGACCAAGTGCAACTGATTGAGATATTGTGCAAATAGGCGTCCACTCGTTCTGCCTATGTCAAAATAGATAGACCAAATTTAAAATCAAAAGCGCAAACAAACCTCATCCTGCAAACTGGTAAACTCCTCGAGCAAATGAGCCAACTTATCCCTTTGTCTGGCGCGATTGTGACCGCAAAGTTGTAGTAAATTCGCGAACGGTCTTGTGCAATGAGAAAAGAACGTGTCGACGTACATTTTGGCCTAAAATTTAATGGTAGAAATGTCCACCTGACCTGTGAGATCGAACGCACCTGCTGATTTGACACGATGGCCTTCGCCATCAATGCTGGAGGGGAAATAAACGATTTTGCGGCATCCTTTAGTAACTCTTTTAGAATATTTGGATTAGACGCGAGTACTGCACTATGGCTCCCCAAGTACAATAACTGTAAGGCCGAACGTGACAAAAGGCATGGACTGCTCTTGCTAAACTCGATGAAGAAATCCTGCATGTCGGATGTTTATTAAAATTTTAATCAAACCGACCACTCACCAAGGCTTGATGAAACGACGAAATGCCGTGAATTTTGCATACCGTCTTCAATCGTTCAATTATATCTTCAAAGTACACCAGTGCTTCTTCTTTCGGTTTAATCTTCGTGTAGCGAGGGAAGGTCGGAGGTAGCAGTCTTTGGTTTATAAGCGGTTCAAAACCTAATACCTGAGCGTGTTCTACTGAAAATGAAAAAAATTCCTAATCGTTCCATGTCAATAGAAAGAAGCTTACATATATTGCTTTGTTGTGCGTCCGATTGGACCGTTTTTTGCATTATCAGCAGCATATCTGTAGCAGTAACGAATAATCTTTGGCAATCTGTTATTGCTGGTTGGGGATCTTCTTTTCTTTGTAAAAGTAACGTGAGGGCCTGGTAAAACACTCTGACGAATTTTATTCTCGCATACAGTGCAACTGTCTCATCCATCTATAAATGAAAAACAATTTTTAAAAACTCGTGTGGAAGCAAATTTTAAAAACTTTGAGGAATACTACAAAATTTGAATTCGTAATTTGCGTATGCGCGACACATTTTTTGACAAGTGATTTGATCTGATTCGATAGGAAGCATTTTCCGATAAAATTTGAAAAGAATTGTACCACAAAAGTGTAAGTCTAAGCAAGCCTAATAGTATTCTTGCGTCCGCTGATGCAGTCATTTTTTTTTATTTGCGTTTAATTTATTTCCTTTACTGAACATTTCAGAAAAACCCAACCATAAATATTAATGTTGGATCTGCACATCGGCAATCCATTTGTTTTACAGGCGCACATAAATAATAACCGAAGACTAAAAAAATTCGTCAAATCTTGAAGAACCACCAAACATCACGCAAACATTCAAGATTGAAATTACAAAAATGCAGAAAATTTAAGAAATTTAAAAAATCTTTTGCAAAAATTGATATTTGAGTATTTTTTGAACAATGAGTTCGAAAGGCGCTGTAACACAAAATCGAATAATTAATTAAAAGTTGTATATTTATACAGTGTTCCATTTAAACAAATGAGATAACTTTTATTACCTGACCCCGTATACTTATTTTGAAAACAGCAGATTATTCAAAGATCATAAAGAAACTTTTGTAATATATTTTTCTGTATCTTTCGCAAGTAACAATTGACCATTTTTTGATTTTCCTGCTAATTTTTTAGGTGCGTGAAGCTGGCCGCGCTAAGCGTTTCACACTTTTTAAAAATATTGTAACGTGATTTATAAATTCGGGTTCGATTTATATCAATATTTATTAAACAAAACTAAAACACTAAAAACTGTACAATTTATATCGACTATTTATATTACACACTTCGCAATTTATATCAGATTTTCGCGCTCAATGTTTCGTCCGTACTCGATCTCGTTCGGTAGTAAACTGCCTGCGATGTTCGGTCCGCAACCATTTATACACGCAAGCAATGTAAGTCCAGAACACTCGCGTAATTACCAGATACGTCGCAAACATTCCCACTATCGCGCGCCTAGAAAATTGCAGAGCGCCAAAGGCGACGTCACGTCTGGAGCGTTTCCGTTACAATATTATGAAAAAATAGTGCATAAAATGTATTATAAATCACGAACAATGAGAAAATGTGCGCTTTTCATGACCCGTGAATTAATCGGCGAGGCTGGGTTCACGATTTGGAAAAGTGGGACATTATGGAAAAAAAAATTCAAAAATTAGGAAAACTTCTGAATCTTATAAGTCGATACTTGTGAGTCATGAATAAGTTTCTCTGAAAATCAGTTCCAAATAAGCCAAAAACAGAGCCGAGAGTAACAATCTGTGTTTAATAAGAAAGGAACCTTATGGCCAAATTGCGAAAAATACAAATAACACAAAAATTTGAAGTAAATAGAAACAAAGTACTTAAAAAAATATGGCAAAATTATAAAAAATCACAAACAATTCGAAGCAAATAGAAATAAAGTACTTACAAAAATATAAAAAATCACAATATACACAATAAATTCAAATAACATAAAAAACGTTGAAAATAAAGTAGCTAAAAAATATGAAAAAATTATAAAAAACCACAATATATACATACAAATATAAATTTAAAATGTGTCGAAATCCTTAGAGTCATGAAGAAAGGTTGGAATTAGACCCAAAACACACTGAACTAACCCTCTGTATTTACTTGGGAACCGTTTCCCGTCGACAAAAATTATAAATTTTGAAAAATTAAAAAATCGGACAACAATATTAAAAAATGACGCAAATTCTAATCATTCAAAACATTCAGAAAAGTAAAAAAAACTTCGCATAAATCCAAAAATTCTGAAAATTCTGAAAACTGTGAATCTTACATTTGAGATTAGCGACATTTTAATCATGAAAAAATCTCAGAATCAGGTCCAAATGACTCCGAAATTTATGAGTCGTCAAATAATTTGAAAAAGGCAGACAACACTAGAATACGAACTGAGAGGACCCAGTCGCGTATAACCATTTTTGGTGTTTTCTTGTCCATGGGGCCCATGAAGGTCTAAAATTAAGCACATGGAATTTACTTTAAGAGTAAAAAACATACTGCTAGCCACACTGCCTCCCTGGAACACTTTCCAGAACATGGCCGGAGTGCTACTTTAACATACTTAGCACCACAGATATTCATTAAAAACGTAGAAAACTGAAAATTTTTAATAATTCTGAAAAATGTAAAAAGGCAAATAAAATTTAAACAATTCAGAAACTCTGCAAACTTAGTTTGTGTGGATTTTAAACGTTTGATACATACCTACGACTTTGAATCATGCAGAAATCAACCGTAATCGGTTCGAAATGACCCTTAAATGCAACAGAGCATTTTTTCTGTATACGTCCCAGAAATACAGAATTAAGAATGTATACGGGGGTGAGAGAAAGGATAGGCATGTTAGACGGAGGCGTGCTGTCTCACGTCCCTATATAGAGTTACACAAGATTTGGACAGAAAAACCAAGAGATACGTAGATACGGTTTTCAGTTCCCAGTTTTTTGCAAATTCCAAACGTAATCAAATAAATTCGATACTTACTTCATTTGGCAGAGGTTGTCCATTTTGAAATTTCGATCTTGACTTTTTATGAAGCTCTTCTTCCACTTCCCTGAGCATTCCAATCATTCTCTGTTCGGAAAGATCTGGATTTAAGTGATACCCGTAATGCATTGGTTGAAAATCCTCCTCTTCGTACACAATGGCCCTTAAAATAGTAGGTGAGAATCGTAAAAACCGGCCCCCCCCACCCGCACGTACTTGTGTATAAACTCTTTAATAATTTCCAAGACTTTGTACACCGCCAACGAAAATACCTTTAGCGTTCTATCTTCAATTGAGTAAGGTTTGTGCAGATATAAATTTGTAAATACAGTTTGTGCTAAAGAGTGTCCCTCTAACCATGAAACGATACATGCCAAAGTGGTGTCAATTATATCAATCAGTTCTCTGTTGGAGAAATTATTTAACTTCAACGTCGAATCCTTAAATCAAACTTTCACAAAGCGCCCTCAAGCCTTTGGTATACAAACCGAAACCGCTTGCTCGAACGACTTTGCCTTTTTATTTCCGCGATTACACAGCATACCAGCATCCATCTTCGGGTCCATCATTTCGATTGCAGACATTGCTTCAAACAACCCAAAGGATTCATCGTGAAGCAGCTCGCCCAATTCGAGCCCTAGAAATGCAAGGTTAAGTACAGCCAGTTCGCAACACACAAACGCACCTTGGACCGCATCTAAAAATTCGCAGGTTATCGTAGCCCAATGGTAAGTGGCTTTTTGTAACATTGGAGCGCCTCCGGTGCAATCCCTGAAAAGATCCCTGTCGATTTCATTTAAATTTGGTTAGGTTTAACACAAGTACGTACGATTCTAAATAGTCCATATTTATTGATTGTCATAAAAGTAAAGTGTCCGGTATTTATTTAAATAATTACATATAAATTTAAACATTTAAACATAAAAAGAAGTCCCAAACAAAAATTTGACAACAATCTTCCCAGTGTCGCACGCCACGCTGACGGTAACCAAATGAGTCAATGGGTACGTTCAGTGAAGTTGTGACAAATATTTTTCATTTAATGGAACGTGTATAATACAAAATCAAAAAATGGCATACATTATTCTTATCAAATTTGGGTTAAAACGTTCAAACCGGCGTTTACACAACGCATAGTGTGGCGACGCGCCGCCTGTACGTCCGGCAGCAAACTAAAATGTGCTGCATCCTCATTGGTCGAAACGGCCAACCGATGAGAGCGTAGTGTCCCTGGGCACAAACGATTAGAGCTCGGAACGTAACAAGAAACAACCAGCTCTCCAGCAATTCCACGTGCAGAATCAGTCCACTTTGCCAGCTCATCCTCGCGCCATGCCCTACCAGTCAGAAGAACTTTTCGATCGTTACTCACCAGCCCATATGCAGAACGTGTCGCAGATTCTGGATAGGTGCACCACCTTCTCAAAACTTCCATCAAGTACCAGTCGAGCCTTCGTACATCGAGAAGACCGCCATTACAACCGCTTTTTCGAACTATTCGAGTTCCAGATGATGACGATTAGTCTCAGGAATTTCCAACGCCTAATCGATCAGGTTCTCAAGGATCTACCTTATACGTTCGCGTACCTCGGCGATGTCTTACTCGCATCACCAAACCAGCCATCAGACAGAAGACTCGCATCCGCGCTCAGTCGGACGAGAGCGCTCGCCGCGTGCACTTCGGCTACTATTTTGCACATAATATTTTTAAATATATTCCATAAAATGCAATAGAACTTTATTTAGCGTCGCCCGCTAAATTCCCCCCAAACGCATTTTTAGAAACAAAATCTCAGAAAAGACCTTTCCCATGTATTATACCCTGAGAGGATGTTTTGCCAAGTAAAAAGTGAATGGATCGAAGTGTCAGAGTTTCAATAAGCCGGATCTGGTGGTGCCCAATAAACTACTGGAGTTGTTTTCCCCTCCGACCCGCTGGCCCATCTGTGGTGCTATTTTGTCCCTCATATTGGAATTGTAACTTCGAGTCAAGACCATGTAATCAAAAAACAAAACCATAAATTGATTTACACCCAAAATAAAAACGATTTCCAACAATAAAAGTTACGGCATTTTCACGCACACAATTGAACATTGAAGTTAAATTATGTCAATTTCATTGAAAATTATTTTAAAAAACAAAATGTGGTATACAGAACACGAATAAATGATAACAAAAGGCAAAGATTACTACCAGCATTAAAAATACATCATACTTCCTTCACGACCGCTGAAACCAAGATGGCTCTCGTCTAGAGGCGCCGCAGATAGCCTTTGTAAAAATCAAAAATGTGTGCATGGTCATGGGCTATATAGGCCGGGTGGAACTATGAAAGTGATCGAGACCAGTTATATTTCTGGAGAACGGAGTGCTGGAAGAGAGTGCCTAGCGTATCTGTTGGGATCAAAATATTAAGTGCGAATATTTCGGGAGCAAAGCGCTACATATACCAATATCATTTTAAATGAAATAAAGAAGTAATTGTGTGCACATGCGCAGATCCAATTTTAAAATTTAAAAAGTAATCCTCCTGGAGGATTTTTGAATCTCATGAGTCGTAGTTTTGGGCCCTTTAGAACCAATTAATTCTCCAAAATCATTTCGAGATTTTCAAGGAATCTCGGGATCTTCAAGTACCTCGATACCTAACATCGTATTTTCTTTCTAATGCGCTTTGAAAGGAAAACTGGTTCGTCCATTTTCTTGTGGGGATCTGCATTTCTGTTGTCTTTGTTTTAGTTTCTACTAGATTTTCACTATTGAAAAATGAAAAATAAAATTTTGCAATCAATCAACTTATGAGATTGGGATTAAGAGTATCAAAATGCATAAGCCCCTGGGTCCTGTATCGAGGATAACGGATCAGGATATGTATAATAATATGTTATTGGCGACGACAAACCGAGCTTACATAAAGGGTGCACGGAAAGACAGATAGACGGACAGACGAGAGGACGCCCACCGCCGTGGGTTGTGCTAAAACAGAGGTGTAAAGCTCAAGCGCCTTGCGCACGTCTTCTTGGATTTGTTGGAGGGAAGCCCCAATTATAAACATCTTATGTTTAATGCGCGGTAAAAATATAAACGTTAACTTGATGGCGGCCGTGATTATGTAAAAACAAAAAGGTATGCATAATGTGATAAGCCTTCAAAGTGGTCAACGCTTCAACAGTTTCGCTTATTATTTTATTGGCATTATTCTGCGTGAATGCAATGGCTTTTAGTATAGAGGCAATAACTTCGTTTCATTTTAATCATTTAAAATTAGTCCTTTGTCGTCAACCCAATTTGTCAATGATGAACCTTTATATCGAGGTAAATATTTTATTCCTTTTTATTCGCAACTGCAATTTAATAATATATTTCAGCAACTTAAAGAGCAACGTATTCGTACGATAGTTAAGGTTTGCGAGACCGATTACTGCATTTCGGATTTTGAAGACAATGGCATAGAAGTTCGCGAACTTGTGTATAAAAATGGATCGTTTCCTTCCAACGGGGTGATTGAAATTTGGATTAACTTTGTGAAAGCCCATTTTGAAAAATTTCCAAATTCCGCGATTGGAATACATTGCGTTGACGGACTTGGAAGATCGGCAGTACTGGTCGCTTTGGCGCTTATTGAGGGGGGTTTGGATCCAGTGCGGGCCATCGAGTTCATCAAAAGGTATTTAACAAAAAAATGTCGGCAACTGCATCTCGTTTTTTTAGTAAACGCAGAGGAGCATTCAATAAGTACCAGGAAAAAGAGTTGCAGATCTACAAATCATACAACAGACTTGTTATACATGACTATTAATATCTGCGAAACTTTATTTTTCTTGAGGCTTTACCTAGATAGGTACTCATGTTGTTAAAACAAAATTATTTACGTTTTATAAATGTATAATCTGTTTATAATTAAAGTTGTTTAAAACGTACAATAACATTTTATAATGCGAGCATTGAAAATGATTCACTTGCGATAGAAGTATTTCTTATAAATGTTATATTTAATTTGCAACGTCCTATTCATTCCTTGAAATTTAAACCCGTTTATTTATTATTTTTATATTTATCGATCAATGAGACCACCAGCGGTTGTAATAGCAACATTTAAAATTTTCCCGCCTGTTAGGGGCAAATTGCATTTTACTCAATATCCGAAAATTAATGTGTTCTAAAAATCAATTTAGGATACGACGAGCGAACGGACAGACGGGTGGATTTTCATAAAGCATGCATGCCCAAAAATCTGGAAAATATGTAAAAATACGACGCCCGCGCCTTTATGTATACGTATATTTTTGTGGTACCTACACTTTGTTCTACCATAATAGTTAAATTCGCAAAAAAAAGAGTCTGCATTCCCTCCGATTGTAGGTAACATGCGAACAGCGTTTTCTTTGTGCAGTATAAGGTTTCAAATTATCATTCCCGCAAAATTCGCTTCTCAGAAACTCCTAAATATAAACGATTCTCACTTAGTTTATCTACCATACACATGCAGATATTTAATTATTTTTATCTGAAAGGGGACGAAGATCTTTTTGCACACCTGATGAATCTGCATATACAGGGTGTTTATTTACAAACTCATTTTGAATCACAGTCTATATATTATGGCGAATGCCGACTGAAAAGGAGACCTCGGAATGTTTTCAAAATTTGGCAGTATACGTATTTTCAAGTTAGTGGTGCGTTCGATTATACCGGAAGTTGATTCCAACTTGCTTATTTTAAATTGAACACCCTGTATATTATTACATTTTTAGATCCTATGTAAAATTCTATAAGTGCATGTATAATGCCCAATACCTAAAATTTACCGTTTTTAAAATATTTTGATTGTTTGACGTTGGGTTCCTTTTCAGTAACTGACATGATCATGAAAGTGTCTGACGAGCTGTCACTTTCGGACCACACGCACATTCTTTTCCACCTAAACCTGGCATCCCATTGCGGGCCCTGTCGGTTTCAGAATCCCCAACCTATTGACTGGGACTGCTATGTGGCAAAACTGTCAGAGTAGTTGGATGGACCAACTCTGCTGTCGGAAAGCAGGGCAGGTGGAAGAGGCGGCCGCATTAGTAAGCGACGCTATGACAGCGTCATATGAGGACAGCTATAATCTGTGATCTGTAGACCTTTTGAGGAACGAACCTTGGTGGAAGTCAGAAGGATCGAGGTTCGGAGGCTCTTTAATAGAACCATGCGAACTAAGCTACCTGCAGACTGGGAAGGTCTTAAGATCGCTCAGCGCAGGTATACGGATCTTACTCAAATGGAGGACCCTCTGTGGTAACCTGGAGGAACTTCCTAAAGTTCAAAAACTTTTTGAAAGACCCGGGGCAAAAAGTCGGGACACTACTGAGGCTTCCATGCGGCAGATATACGACTACGTAACTTCGGACCCGCCAAAAAGAGCTGTTCGGGTCTGTGTAAAGCCAATCGACTGGAAAGTAGCTACCCGAGTGGTTGCTGAGGGATCATCTCTGAGATGGGCAGTCAACACTGAGAGCAGTATCACATGGGATATTCCCGGCTCTTCTGCAGAAGACTCCCCGGCATTAGGGTATATCCCTAAGTAAGAAATAAGTGGGGAAGGGAATGTCTGCCGGAATGGTAGCCCTGGGAGTGTTTCTAGATAACGAGGGTGCGTTTAACAACACCACGTTCGATTCAATTAGTGAGGCTGCGGAAAGCTTTGGCATTAATGGGTCAATCGTAAGGTGGATCCGAGCAGAGTCATTATATCCTTAATCGGGACGACGGAGATGAGCTCATCGGTTACTAGAGGATGTCTACAGGGTCGGGTGGTGTCTCCACTGCTGTGGTGCCTGGTACTAGACGGGGATCCATCACCCCTAAGCAGTTTTCCCGGAGACTTCCATCCATGTGAGCCATCACAACATTCTCGCAACACTCTGGCAGGATGACATCATCCACAAGTGTAATACGTAGCGGCCCGTCTTCTTCTCTGTGAATAGGAACTCCTTACAGGTCCACTGGAAGCGCTTCATTCTTCCATTCCCAAAATCACCTCATGGACTATCTCTGTTACCGGCACTTGCTGTATATAATTTTTGAATCCAATACCAATATCGGACCGTCAGCTCTCCCAGCCTAGGTTTTGACGATTATAGCTTTTTTGTTCGGACTAGATCAGATCTTACATGGTCATTATTGCACCAGTATCTAACAACATCGTACATGTTTTCCCGAATACAGTACATACATATATGTATAAACTATTTAGTTGAGTCTCGCCCCTTCCCTTTGACCTATTCTAGGTATCCACTCATTTTCTTCTAATGTGCCCGTTTTTACCACGTCTCGGCGTCGCAGTCTCTGTCGTTTTGTCCGTTGCTGCCCTAGTAATCTTTTCACTATTTCTTCAACATTCTGGTTCTTTTCTTCTGTATCAATGGTGTGCATGCGAGCCATCCCACAAGACGTTTTCTTTACAGCGTCAAACTCCAGGGGGCGTGCCAAACACTTTTCCAGTATTTCATACCGAGCTTGTTGTGTTTCCACATTATCTATGAACGTCTGCACCGCCAGCTGCTCTATAAAGCTTTCTGGACCGTAGGATACGTCAATCTTACCAACCGGGCTATACCGGCTCCTTGCAAAGTTTCGCCCGATCTCCATCCCGAGGTTCCAACCGTGATACAATTTGCTCAAAATCTTTTTGCTGGTTTTCTGGAATCCACACAAAGCATCTATCAGGAAAGTCGCAGTCTCTTCTACTATCCACTTATTTGTATCGGCAGCAGCCTCAAAATGTATCGAGAAGGTGCATCACAGTGATTTTCCATCGACTGTCGGTGACTTAACTCGAACTTCCGCCATACCATTATTTTGAAATGGTTCGGAGGCTTGTTTGTGGAACAGCAAGTAGATCTTGTATTATCATAGATGACCCATCACTTTTTTTCGCATTCTTCGGTCAATAACGTAAATTCTCTTCCTGTTGTTATTATACCTCTTCGATTGATTGTTGCCCATCTTCGAACCGGGTTTTCATTTCAGCTTGAGCGGCTTCGATTTTAACTTGCCGGCTTTCATTTCTTGCATTAGAATTGTTTAGCGCATTTTCCAACAAAGTTGGGTGCGCTATTACAACCACTTTCTCTGTCCGTCCGAGATCTTAACCACTTCTGCAGTTTTCTTTTTTAATTCGGTAGCTTACAGCTCTGACACCTGAACCAAGAAAAATCTTGACCATTAATGCTGCGCCATACCAACTTCTTATTTATTAATATATTTTGACATTTTGTTGAAATTTTAACCAGAGATATTTCTAGTAAAGGCAAACATATCGTATATAGTAAAAATCAGATGTGCGCGACTGCGCAATTCCAACTTTTTTATTTACATATATATATTTCTTTGAAATTTTAACCATATATGCCTGCAACAAAGAAAAACATAGCGCACATAGCTTTTGGGAAGTACTGATTAATGCATGGAAAATGCGCGAAAACCTTTTTACTTGTTTCGCCTTGTTGCCATTGATTTTCAGGATTTTGAGAGTACATACAATGAATTCTGCATTTCAGTTAATTTTGATACGGATGCATTTTGTTACAGCAATTGGAGTATATAGATGTCTGGTTGTGTTTTCTCCGTGTATGTATGTTTGTTGGAGGCGGTGCTTGGTGCACATAATTCGGTGCAGAATACATTATTTACGGTTTTAGAAGTTCAATGTAGTTGTAATAATACATAAGAATTTATACCTGTTTACACCAACACCTGACCGTCAGCGATAGCGAATTGGAATTTTATGAACGAGGAACGTTATTTTCACAATAGTCAGACTTTTAATATGACAACATGCTCAACAATTAATGTAACACACTATATAGAAGTACGCCACTGATCACAAACTAGTAGGTATAGTCTGTCTGCTGAGCAATATAACATAAATCATAATGGTAAATCGAAAGCCATTTATAAGGCGACCGATAGTTGTATTAAAATGCACCTGAAATACAATATAAAAACTCGTTCTATATGGGCGAAAGTGGCTCAAAAAAAACCTTATGGAAACTTGCCAACCTAAGAGCCAGCGGCTCTCAATAGAATTTATATAATTTGTTGTATGGTAAGATACCAAACTTTACACGAACAATATAATTAATAAAACTATTTGAGAACTGCCGATTCTTAGGTAGTTCAAAACTATGTTCTTTTGTTTTCTAGTTTCCATAAGGTTTCTTTTGAGCAACTTTCGCCCAGTATAAAATGGGATTTTACATTGCATTTCAAGTGCATATTCAATACAACTATCCGTCGTTTATAAATGGCTTTTGACATGGGCGTATAAAATAACGTCAATATGTATGAATATAACATTACTGTAATTAATGTTTTGAACATTTCGGGGGGGGGTTTGAACCCCGAAAACCCCCCTTTGGCTACGCCCATGGCTTTTGATTTATAACTTAATAATAATGTCTTTAGCTTGAACATAATATAACTACAGTACAAAAAAACAGAAACTAAACATAATTGAATATCAAATGTACATGCTAAAGCCGCAGTTCATAGGAAGCGATTACTTGCTTCGCTGTGCTCTTATGTTACATTGCTCAGTGGACAGATTATAGATTGGTAGCAAACTTTTTATAATTTTGGATACCAGAAAAAGCTTCCTTTCAAAAAAATGTTGTTTTGAAGATAAGTATATATTATAATGTTCCACACAAAATTTTCACCCTGTATATTAACTTCTATCGGATGTTAAAATATTTTTTTTTCACATGCAAAAGTGCCTAGTCCACACAGAAAATTTAGTAACATTTTGATTGTCTTAATTTTGCAAATGGAATTTTTCTGAAACAGTGTAGAGTTTGTTGAAAACAACCAGGTACTTCCATTTTCAAAAAATCTGGAACTGAACAGAAAAAATTAAAGAAACTCTTTAAGATTTTTAAGGATGGTCCTCAAACATGTTGGACCATTACTTTAGCACCTACATCCTGTACACAAGTTTATTAAAATTATAAACAATATATTTACAGCATTGACATTTGAATAGAAGTGACTTATGGTATAAATTGAAGATGTGACTCTCGGGCGTAGGTTTTAAGACAAAAGGAATACACTAACACACTTTTGAAAGTAGTATACTTAGCTTTAAAATTACATATTACAATTCTACGCCATGTTTTAACAAAATTACAATTCTTTTTATTATGTAACTACCTTTAATCTTTTATACATGTAATATCGGCATAAATTTTGTAAAGATTTGAGAGTGCATAAATATTTCTTTTTTATAACGTCTCAAAGTTCGAAATAGCAAAAACAATACATCAAATTTTTTAAAAAATTGTATTTATAATACATATACAAATTGTGCCATTAAAATTAAAATAACAGATTTAGAACGTAACAGTAACCTACATGAGAAACTCAAGTTTTGGAAAGAAATTTCAATTATGTCCGTCAAAAACTATTTGCACCTCTAGTAGCGGACTAGAAAAGACAGTCACTTGTAACCGTTATCGTAAACCTAGTGCAAATAGCATTCGACATATAAAATACCTATAATCAGTAATGTAGTGAGCTGAAGTACGTATAATGGATAAAAATTAGCAAACTTGTACATAGTAGCGTGTGAAACAGGTCTAACAATCACTAACGAGATCATTGATTATTTATACAACATAACATCTAATAACAGTAGTAACATTTCACAGAGTTGATGATTTATCTCCATTGTACTTATGTCCATATATTCACAAAGATATCCCTATTAATAAATAGCAATTACGTGCGAGTAATTCTATTCATGCTAAGAGGGACAAACAAGTGCAAATACCTATATCAAACATATAAAAAAAACTACGCTCAACTACAAACTACATTTAAATTACTTCAACAATTTCACCTAATTATACAGATATATGCTTGAAAAAATACACTGTCAACAGCCCTATGTGTAACACGCAAACGGAGATAATAAGCTAGGAAAAAGTTTCAGTTCACTTTTTATAGGTTTAATTGAAAATAAAATTTAAAATACGGGTCGGCCACTTCCGACTGAAGTGTAATACGTCAGGTCCTACAAAATCACAGTCTGTCTTTTCAATGCAAATAAAGTAGCAGGTCCAATTTTACGAAATAAATTACAATAGATCAAGGTTTTGTACCGAGTGGAAGAGCAACTCGAACAGTTTGGTCTGCGCGCGCATGTGTACACTATTTCCTAAGTCTTAGAGAGCGTTCGTAGAAGAGATGGTGACTGCTAGATGGAAATGTTCTTGTGTTACAGTGTGTAAGGTTTGAACCTGTAGAAATACTCCTAAGATTACGCCAGATACACTCATCATTATTGACTAGACGTGTGCTATGCTTCGAGTTGGTCTTTCATTTGGTACGTAGTAAAAAAATGCGAAGCCTTGATATCCACTTTTGAAACGCAAGGTATATTAAGGCAGATTGTTAAAATTTACTTAATACAAACTGCGTCAATAGCCAAAGATTCACGATTTGTTTAAGTTGAAAAATAATCCTGTTACTTCATTTAATTAGTTTCAATATTTTAAGATAAGACTGTTGCGTCGCTGCAGGGCCCTGTAATCCTTGTCATGCAATAACGGGCAGATAATTATTATAAATGGGCCATTTTGCAAATAAAAATTAATATACAATGGTTAGTAAAGAAGCTCTAAATCTGAGAAGGTTAATGAAAACAGTCAAGCAAATATGTATACGGAACCACTTAGTTGCAGCTAGCGTTGCTAGTATTGTCTAAAAAACAAGAAGTAGTTTTTGCTAATCTAGTACACGGAGAGGACCGAAACTAATAACTAGTAGCACCTTCGCGTGAAGTTTTTAATGTTCACACCGATGCGTAACGAAGTTGAGATTGCATCAAAAATTTAAGTAGAAAACAAGAAATATGCACAATAGAAGTGATCAAATTAGGTGCAATTCGTAAGTAGTTTAATCGAAATGGTACCATAGGATCATTCTGTTCAAAAATTATATTTTGGGGTAACAATTAATATATGCACAATTTGATACTAAAAATGATATAGAGTGGTTGTACTTTTTACGTATAAGGCAACCTTGATATTAATACCATATGTACCTTCATATGGTTATCAACTCATCTATACAGTTGGACCATCCCAGTCCAGAAAACAGCTGATAAATTGCCATCGCTAAGCTTAACTTATTGCTTTAAAAATGAATAAAACAGGAAGAAGGGGAACTATCACAACTGCTTTTTAACCTTAATTACCTCTAGGCCCTGCCTATATAGATATAAATATACACGCCAAACATTCTATAAAATAGACATTCCGCAAATTGACTCCATTTTAAATATTCGTTAATAAATAAAATGGAAATGAATAAACGATCAATTAAACTAAAAATTAAAACTATGTACAATATTTTGCGTATAACCTAATTACGTAACTTTATACAAAAAATGTACAACAATTCTATTTACAATCGATTATAAATTGTTTAGGATAAAATTCAAAATACACTTAACAACTATTAGAATTTAAAATAATTTTAACGATAATCGGATTTTTAGGCGTCATGTAAAACAAAATTGTAAAAAAATTTAATTTAAAAATGAGGAAGACTAAAACTTATTGCACTCGAAAAATACAACTAACTATTTGAGGACACTTTGGCAGCTTCTGTAGGAGTTAGAGGGCTACTTAAACTGTTTGCACTCCGAGGTGTATGGCTAGTTTGGGCCATCAGTTTTTGCCGCACTTCGCGTATTTTCAATTGTAAACTACCCTTATTCGGAAAGATATCGACGTGCTGAGCTTGAAAGTTCGAGGTCGCCTGCGAAGATGGGAAAAACGTGTGCTCCTGAAATAATTGCATCACCAACTGACGTCTTTGTTCCAATATCTTTCGATGTCCTTTTTCGGCGTCGCGACCTGTTCCAGGTGTTTTCGGAGTTCGAGGGGAGCTCGATTCGCCCACTTCAGAAAAATCTATAATGTGCAAATTTCGTAATTAAATTCTTCTTCGGAACAGCGTTGCACGGTATGATGTGTACTTAAGATCTAATGGTAGACAAAAACCACTAAAACTTTACAGCAAAAGTAAAGATGCGCAACTGCGGAAAATCTTGTATGCCATGTCCATAATCTAAATCCTAATTTTAACCTGTAGCCTTCAGGTTAGTCTGTTGCAGAGGAGTGTATATTGTAGTGGAGAAACACGCGCAGTGGAGTGGAAGCTCAACTGCAGTATTGAGGATCCTTGGTTCGAATCCAGGTTCAGGCATAAACATTTGTAAATATTTAGTGGGGTGAGAAACCCTTCCACTAAATAAAAACATAATATTTTGCTTTTTGCTTTAAGAATCATCTCCATGTTTCATGAAAAAAAGCAGAACTTATGCGCATTGGACCGTAAACAACTACAGCGGAACAGGATAACGGCATAGAGGAGGAATTTTCCCTTAAAATCCAGTACACATTCGCAATTTGTATAGTCAAAATGTTTGAAGATGCATACAAAGAAATGCACTCGGATCAAAACAGTTTTTCTTTCACCATTGCCAAGATGGTTAAGAGGCTTTATATACAGGGTGGTTCAGACCACCCATTGTAGTGCCCCGTTTAGTTGCCCCCCTACCTCCCAAAGCCTCTGGATTATAATAGGTGGACGGGTGGTCTGAACCATCCTGTATAAGCGTAATTTTAATATGTATAAATGACCAGTAGTAACATTATCTTAAAAATACCATTATATACAGGGTGCTCCAGATTGAGTTGTACCCTGTTTGTCATTGGAAATTATGTTAAATTCTGTTCAGAAAATATTGGACTCAAAGAGAAATTGTCTAAAAAAAACAAACCTCAATCAAAGGACAAGAACGAAGGTATCAGCGTTGCCAAATGTATCAAATATTATATTGTACGTACATTATTATTGTTAAAAAGTACTTCTGCTGGAAATTTAGGTTTGCAAAACTCTATTGCTAGGACCCAGAGAAATTTATTATTAGTAAAATCGTTCACTGAAGTACATACATAAAAGCATCTTTCGACTACCTACTGAAGACCTACCTTTGATATTTTCTACATTAAAATCCGGGCCGAAAAATGTGTTTCCAATTATTCTATTTCCCGAAACAGAAGCGGTCGATGGCAATGGTGTTTCCCCCTCACTCTCCTCATCGATGGACGATCGATGACCTGGTGTTAGGTTGCGCTTCTTATGATAGCTGGAAAACACTCTGGGACTCGAAGAAACGGCTATGGCACTAGGAGACTGGCATTCTTCGGGTTTAAATTGAGGTAACGATGAAAATTTCTTCTCAAAATTTACTTGTTCCAACACCCTGAAAATTACTCTGAGAGTTACACTCACTTTTGCCAATTGGGAAAAAACTACCTATCCATTCCGTCCTCGATGTTCTTCTTAAAAAAGCTCTTTCTTGTCGACGGAGACATCAAAGAAGAATCTAACTGAACGGTATCGTCACTACTGCAAATTGTCACACTTTCCGAAGACACATTGCTAGTGGCGTTACCTACGGCTAAAAAATGAAGTTTAAACCCATACACTGAGCTGTAGTCTAAAAAATAGAATAGTGAGAAAACCTTCGGGATTGTCGTAACACCTTATATTACACTACTATAGGAATAGTGTCCTGGCTTTAGATGGTTATTCTAGAAAAACTCCCAAGATTTGTATGAATTAACCATTGATGGTTTCTACATACGAGTATGTTAATTTCATTCTATTTGTAGAGTTTTACATGAGCACATTTACAAAAAATTTTTCTATAACTTAGATGCATTTTTATATTTTTTTATAAAAACGCTACAGTTGAAATATGGCAGTTTATACGCTTACTATACATGAAACAGTTGCGGGTTTTTTACAAAAAACACGATCGCGCGCATTTAAAACGTAAGGCAAACCGAAATAGACCAAATGTACCAAATTCTTGATAGAACAGCTTCATAGACAACCTGGTACTCCTCGAGGATGGTATCTTTGCACGACGATAACACATGCTTGATGTGTTCTTCGACATTCAAAACTATCCGATGCTATCCTATAATCAAAACGATTTTTGAATGGTGAATACAGGGAAATTTGGCAAACTTCATTACGTCAAATTCAGGTGAAACTAGGGACACACTGTCGATATCTGGTGTGATCAACAATGGTATACCCCAAGGATTGTATCATGAAAAACTAACGACACATAACTTCTGTCTTCCCAACAACTTCCAATTGTGAATTCTTGTGTGGGATACTTGGTGACTTTATTAATCGAAAAAAAGATCTCTAACATCTCCAGACTTATATCGCCCAATGTTTAAGGATTTACAACATAAATACATAGGCTGCTAATTTATCTACACTGATTTTTGTGACGAGTGACGTTACTCTGGGGTGGTCTCTAACAAAATGGATCATTTTGTTTTGTTAATTGTATCTATGGTAACTAAAACCGATCAATAAAAATCGCTGACCTGAATTAAGAAAAAGAATGCACTTGCATTTAAAAAATACCAAAGTTTGGGTCAAATCTCGAAAAAGATGGGGCAAACATTTTTGTTACTACGCCACTGGATTCTACTTAAAAATATATAAAATAGCAAGTTTTACCTTTTTCTATCTTACATGGGTAATTGTAACATGATAATGTTCCAAAATGTCAAACATTTCGTTTTTACCTTTGATTATATACTACTGGATAGTGCATTCACTTAAAATGTATGTTCCCAAAAAAGAGATAGACTTATGTTTGTACCAAATCATTATGCGCATGCTTACGGGATAAACTTCGCGCGGGAATAGTCGGACTGTTGAAATCGTTACATCTATTTTCGGAGTGAACATTTACCTTCATGTTAATTGCATATTATGAACTATTCTCTTTACAAACATAAAAACTACGCAGAATTACCACGATTAATTAAAGGTAGAGCCCAAATAACGTATAAAGCAAATAAAGAAGCAAAGCAAAGAATCAGCTGTTGTTATACGGACAGCGCCATTAGTTTCCGGTTTATTAACACCTGGCATGCGCAATTCGAATTGGTACAAACTTTTTCTTTTATCTCATTTCTTTTCACTGAAAAATTATAGCTATCTGGGTTGCACGAATTGGAACACGGGTTGTACTCTTCTATCATTAAGAATGCGCTATCCAGTAGTATATAATCAAAGTCTTTTACGCTGTATCTCAGAAACAAACCTAGGTAGCGGTAAAAAGCATAGGGAAGCTTTGACCTTCAGTGTGATTGGTTAAAACACGAGTCAGTATTACGCTGAAACATAAAACGAGTGACGAATTTTGCAAGCTGGTAGTTTCTATTGCCAACTAAACTCTTGAAGTGTCATTAGCTGTTAATGTCAAAGATATATTTCTGTTTGCAGAGCAGTATTGGATATTTCTACTTTACAATAATTTGGTGCCGTTTTATATTTTTCCTGTGTGTGCTTATCTTCAAACACAGCGCCATCTACTACCTTCTTATAATGAATGCAGTATAGCTAGATTAATTCTGTTTGTGATATTAAGTTTCATAAAAGAAAGTGGCCCAGGGTCGGGAAAACCGCAAGTTTCTATTTTTAAAAATAGCTGAGATACACTGCAATCTCAACCAAAATAGGACACACGGTACATACACAGACGGAATAAACGTTATTCTTTAAAAGTTGCTTAAAATGATCTTAAACCTCGACATTTGACGAAATTTTGAAACGTCTAAAAAACGGTGATAGCTATAGCCACCTAGCGCAAGCTAGGCAGCTAAAAATTTATAAAATATAAATTGTAGAGGACTAATTCCTCGTAAGACACTCGGGACCGCTAAATTACATGATCCCATCCATTTGTGCAAAAAAGATTTTTTAATTCTTATACTATTTTTTAGTATTTAAGAATATGCCAGCAGCGCAAAACTGATGAATGACTGGACTGCACGCTAGCATCTCACGCAAATGTGTGACGTTACTCTTCTGGATTGGTCCCTAACATTTCAAGGAAGACACTCATATTTAAGTGAGCAGTCTCCATAAATTTTTTCTATCTATTTCGGTTTGTCAGCGCGATCGTGATTTTCGTAAGAAAAATCCATAAGACTTCCCTAGTGGAACTACATTGCATTAATCATAAAATTGAATCACTTTGAGGGTAAATAAACTGCTAAAGAGCATCTAAAAAAGCGGCCGAGCACCTCAGTGTGACCCTACGGGTCATTGGATTTCACCCATTTTCAATAGGCTTATTACTTGGAGCATATAGGTCAACTTGAACCAAATCGGTCCAAGCGTTTCACAGTTAGCGTGTTCACGGACAGACAGACACCATTGACTGCCCTATAAAGCTTGCATCGCTTTGCTCTGCCGCTTAATAATTCAAATAACGTTATAATAATCCCTTCTCTTGCTAGTAGATACTAGGGCTGCACGATAATAATTACAAATTCTGCAGAGTACTCTTAGTTTCAAAATTTCCATCTCACTCACTTCACCCCCAAACATTCAGATGATATTCAAGAAAGTCTCACTATCCTATTCCACACTCTTGTACTTACCCATCGATTGTCTCCTTTGTAAAGGTGCTCGACCTAATTGCGCGGGCGTCGGCGCGAGTTTAAATTGCTTGTCAGGCTCTGCAGCGGTAACGATCTCACCTGTTGTATGTGGAAGAATAGGCACTTCGATTGGTGAGCTAGCCAAAAGTTTATCATTCATGATTAACTCATTGTCGTCTTTCCCTGCATCTAAAAGACACTCTCAATTGTCTTTATTTAATCAATGACTAATCTTACCATCGTTTGTGCTATTTTTCGTGTTATGCGCATTGTTAAAGGGAATCGAATTTGTATGATTATTTATTCGATTTTGTGATTGACTGACGATGACAGATTGTGTTGTCGCGGGTTTTGGCACAAATTGTAAAGATTGTAAGGTTACATTGCTGGCGGGGGGAATTTGATAGGAAGGTTGCTGCATGTAAACATACTGAACATCCGAAGCAGATGACACAACCAAAAAGGGATGGGACCGCTCGCTATCACTTGAAAGGCAAAGTGTTGTCTGTTGACCGTTTAGAGAGGGATTTAGTAATGTTAACGTTACCGGTTGGTTGCCGTGATTATTACGTTCGCTTACTTGAATAACGTTTCCAGATTTGATTTGAGGTTTGAGGATGGTTAAGGTAGTATTAGGTCTTGTGAGTATCGTATTATTTTGAGAAAGAGATGAGGTTACCCATTGTACACCCGTCTCCGATAACGACTTGTGCAATGGTACATTCGTCGTTTCCGGTTTGGGTGTAATTATAAACGAGCTACCTGTCCAATTCGGAGATTCTACATTGTCAAATTTAGGTTCGGCTTTCACTATTTTCGGAGACACAGGCATGGTTTTAAATGCCCCTCCTGTCGGTTGAAAACCGCTAATCCCCGTTGGATTGACAGGCGAATGGTAGGGGTATCCGAGCATCGTCGATGTAGCAACGACCGAATTAAACTTAGGGTTACTTTCCGTTGAAGGAAGGCGGGCTTTAATTGGCTTTGGGCGGCAGGTTATTTCGGTAGAATTACTAGAAGAAATTGGGCTAAACCGTTGCTGTGGGAAAACGCGAGTTTCGATTGGGGGTTCGAGATCACTGTGCGATTCTGAATCTGAATCGGTTACTTTCTCTTTACATTTAAGATCTATCTCCGAGGACGGTTCTTCACATATAACCATTTGGTCTTCGTCAGAGATGTCGCCGAGTCCTTCCTGCTCGGAGAGCATTTGGGCATTCTGCACGTCACTAACTGGTAAAGGCGAGTGAGGCGTTCTCGGACTGAGTGGGATGTCGCCGATATCGACGCTTTCGCCAGTTGAACCTAATTTGCTACGACCAGAGCCTGTCGACGATTTCCGTCGATCTTTACTACACCTGCAAAAATGTTTGTATTAAAGATTTTATTCTAGGGCATTCTTTGATTTAACAATATTTTACTGCAATGACAAAAATGACCTAGAGAACCAAACCTCATCCTTCCCCCCTCCTTTCGATTCCCCAATTTTATATGTGGTAGCATGGGGGAAGGCCCAAGGCAAAAAGTGGGAACACTGAGGTTTCCATGCGGCAGATATACGTCTATATGCGGGTGAGGCTGTTAAATTACTCCTGGAAACCCACCTTCCAGGCTCTAGGGACTGCGTGACTTCAGACTCACCAGTGTAAGGCTGATCAACCGAAAAGTAGGTGCCCAGGTGGTTATCGAGGGATCTCCGAGATGGATTTAAGAGTGCAGGACCGGGCTCCTCTGCTGAAGGGTCTAGAGCTGCTGCTCTTACATTTGAACAAGAACAAGAGAGATAATTAATAAAAAAAATAAAATAAAAACTCTTTAGAGCCCCCTGGCTTTAGGGTATACCCCCGAAAGTTGGAGAATGGTACCTACCTAAGCCGGTTCGTGCCAAATATGACATGGGAAAGGATTACAGACCAATCAGCCTATATCTCTTGAGCAGGCTGGAGAAGGGAATGTCTGGCGGGAGGGTAACCCTGGGAGAGTTTCTAGTATTGAGGGTGCGTTTAAGAACACCACGTTCGATTCAATTAGTGAGGCTGCTGAAGGCATTGATGGGTCAAGTTGGATCCGCGCCATGCTCGGAAGCAGTCATTATATTCTCAATTGCGATGACGGAGATGAGCTCATGGGTTATTAGAGGATGTCCGCAGGGTAGGGTGTTGTTTCCACTGCCATGGTCTTTCCGTTAACCCGGAAACAAACAAAGTTGTTCCATTTACGAATAGAAGGAGAGAGAACCTTGATGGGCTCACTTTTCGAGGACGTCAACTAGGTCTGACCAGGACAGGGAAATATTTGGGAATCATTCTCACTTGGAAAGGGTACATCGATCGAATAAGCAAAAAGGCCCTGCATGTCTATGGTCATGAAGAAGGCTCCTGGTTGTACATGGAGCTTGAACCTTCGACTGGTATATTAGCTTTACACTGTAGTGAAAAGGCCAATAATACTGGTGCACTTGTATGGTGGCCTGCCATATCCAGAGCAGCTGGGCAATGTACAGAGACTCTTTTGTCTGGGTGGAGTCATGAAAACCAAGCTATAGGGCAATCGACAGGAAGCAGCTAGTAAAGGTGCCGAAACTCGCCTGTCGGAGACTCACTGGAGCCATGAAAACCAAGTCAACTTTGGCCATGAAGGCACTTCTGGGACTAGACTTAGCTGTGGAGGCAGAGGCTCGGAAGACTTCCATACAGCTAAACGATTGGAACAAGTGGAAGGATCGAGGCAGAGGAGATCGACAGAAAGCTGACATCAGTTTCTACCTTGGTCAGCATAGCACCACGCTTCAGGTAGAGGTTAGCCATCCTGTGCACCGGAGAACCTACGTAGGGGTTACTGTAATAACCATATGCAGTGACAGTCAGGCAGTGTTGAGGACCATGTCACCAGACAGATTACAGTGCTTGATTGCAAGCGAACTCTAGATAGATTAGGCAAGTCTACTAGGTTAAGCTTGATCTGGATTCCCGCGCACTATGGAATAGGCAGTGGTGGAGTCTTCATCGGACCCAAGCCTACTCTAGAAATTCCTCCCTTTACTGTCAGGGCCAGGATTAAAGACTGGGTAGGCTCAGTGGCAACAAACAACTGGATTCAGACCTTTTTAATAGGGCCCCTTGTCAATTCTGGTTCTTCTAAAACTGAATAGAAGCCAGAAGAGGAAGATCATTGGTGTCCTTACAGGGCACTGGATGGTCAACTATCATCTGCACAGCATTGGACTTGTAGGAGAGCCCACCTGCAGGTTCTGTGGCAAAGTAAATGAAACTATCGCGCATGTGGTGCGTCACTGTGATGCCTTGATCAGAGACAGATCAGCTCTTTAGCAACAGCTATCTGGAACTGGGGAGAGTGAAGCCAACTTAGGGTAAAGGGTCCTATCCTTTATTGAAAGGAACAGGCTCTAAACCTAGTTGCAAAAAAAGGGGGTAGGCATCAATTGGCTGAACGGGACGGCACGTGACGTGAGCCGCGGGCGGTGTTTCCAAGCCGAGCCACCCGTCAAACGTGTCATTTTAAAAATTTGAATACTAACCATTTCCATTCCGGATGCGCTTTGAAATGCGCTTCTTTCACTTCTGACGCAAGCTCGTGATACTTCTTCTTCTCTTCCGGTCCCAAAGCGTACCACCACTCGCCGAGTATTTTCGAAACAGTCCGATTGTCTTGGTTAGGATGCTGCTGATGGACTAAGCCGCGATGCCTCTTGGAAAATATCATAAACGCGTTCATAGGTCTTCGGATTCGTTCCTTAGTCTGAAAGATTGCATATATAAAAGAAACTAAATTCTGAGAACCGACCTTAGATAATGTGCTGTCTTTCATGGTGCTTTGTAAGGAACTAAGCGATTGACTTCTACGTTTATTATTTAGCGTGTTATCAGTCATGCAGCCAAGACCTGGAGATTCGGGCTCGAATACGTCATCATCTTCCTCAGTGGTAACTGGTATTGGTTCCGGATTATCGTCCTCATCTATAAGATCCAGTACCGGAGCTGGAACTTGAGATGCAATTGAGGTTAGAGGGGGTGCTGATAATGGAGGTGACAGTTCGGAAGGCGGAGGAGAAAATTGAGCTGAACGTGTCGTAAGTACAGGTACAATGGAATGCCAAGGAATTACGAAGGTTGATTGCGAATTTTGGAAAAGGGAATTTTGTGAGGTGGTACTTGATACTACGGTAGTTGTTGCACATGACGTCGATGCCACTTCTGGCTGTAATTGAAGTTGAGTTTGCACCGGCGGAACTCGCACTATAGATGATTGGTCTTTATTATTGACAATATTTATTCCTGATAATGGGACTAAAAATATAAATTATCAATTGAATGGTATATACATACACTTAAGTGTTCAACCTTGTTCTGTTTTAACAATAACTGGAGAAACCGTCGGCGGGTTCAATGCGGATGTTGGTGTTTGCAGCACACGTTTCACTACAGACTGAGACGCTGCAGGTAAAACAGGTACTAACTGCGTAGGATGTACAATTACAGGTAATAATCCCGCTCCACTTGTCAAATTACCTATCGTTTCAGTCGAAGCCACACGAATTGTCGTTGTTTCAAGAGATTGATCATTTTGTACCAACTAAAAGAAGGTTATATTAATGAAAAGTGACAACTCAAATGTAAGGTACCTTCCGTACAGTTTGAAACGATTGATGTGGCTCGTCGTACTTAATGACATCGTGTGAATCAGTTATGCCGCAATACAACGAATCTGTAAAAACAGTTCAAATTTGAACCGTCAATGTGAAATAAACATCTAACCTGCAGGTACTTGAGAATTCTCAGATTCCAAAGTTGATTGGTTTGGTGGGGTAGTAAGCGCGTGTTGCAAAATGACACTTTGTTGCTCCGAAACAACAGGCGTACTCCACTGCCTAGGGTTTGGAGAAATTCTTATTACACTAGTTCCTCCCTGGTTGGGCCTAACCAATTCGGGTCTAGAAAGAACGTTATTAAAGGTAATGGCCATGTGCATGTTGTTAGCAACACAGTTATCAGAACAGAAATTGACCTAGTAGATAATTAAGTGCCATAATTCTATTTCCGGGCCTTTTTTTTCGGAGAGGCACGTTTCGAAAATATCTCGAGAATGTGACCGCACCTATTTTTGGGAGGTAGTGTTGCTAAACACTTTTTATTTTCCTGATTTTTAAATCATGGGTTCCCTGTAGGTAGGCAATCACAAATTAATAATAATAATAATAATATATATTACGTGCTTTGCAAAACAAAATAATACTTGCACTAGTCAAAACAACAAACATCAATACATTTAACATTGAATAGACTATGGGTCGTACGCGTATTCTACATGCTGTGATACAACGTTAGGCAAACTAGATAGAATTCAAAATCTTGCCATACGGTACGCCCTAGGTGCCTTCCGAACTAGCCCCACTAATTCCCTACACGTTGAGGCTAATATACTACCACTTCCTTTTCGCCGTAAGCAGCTGATGGTTAACTATTACTACAAAATTCTGATAAATAGGGAACATCCGAACCACCAGGAATTTGCTGAAAATGTAAGAAGGGGGCGTCTTGATAGGTGCAGACCTTTGGGTATCAGGGCAAGGGAAGCGATAGCAGAACTTGATTTGTCACACCGGGAGGTCTTGCATCTGTCAAAGACAGCACGCCAGACCCTTGTGAAACGGAGAATGTGGGAGTACTGGGAAAGACAATGGGCAAACTCAGAAACTGCTCTGAGAAAGGTTAAACCGAATTTAGCACCAATGTTTTTAATAAGTGCGGCAAGAATTGACCTGGTGAGGATATACAGATTGCGACTGGGACACACTGCTATCACACATGAATATTTACTTTCTAACTCTAACCGACCCCAGTGTGAAAACTGTGAAGTTGATCTGTCGTTAGAACACATAATGTGTCAGTGCCCACGCTACGAACAACAAAGAAGGCGACTCGACATTTGTGCAACAGTAGAGGCAAACTTAACAAGGGAAAAGTGTAAAATACGCTAATCTTTTTTAAAGAAATAGGACTCCTTAATAAAGTCTAATACTTTTAACTTACCTCGTAATAAAGGCCAATAGCCTCAGCAGCTGACACCTAAGGAGGGGTTTTAGTGGGTATACCCAATATTCGGGGGAGCCCCCACACTTTGTGCGTAAATGCATTTCCCCTCCTAAGAAAAAAAAAAAAAACATTGAAAATTAAATGAAGGTAGGTATAGTAATCTTAAGGAATTCCTCAACAGAGTAGAAAGCCTTTTCCTTAAGGAATTTCTTAACCTTCAGTTTACAACTCGGAAATGCTAACTCTTTTACATCATTTGGCAGGTGATTGAAACATTTTAAGCCAATAATTTACCGTTTCAAAAAATTTATAAGCCATAGTTTTTTCTGGCAGCTATTTTTAAAATTGCGGTTTAGCGAATTTGATGGAAAAAACGGGGTGCGAGGAAGGAAAAGAACGAAATGGCTGAATGAAAACAAGAAAAAAATTTACAGAATGTGCTTTATTATGCATAAAGAATACCTAAATTGGTGAGGGAGGTGAAGGGGCTATGTTCACTTGCCTCCTCCTAAATATATTTAAGGATAAGCAGAAACATCGCATTTTAGCGCATACTAAGAGTAAAATTTCGAGGGGTAATTCACCCTTGAAATCAGGTGTACGCAAATACTGAAATCACAATGAAATCACCTGAAATCTCCTGAAATCACTTGAAATCACCTGAAATCAGTTTGAAATCAGTTCGAAATCTCTTGAAATCCAACCAACGATACTTCTTTCAATTGAATTTTAAACTTATTACGTACCATGATTAGTTACGATCAGTATACGCCCTTCTTTAAAATTATAAGCTGTTTGCTTACGCATCAAATAAAATCAAGGGAACTAAGTATATTTTGTGCTCATTATTGTCATAACGAGGTCAGTAATAATGTGAGGGTTGTAAGGTAATTACACCGCACTTAATATCTGTTGTTAGCGTATTTTCCCCAAAATGAAAAATCGTTATTGGCTGCACTTTGACGTCCGTCCGTCCGTGCGTCTGTCCGTCACACATACTCCTTCTAAACCACTGAACCGATTTTGGCGATATTGGGCTCATTTGAAAGGGCTTGGTCCAAGGATTCCGTGCATACCCATATTTTTTGGTTTTGCGCATGCGCAATGTCAACAATTTGGTTTAACGCATGTGCAATGCTAACTTTTTTATTTATGAAGATATTTAAATTAAACTTTATATGTGAACACTACGAGTATAAGTAAAGTGAACGATATTTTCAAAATGTTTTGCGCATGCGCAATGCCAACTTTCTTATTTATGGAGGGATTTAAATGAAATTTTATACATAGGCATTTGGAATACAACCAAATTTACCGCCATTTTCCAAATTTGGTTTTGTGTAGGATGTACAGTGCCAACTTTCTTATTTATGGAAGCAATTAAATGAAATTTCATACATATACACTTTAAATAAAATCAAAACTAACATCAGGTTTAAAATTTGGTTTTGCACATTCTATAGCCATACCCAGGATTTGCGTTGCTATATTTGTTTAATTTATTGTCAATAACGAGGTCAGTAATAACGTGAGGGTTGTAACTTGTAAGGTAAATACACCGCACTTAATATCTGTTGTTGTTATTAATTTTCACTCATTATAAAAATGTGATTTGAACTGCCGAGCAGAATTGTAAATTGACAGATTACATTTAGCTTTAGCAAAGTGCAAATTATTTATCTCTGAAATAAACCCTTAAAATCTCCTTTAAAATCTTTACAATAGAGATATTTTCTCGGATATTTTTTCTTACTTATTGTATTTAGCCAGGTATTGACACATATTATTGGAATGAGTCATCGTGAAATATTATGGTTGATTCAAAAAATAACAAATCGCGACCTAAAGCTGACATTGCTGCTTTGTTTTGATAAACAAAGATTTGCAACGTGTTAGACTGAAACTAAGTAATATCTGTCGCCGTTGTTGGTGGTTTGGTCTCTGGTTTGCCAATTTAGAATTAAGTAGTCGCACTTTACTTCTTATGGACAAACATGTTAGTGTTGTGAACGAGGTTGTGTTTTTTCAAAATTTTTTACAGATCTGGTGTGTTGTATGTGTACTAAGACAGTGAACAAAAAAAACTTGAAAAAATGGATTTCAGCAGTGGGCTTGCCTGTTATGCAGATATTGAGAAGATAATGAACATAACATTACCTTTACATATAAAAAAACTATTAATTATTAATGGGCTCAATAGTGATGCAAGTATAAAGGATTTAAACGTAACTGACATTGATAATGTTGAAAAGTTTGTATAATTTAAAATGACATCCCATTGAAATCCCATTGAAATCACACTGAAAACACTTGAAGTCATCTGAAATCACTTGAAATCATCTGAAATCATTTGAAATCAACTGAAATCACCTGAAATCATCTGAAGTCTTGAAATCAGTGTACATGATCTCATCGAGTGAATTACCCCTCGTAAAATTTAGTACAAAAATATGATAAAAGAATCAACCAGATGTACCAAGTGGCATAGATATCAGCGACAAAATACATAGTGGGTGGGGGCTACGTATATTTGACCCCTCCCACATTTATTTTCAGATTTCTAGAAATTAATGGCGCAAAAGTTATTATCGATGGTTCATGTGAGTACATAACGAGCGCAAAAATTCATGCAAGTCTGAAGATTGAGGTTAGGTTCCGCGGCAGTGGATAAGGCATATTTAAGAGTTCAGCTCATTTAGTACAATGAACGTTACCACCAGAGCCTTGTAGAAAACTACTACCTGACAGTAAAAGGAAAAGACATTAACTGCTGCATGAAAAAAATATTAGATGGCTCTGCCTGACTACATCAGGGATCTGGAAGACGCGCAATTCAGAAGAAAAAATCAGAGCATTTCTCAGTGCTAAAACTTTTAGCAGCATTGAAGACTACTTTTACCACCTGTATGATGAGATTTGTTAAAAACGAGCGCTTCAAGATATTGATCCTTTAAGCCGAATAAAATTTCTTTTTGCGACGTTGAAAACAGCTCACACAATGATTAATCTAGTTCTGTTAGAAACATACAGTGAGTTTTTTTTTAAATGCGAACATAGCAGTTTGCATGCAATGTAATTTCCCTATGTTCGATTTAAAAAAAAAACACATCAATCTATGAGGTGTGCGCGGTTCACATTCCCAAATCGCGCAACTTGTGTGACTATGAACAGCAACTCTAATAGTCTTTATGATGAAGAGCACTCGGTAAGATTTTTTTAAAGAAGCCATGTGAGGCCATAGCAACTTTAGGATACATTTTTCTTAAACTTACGATAACTTGACCTCACAGACCACGCACTGACACCACAACTCATTGTGAACCAACCTTCAATTATTTGTAGGTCATGTGCACCTGGTATTCTACTAATTTGATCTATTCAATACATAAATGAAGTAAAGAAGAAAATAAATACTGAAAACAAATACAATAAATGTTCAAAGTGTCCTCCTTGACATTCTAAGCAATAACCTAACCGATTTCGTACTTAAATTGGACGGCGGTATTTTTAAAAATGTGACCGTTGTCAATTGTATCTACTGCTCATTTGAACTACTCAATAGATTGATGTGTTTTTTTTAAAATCGAACATAGGGAAATTACATTGCATGCAAACTCCTATGTTCGCATTTAAAAAAATTCACTGTATGTAGCGGACAGAACTCTAAAAATGAAGTAGCAATCAATTAGAGCCTAATTATACACTAGGTCAGTTTTTGTTCTGCAGAACACTACCAAGACTTTTTACCTGATAACGGGTTGATATGGTGCCGGTACATTGTAACCTGGCGGTCCTGGAGATGTGTGCTTCAGAAGTCCATGAGAATGATTACTAATGGGCATGAAGACATTTTGCCTAGACCCGACGGTAATTGGTGAATGCATAGTTAAAGGTGACGACCCTTGACAATTCGGCGAAAAGGCGGGTGTCGCAGAACGTGAGCTACCCAGTGACACTAAGTGGAGAATTTTAGTAATCTGTTGCGTTTTACAGTTGAAGCGCTTACCTAGCATATTGGCAGCTTCGGTTTCATCTTGGTCAAAGCGGCCTGCTATCCTACGTTCATTGCAGTTCGGAGAAGTGTCAGAGTCACGGGATGTGTCTTCACCTTCTCCTTTGCTGCTTGAACGAGGAAATGATGGGCCACTCCTCAAATAGTTACCTTTGAGACTCAAGTGTCTCGAGCAATAACCGCGACGTTGTGACTCCTTACTGCAACCATCCTTTGAGCAAAGTCTCCGCCACTGTTTACCATTAAACTTTTTCCTAATTCCATTAGGATTAGCAACGACATCACCCTTTTTATACTTATGTGGTGTAGCTGCTTGACTACGTGGCGTAGTCGGTTGAGATCTAAGCGTAATGCTGCTTGAAGAGCTTGCCCTACTTTGCATACTACTGCGTTTACTGCTTCCTGATAGTTTCGCATCAGTCTCGGATGGAAACATGATGTCCTCCCTTCGCAATTCATCCTCACTTTCACAAAATTCGTCACAATGGCGTCCGTTGGATAAAGGGGTGCAAGCTGATATCCGCGGTGGGGAATTGGAGATGTATTCCGTTTGAATTGTAGGAAGGACGTCGTGCAGTTGCAAAGGGAACTGTAGATTTTCTAGTTCGTCCCACCACGGCGGCCGAAGCAGTCTTAAATCTGCCCTTTTCACATTTATTTCGTGAGGCCTATCTCCTAGTACCGCCACTGCAAAGCGAATCGGCTGCCCTTCAAGTATCTTACACACGACGCCTTCCACGAATACGGCTTGGTCGTGTCGCACGCACACCCTCGTCCCTAACGTTAACTGACTCACATAAGGGCTCGCGTCACCTATCACATCGTAACATTCACTTGCTAACACGTCCGTGAAACACACTGGTTTATTTTCCCTTCCATCGAATTCTACCGTCAGCTGAAATGTGTAATACAATTAGGAAGTGTTGGTCATATAATGTTACAATATTTACAACTAAAGTGACAGTTATAACAACTATAACTTTACAACAGCACTTTACACCCTACTTAACCAATTGCATGTAATGTGGACTTTCCTCACTGTAGCAGACCATTCAAAAGTTTCTCCCAACACACTTTCAACGACTATCTTCATTTAGGTGCATAATGACAAGTGATAAAAAACAAACACGCAAAAACTCCTTGGGAAGTACCATTAAAAAAGGAAGCACATTGTACAACACAACAAGCAAACAATAATCACCTCATAGCTCCGTAAATGACATTGCGTATGGAAATCCTGAATAACATACTTGTTTGCCATACTAATTAAAAAAAAAAACAATGAATTCTATAATAAGACATCATAAAATATCATTGTCTAAAAGTACCTATAATGATCAGTTTTTGAGAAACTGGATCAACCAGATACCTTTATGGAGCCAATGGGAAGTGAAAGAAACTAACCTTCTCCTACATATGCAAAATGAAGCCTGCTACAAGGTCTGAGTGCTGAGATCTCAAACCCTCAGACGGGCGGATGCGGAAAATACGCTAAAAATACAATACGAATATATCTGATTTGCGCATGCGCGACCATTTTTCACTTACTGTCATCTGTACATTCTACCTGCCAAATAAAACACAAAGTCTTAAATGTACGAAGGACTGCAATATTTTTAATTAAAACTGTGACGATTTTCCACATTTGCACGAACATCTTGTGCAGATTCAAAAAGAGCACGGAAAGGACAGATGATGGTCATCAACATTTTATATTTATTTTTATTTCGTCTACATTTTGGGGGTGGGCAGGGTTTTCTTCTACCAATCACACCTAAATTCAAAAGTCGCAGTCAAGCATCTATTCAATTACGACTTGTAGTGAATGTTCGGGACAATTTTTTGAATTTCTCAAAATTTGAACAACATACAACAGTTGTTTCTCAATTTTTTCAAAATTTTCTATATTTTAAAAATTTTAAATTTTTGTATACCCCTAACTTTACAGCGGTTTCCCCCTCCTACGTATTTAGGCAATGCGTTAAAAAGTTTTCCAAACGAAATTGATACATTTTGTGATTTGAGTGGGAAATTGCTAACACTCCGCCCACTATAAGATAAAGGCAATAAAAAAAAAAATAGTAAGCCACGAATTTGAACCATCCTGTACAGTAACTGGAATTTTTACCATCACCCAAAAATGCAATAAAGCTGATGTGCCCCAGGCGAAAGTATGGCGGACAGAGCTCTAAAACGAAACTACCCCCTTCTGGTATAACAAAAATTCCAAGAAAAATTCATATTAAACGTAAAGATAACAAAGTTCAGATTGTCTAATAACAGACGAGTAATTATAAACTTCTCCTACACTATAAAAAGATAATGTACATAATATGATATCACGCAATTGATAACTTGATTATGAAATTACTTCCTGAGAGGTTAAAGTATAATTTTTTAATAATTGCTTAAAATTAGTTTAATTACAAAGAGGTTAATAAGGCAATTGCAAAGTTGAAAGGAGTACAACAGTTAGGTATTATCAACGATCATTACTTTAAATAAATATTATTACGTATAACTTGAGTGTCATATTCTTATCAATGTACAATGCGAAAGTTCATAAAAATGCCACGGGATACACCACTGTCACCGACACCGTTACAATTATAGTAAAACATCCATTCAGGTCAGGGTCGCAGATACTTAAAGGGGGAGAATTGAATGATTGACAATCTTAATACCATGGTTCCTACAACCCTCATTTCACTATAAAATGGTGTATCAGCAGTTGACATGTCTTTTTATAACTACATAGATATAAAACAAGCAATTAATAATATGTGATGATATTTAAATTACAGTTAAAAAAATGGAATAAAGATATCTCGATAATAATAAATTGCAGAATCTTCAATCTATTAATTATACTTAAGTAATAAAGCGAATAATAAAAATATTGGCGAAACTACTAGCACAATTTTTTTTTTTTTTTTTTTTTGAGTTGGATCCATCGTTCCTCGAAATGGGGGTTGAAAATATATTATGTTATCAAAAATCTCTAAACCTTCCCCATATAGTTTTATTCGTTGAAGTTTTTTAAAAGTAAAAGCGACTATAGTTTCGGCGTACTGCCATCATCAGGCGACTAGAAGTGTATCACAATATAGCAAATTTGAAAACAGTGAAATTTAACAGGAAAACGGTAAATTACAAACGTTGAAGACGAATAAGACGAACATGTTGTTTTTTTTAATTATTAACTGGCCGAAGCCAAGTGAAAAAACCTGAAGGGTGGTTAAAACGGAAAGGTTGTCCTAAGTTTCAAGACGAATTATTATCAAGCCTTGTTAAGACAACCATCCGGAGGGTTGAATTTTTACATTAAAGGTTGAAAGTTGGATTAACACATTTCAAAAGAACGGGGGGAAAAAATAAACTTATAAAAGTATTGAAACTATTAAGATGACTACATAAATTATTTAAGTAAAGTTTAAATTCGAGATCATGCAGACGGCATGTCTCGAAATGATTGACAATAATAGTTTCAATACTTTTATAAGTTTATTTTTTCCCCCCGTTCTTTTGAAATGTGTTAATCCAACTTTCAACCTTTAATGTAAAAATTCAACCCTCCGGTTGGTTGTCTTAACAAGGCTTGATAATAATTGGTCTTGAAACTTAGGACAACCTTTCCGTTTTAACCACCCTTCAGGTTTTTTCACTTGGCTTCGGCCAGTTAATAATTAAAAAAACAACATGTTCGTCTTATTCGTCTTCAACGTTTGTAATTTACCGTTTTCCTGTTAACTTTCACATCGCCTGATGATGGCAGTACGCCGAAACTATAGTCGCTGTTATTTTTAAAAAACTTCAACGAATAAAACTATATGGGGAAGGTTTAGAGATTTTTGATAACATAATACTAGCACAATATTATTAAAGTGTATTAGTAGGACTCGGCTCAAAAGTATGTCAAAAATTGTTCTCTCCTGGGTCAGGAGAAAACAGGGAAGTACAGGCATTATCAGGCAGTACTCGTGAAATGTAATAATAATAAAAAGATGCTAACTTATACAGGTTGTAACAAGTATGTAAAAAAAATTGATGATCAAAGAGAACAAGGCAAACTCAAAAACGAGAGTGCGAAAAAAGTTCAGATCTTGATGAGATTTTGGTACCCCAACATATTTTATGAAGTTTAGACCATTTTCGTGGTCTAACCAAGAATTGCAGTAAAATTTTTTTTTCAAAATTTTTTTAAAAACCCCAGATACCACCCCTAATAAAATTAGAATAGTAATAACCAAAAGCTGCAAGTTCCATCCTTCTATCTCTTATGGTTCCTGAGGAAAAAATTAAACAAAAACAATTTTTGGAACTTATGAAGGTGTGACACCCAAACAATTCACTTTGGGCCGTTAATATTTTACATTGTCATTGTTGCACAGGGATCCAAGTAACAATGGTACATGGATGTGTCGGAAAGTAATAAAGTGTGCGAGAAAAAAAAAGGAAACATGGTGTCCAAAACAAAGAAACCGAATGGCCTTTCGTTTTGTGAATTTTCAAAAACTTGATATCGTTTGAAAATCTTTTTAAACTAATTAAATTTCCCTACCAAAAATGGATTTCAACAATTGTTTACACTCGTACCCGAGCTAATACCTAAACAAAAGAATGTCAAATTCGAGGGGTTGATCACAAGGAAAATTCTTGTTCCTCATGCTTAAAGGAAATAAGAAGAAATTCAAAGAAATTCTGAGGAAATGGAAGAGATTGAAGCAAATTTGGAGGAAATAAGGAGAAATTCCAAAGAAATTCTGAGGAAATCTAAAGAAAATTCCCAGGTAATCTAGAGGAAATTTTAAGGAAAAACGGTTTCTATAGAAAAACTGTTGGGAAGTATGTAAGAAATAGGCGAAATTAAAGGAAATTTTGGCGAAATAGGAGGAAATTTCCTCGGAAATTTCAAAAGAATGATGAAATTCTAGGGAAATATTAAGAAACTTTGAGGAAATCTAGAGGAAATTCTGAGGATATCTAGAGGAAATTCTGAGGATATCTAGAGGAAATTTTAAGGAAATAAAAGGTTTCTATAGGGAAGTAACCTCAGAAGTAACGTGTACGAGACTCATTTCACGTTAATTCGGAGAAATTTTGTGTAAATTTGGGAAAATTTAAGGCATTGCTAGGAATGGCGAAATTAAAGGAAATTGTGCCAATTTTTAAGCAATGAAGGAAATCTTTTTTCCCCTAAAATAAGTCGTGATCATCCCCTTGGTCAAAGTATCCACGAAATAAATTTGTACATTAAGAAATCTACTTAATTCCAAAATTATTTCACTAAGGAATGGAAAAATCGAGGGAAAAATGATATCAACATGCATGTTTTATAGAAATGCTGGTCATTTGTAGGGCTAGGATTTTAATGACGTTCAAAATCAGCGAAAATGCAAAATAAAAAATGCAATTATGACTTAAAAATCTCGCAAAAATTTTAAAAAATGACATTTTATTGATTGCAGTATTTAAAAATTTGGCAGTAATGCAATATCGAGTGCAATATACTTACGTCGATAAGAGGAATTCATCTAAAATAGTTTCAGGTTATGGCACTTCTGGTTATACTGGAACACTCCTCGGAACACCCTATATATTATTTCATTTTTAGATTCTGTATAAAATTCTCTACAGGATGTTATGCAGGTATTCAGGGAATAGTACTTGTCAAAATAAGGAAAAAATGCAAATGGTCGTTATCTTTATACAGGGCGGCAAAATTCCAATTTATTTTCTTGTATTTTGCGCTCGATTTTGCGCTTTCTCTTTCATGTTGTGTGATAATTGTTTAAAATTGGATACATCAATTATTTTTTAGAATCTCTACAATAAAGTATCAAAATAGTGGGTCACAGTATACAGGGTGTTACATTTTTTTCTGATTTTGACAAGCACTATCGCCCCCTGAAATATTTGCATGACATTAATAAGAAAAAGTGTTTTCTCGAGAAATTTTGGTGCAGTCGATTTTTGGTAAAAAAGGAAGGTTAATCACTGCTTTTTTTGGAGCCCCGAAGACAAAATTATCTCAGATCGACCCGGAAAAAAAATTTTCTTATAGAATGTGGCCTGTAGAATCCATAATTTCAAACAGTTCCAAGATTGGGCTACTAGTTCAAAAGTTACAGCCCTTTGAATTTTTTTTTGGTTTCTAGTCTATAACTTTTGATTGAGAAGTCTGATCGAAAAAGTACGAATTGATTTGGATTCTACACACCCAAATTAATAAGAAAAAGTGTTTTCCCGAGAAATTTTGGTGCAGTCGATTTTTGGTAAAAAAGGAAGGTTAATCACTGCCTTTTTTTGAGCCCCGAAGAAAAAAATTGTCTCAGATCGACCCGGAAAAAAATTTTCTTATAGAATGTGGCCTGTAGAATCCATAATTTCAAACAGTTCCAAGATTGGGCTACTAGTTCAAAAGTTACAGCCCTTTGAATTTTTTTCTAGTCTATAACTTTTGATTGAGAAGTCTGATCGAAAAAGTACAAATTGATTTGGATTCTACGCACCCAAATTAATAAGAAAAAGTGTTTTCTCGAGAATAATTATTATTATTATAATAATGAATAATTCAGTATTCCTTCATTGGTTACAATCGAGGTTACAATATCGTCACTGCGCAAATAAATACCATGTATACATTGCATGTATAATGTTAAAAAAAGATAAATATAGGGTGTTCAAAAACTAACATTAAATCTCGCATTAAATATTGAATTGAAAAAATCGTTAAAACTAGGTAGGAGCCCCCGATTTGTTTCGTTATTATTAAGCACAAGAAATAAGAGTAACTGTATAGTATATTCTGAGGCATATTCCAAAAGTTTTCAGTTACAATCAAAATTGAAAAAACATGCGCTATTGTCTGTGCATCTGTCGTTATCGTAGCGAATGCTCTTCAACTGCTCCATAGATCGTGTAGGAATCAAATGAAAGTTTACCTACTATCTGACGAAAACCTCCCCTTTATGGTCCAAAGCAACCCTTTAAGTATTGGGTGGAGAAGGGGTTGGGGGTAGAAAATTAAATTAAGTAAGTAAACTTTGATCGATGGGATGAATCAAGACCGTTGAGTAGAGGTCGATCGCAGGATCGTATAATGACGTGCGAGGTGAAGTGTAATGTCACTCGGTCTCGACCGTGCAAGACAGAGATTTCTGCTATAGAAGCATGCGCCCAGATGTTCTTAGAGAGTAACCTCGAAGTAGGGCCACTTGGCAGGGGGTGCACGGAGGAAGAACTTCCTCTGCATATACTCTACCACTGTGGTGGAAGAATGGTGGATTTCATCATCCTAAGGGAATGCGACTAAAACTAGAGGGTACAATAACCCTTATGGTCGCAGCAAATTGACCTCTGCAAATAGCAATAATAAAATGTGTCAAAATCGTTATTTACGCACCAGTTTTGTTTGGAAAATGTGTAAACTCTGTAGCTTAATGTATGAGATGTGAATTTTATGGATTTTCAATGACTACGTGCGTTTGAACCAAAAGGTGTACGATTATCTTGATGTCAAAAAGTGAACATTTAGAAATAAAATTGATACAATTATTTATTTTAAATATAGAATGGTACTCGGAATGGTACCAATGTGCTTTATAAACCTTGTCAGTTACGATTAAAATTTCTGCTTGTTGAAATATTCTTGAATCTCCTCATGGGGGCTTCATTTTTTCTGTTTGAAGGAATCTTGAGTTTCCAAGACAAGAATTACAGCTATATTTTCCTAATGATTATTACCTACTATATGGACACATTATAAGGTAGTGGAAACCTTTTACGTTTTTATTCAAGTTGGTCTGGGCATGCGCAAACCTTATTATTAAACGCATGCGCATATCATTTATTAATGTCATCCACAATTAAAAATTTTTTTTTAAACGTTTTAAGAGAAAATACGTCTGGAGACCCTTGAAGATTTTAGAGGAAACTTTCTTGTACGCTATACATGTCCAAATACCAACGAAGAAGTCTCATCTTCCTATGAAGCCTCAGTGTTGAATTTCAAATACACATTTCTTTATGCAAAATGCCCTAAAGAGGACGTTCCAAAAACTGCAATTACAACACCTTTTGGATTGTATGAATTTTTATATATGCCATTAATGATCGGAATCCTTTTTACATCAATAAAAGTATTTTATCAAAAGCTCACCTTTATCAGAAACGTTTTCCGAAAAATCCTGGTGCTCATAAAACAAACCTTCATTTTGGTAGTGTTGACAAACAAAGAAATTATACCTACTGTTGATGTTATACAGCTGATTAGGAGATATATACATAACAATCACCGAAGCGCCATTATGACATCATGCCGAAGTACAGGGATTTCAAAAGATTTGTCTTGTCAAAGCGAATAAGTCAACGAATGCTCTCAAGGTTGACAGTTTGCAGTCCAATGATCTTTCGAAAATTAAAACTTGCATACATTTCCACATTTTAATAATAAATCAGAGGTGCAACAGGTCTCTACCGAGAGAAATGCAGTAGCCCTGTCGACCCTAATACGAAATCTTACTTCTGAACAATAATACTCACAGTGTTCCCGCTGGCTTGACGAATGACACCGGGATAATACCAATCTCCTTGCTTGGCGAGCACGCGATGATCGCACCATTCACTGAGATCTATATCGAACTGTTTACGTATGACTTGCTCGTCGTCGATCGGTCGAATTGAGCAGGAGTAATCGACGGCGGCGATTTGTGGCGGCGCCGATATCGTGCTCTGCACGACCGAGACCGGTACGCAAGCGACATTGCCGATTTCTTCGAGTTCGGAGAGATCAAACTTTCGTTTCTTTGGTACTTTTCTTACTTCGATATTGGATGCTGACATCGTATTTAATGTAATATCCCTCGAATCCGAAATACTTCTAGTTCTTCGTTTATATTCAGCTATAAACATTTTTGAAATGACTGTGGAACTTATCGTAGTAGTACGAGTATACGTATATCATATTGTTTCCGTAGTTAAATCACACAACACATAATTTAGTAATTCAGTCTTTTAATAATTCACATGGTGCAATTCGCACAGGAGCACTGAGCAATGAGCATGGCCTCCTTCCATGCCCAAGTAACCTGAAAATCCAAAGGTGGTTAAAATAGCACTTTTGTTTACATTGAAAACGTTCACTTTTAAGTTAAAAGAAGTCATTAGGCATGTTTTGGAATGAACGTCCTAAGTACCTGTCATACCTACATCAATTTGTAAATAAACATGTATCTGTCATATGGAGAAAACAAAAGAATTTTTCGCCTTTAGCCACCATAATCCTGGGAATTTACGAAGATTTGCATAAAACGGTAGACTCGTAGGGTTAACGAATTATTTTTCTTTTTTTTAATTGACGAAATAAGTATAATACATGAAATAACACCCACGAGACGCAGACATCAAGCATAACCCCCCTTATCACCCCGACACCCGCGATGACGGTCGCGTTCGCATCCGTATCTGAGTGTGTATAGAGGAAGCCTGATTCATACCGAGCAAGAGTAACGTACTCCAGAGGACAAAAATTAACACTACGAGGTTACTCGTTTATTTTCAAAAAGACCGATCAATCAAAAGTGCAAGGGATTTTTGTCCACTCACATGCTTCGGGTAAATTTAGACGATTTGATTTGCCTATGAACGAGTTGGGAATTTTAATTCCTTTGTTTTACAAACGAAGGGTACACAACAAAAAGCTACGTGAACAATTCCCTGAAAAACATTTATTTACATAATTGCGGTTATTCAAAGAAACAATTAGATCAATGTCAAAAAATTGCACATAGAACTTAATTATCTCTTTACTAATTAAAATCATCACTTCGTTATCATTAAATATTAGAACGGTGTTGTCAAATAGATATCCTAGAATATCAGAATTGCCGCGTACCTATAGGCAACTACAATTACACCTTCGTTATTGCGGTTGTCTATCAAAATATAAAACTAAAGGGGGTGTAATAAACGTTATTATTATGCAACCCTTAAACGTTTTTGTATTTTTCTATTAAAAATTCGGTCTCACTTTGCAGTTATCCTCTGTCCCCAGTTATTTTTGCGGTTCTTCAAATAACTTTATTAAAAATATTGACTACGTTTAAACTTTAAGGGGTCTACTAGCGATAAAAGTTTCATAAAAATGCAACCCCTAATCGTTTCTAAATTAGGTTTTTTTGTCTGTAAAAAATTCCTTATTCCCTTGCAGCTCTCCACTTTAAGGGATGTATCTTTTGTGGTAGGTACATCACAAGACTATTTATTGAATAACTTTACCAGTTTACCAGCACCCAGGGCTGAGCAGTATTTCAAATACATGTATTTGCATACTAGTCTAGGCGATAGAGACTGTAAAATTGGCAAACTGGACATTTTGAGGTGGAAAAGAAAAAAATGGTGGAATATGTTCAGTTAGGTGTCAAAAACAACATATTAAAAATCCCACCCTCCAGACCCTGTGCTAAAGGCTCCAGCCACCCCACCATCCCCCAAAAACCGTGTTTTCGCTCTTTTTGGCTGATACCTCGAGATCTATGAGGTCTATATGAAATATTTTTAGCTGAAAGTATTTCTCGGGAAATTTCATACAAGGTAGATACTCAGAAGTTAGCCTAGGTGTACCTCTTAGCCTAGGAAATTCATAAAAGAGGCGAAAATCATCCATTTTCGTGGCTTTTTGCTAATATATCGCGACCTTTAGGGCTAGATGAAATATTTTTAACTGAAAATGCTCCTCGTGAAATTTTTTACAAGGTAGATACTCAGAAGTTAGCTTAGGTGTACCTCTTAGCCTAGAAAATTCATAAAAGGAGGCGAAAATCATCATTTTCGTGTTTTTTTTTTGCGGTTTTTTGCAAAAATATCGCGACCGTCAGGGCTAGATGAAATATGTTTAGCTGAAAATGCTCTTCGTGCAATTTCATACGAGATAGGTAACTGAAGAGTTGGCGTAAAGTCACCTTTCACCTTCAACTTTCATGTGTGAGGAAATATTCATTGTAAAACAAAGTATTTCTATGTACCATTTATTCACGTAAAAACAGTATTTTCATATTAAAATATTCACACATTCATTTATACCTCAACGTAATCATTATCCTTATACTTATCCAAATCAATTCGTACTTTTTCGATCAGACTTCTTAATCAAAAGTTATAGACTAGAAACCAATTTGAAAAAAAATTCAAAGGGCTGTAACTTTTGAACTAGTAGCCCAATCTTGGAACTGTTTGAAATTATGGATTCTACAGGCCACATTCTATAAGAAAATTTTTTTTCTGGGTCGATCTGAGACAATTTTTTCTTCGGGGCTCCAAAAAGGCAGTGTATAACCTTCCTTTTTTACCAAAAATCGACTAGCACCAAAATTTCTCGGGAAAACACTTTTTCCTATTAATTTGGGTGCGTAGAATCCAAATCAATTCGTACTTTTTCGATCAGACTTCTCAATCAAAAGTTATAGACTAGATGCGGATTCCACTTCTTCAGGCTCTTCGACGTCCTCTAGTGGTAGTGGGACCCACTAGCACTAGAGGACGTCGAAGAGCCTGAAGAAGTGGAATCTGCAGAGGATAATGATTACGTTGAGGTATAAATGAATGTGTGAATATTTTAATATGAAAATACTGTTTTTACGTGAATAAATGGTACATAGAAATACTTTGTTTTACAATGAATATTTCCGCACACATGAAAGTTGAAGGTGAAATGTGACTTTACGCCAACTCTTCAGTTACCTATCTCGTATGAAATTGCACGAAGAGCATTTTCAGCTAAACATATTTCTTCTAGCCCTGAAGGTCGCGATATATTTGCAAATAACCGCAAAAAAAAACATGAAAATGATGATTTTCGCCTCCTTTTATGAATTTCCTAGGCTAAAAGGTATTAACCTAGGCTAATTTCTGAGTATCTACCTTGTAAGAAATTTCACGAGGAGCATTTTCAGCTAAAAATATTTCATCTAGCCCTGTCACAATATATTTGCAAAAAGCCACGAAAATTGATGATTTTCGCCCCTTTTATGAATGTCCTAGGCTAAGAGGTACACCTAGGCTAACTTCTGAGTATCTACCTTGTATAAAATTTCCCGAGAATATTTTCAGCTAAAAATATTTCATATAGACCTCATAGATCGCGAGATATCAGCCAAAAAGAGCGAAAACACGGTGTTTGGGGGATGGTGGGGTGGCTGGAGCCTTTAGCACAGGGTCTGGGGGGTGGGATTTTTAATAGGTTGTTTCTGACACCTAACTGAACATATTCCACCATTTTTTTCTTTTCCACCTCAAAATGTCCAGTTAGATGTCTTTATCGCCTAGACTATACGTATTGATGTATCAAATTTAAAAACAATTATCACACAAACATGAGAGAGAAAATGCAAAATACGAGAACAAAAATTGGAACTTTGCCACCCTGTATAAAGATAATGTGAAATAAGTAACGTTGTTTCTCTATAGAAACTGTTTATTTCCTTAAAATTTCTTCTAAATTTTCTCAGAATTTCCGCTAGATTTCCCTGAAATTTCCTCATTCCTTTGAAATTGGCCTAAAATGTCCTAGAATTTCCTCTAATTTCGTCCATATTTTCCAGGTATTTTCTCGAACAAGAATTTCCCTCGTGACCAACCCCAAGGGGTTGACTTATATGGACAAAGATTTTCTTTATTGCTTAAAAATTGTCACCCTTGTTTCCTTCATTTTCTCAACATTTCTAACAGGGCCGCCGATAAGGGGGGTCAGCCGGGGCATTTGTCCCGGGGCCCGGTCATATTCTGGGGGCCCGGCCAAAAGAGATTTTGAAACCTGATTTTTAATTGTATTTTTTAACAGAAATCTGCATATGCATGTCTCTATATAAGAGAGTAGAATATAAAAAAATGCACAGCAGAAGATTTAAAAAACCATACCATTAAGCAAAATTTCCTAATTACGGGAACAGTGGCAAAAGGCTCGCTAGGTAAAAACCGTTTGAGATCGACTATGGTTCAAAATCATTAGATCAATCTCAGTACATTAGCTCTTGAAGCTCAACATGCTAGAGAAATTAATTTTGAACGAGTGATATTCACTTTTGCTAATAAGAAAATCCGCAGAGTTAAATTGTAATTTGTTTATTTGAATTCTAACAATTCATAATAAATTATGAAAATTACTGTGTTTGTATGAAAATTATTCAAATGTTCTCCTTTCAAATCCAAGTAGTCAAGATTGAAAATGTCTAGTTTAAGATAAGGGTGATGGACAACAAAAATTTCAATTATAGGGGCCCGATCAAAAAAATATTCCCGGGGCCCGTCGAGGCTAACGGCGGCCCTGATTTCTAGCATTGCTTTAAATTTTCCCCAAATGTACACAACGTTTTTCCGAACTAACGTCAAATGAGTAACGTTATTTGTCTGTAAAAATTCCTTCTTCCCTTGCAGTTCTCCACTTTAAAGGATGTATATTTTGCGGTATGTCACAAGACTTTATTTATATATAGGATGAATCACAGTATCTACTACTGAATTGTCAATTTGATTTGCGTGGGTGGGAGTTTGGACCTGTGGATGAAGGGACACAAGTTTCAGTTCTCGGATTGTTTTGGAGCACGAAATACGATTATTTGCAACTGGACATAAAAAGCCACAGGAAATAATCCAAGAGGTGGTCTCAAGAAGAATTAAGTACATATTCTCTCATTTGTACACATCATTTACGATCCACTTGGATTTTGCAGATCGCCACCATACTATTGCAACAATCCTGGAATTTCAAGGTTGGACATGTATTGGTTACGCAACCCTATAAAGTGTTCATAAAAATACAACCCTTATAGTCGTCTTTAAATTACGAATTTTTCTGTTAAAAATTCCTTCTTGCTTTGCAGTTTCAAGGAGGAAATTTTTGCGACGAGTCAAATAACATGATTAAAATTACTGAATACCTATGTTCAAGGAGTGTACCAGCAACCCTGTGATAGGGTTAATAAAAATCCAACCATTGGTCGTTTTTAAATGACGTATTACTATTAACAATTTCGTTTTATTTTGCAATTGTCCACATTAGGTAGGTTTAAGAGGTCTACCAGCAACTCTATATACTAAGTGTTCATGAAAATGTAACTCCTGGCCGTTTCTTGGTTGTGCATTTTTCTGTTAAAAATCCTTTCTACTTTGCAACTACCAACCACAACGGATGTAATTTTTGTGGTGCCGCAAAAAACTTTATTACATCTATTGAGTACGCTTAACGGACTTACCAGCAGCCCTATGAAAGTGTTCATAAAAACACAGCCCTTAGGCCTTGTTTGTCAGTGTTGAGTTAAACCATAGTACAACCAAAATTGTAACCGTTTATCTGTTTCTCGGCGCCAGCATCCAAGGTTAAGAATAACCTCGAGAATAACCTTAACACCCCCGCTCTATCTGGTGTTTGTCGTCCACCTGGAAACCAGCGTCGTCTTCGAGATCGGCCCATAAAATTACTGAATATGTCCAAGGAGTTTACCACCAACCCTACCAAAGCCTCATTAAAAGGCAACCCTTAATCATTAGGTTCACAGTTCATAGTTATCCACGTTAAGGGATGTATCTTTTGTGGCTCGTCACAAGACTATAAAGGGTATAATTTTTGCGGTGCGTTATCCACTACGTACTACGTTCATTAAATGCAAATTGCGTATTTTTCTGTTCAATATTCCCTCTTACTTTACACTTTAAGGGGTGTAATTTTTGCGGTTCGATAAATAACTTTACTAATTAATTTATTGACTACGTTATTAAACGTAATTTTTGCGGGTAGTCAAATAATTTTTCTGTTAACATTAACAACTTCTGTTTACTTTGCTGTTACTCGACTAAAAGGGATGTAACTTTTGCGGTGCGACACAACATGAATGAAATTAATTAAGTCTACCAGCAACTATGTACACGGGTTCATAAAAATGCAACCCCTAGTCGTCTTCAAATTATGTATTTTTTGGTAAAAATTTTTGTTGTTTTGCAGTTATCCATTTTAGGGGGTTTAATTTTTGTTGCGCATCAAATAATTTTATGAAATTGATTGAATATGATTATGGGGTCTACCAGTAGACTATAAAAGTATTAAAAATGCAACCCTTCGCCGTATTGAAACTATGTATTTTTCTGATCGAAATTCCTTCTTACTTTACAGTCATCGAGTTTAAGGGGTGTCATTTTTGCGACTGGTCAAATAATTTTATGCGATTTATTGAATATGTTTAAGGGGTCTAACAGCCGCCCTACAAATTTCTCATAAAAATTCAACCCCTAATCGGTTTTAAACTCCGCAATTTTATGTTAAAATTTCCTTGTTATGCATTGTAGTTATCTAATTTTTGCGGCTCATCAAATAACTTTATTAAATTTATTGACTACGTTTAAGAGGTCTATACCGACAACCCTATAAAACTGTTTATGAAAATGCAACCCCTAGCCGTTTTTGAATTACGCATTTTTCTGTTAGGAGTTCCTTTTACTTTGCAGTTACCCAACTATAAGGGATGTAATTATTGCGGTGCGCCAAAACTTTATTAAATTTATTAATTACCTACCATTAAGAAGCCTACCAGCAACCCTATAAAAGTGTTCATAAAAATGCACCCCCTAATCGTTTTGAAATTCCCTATTTTTCTGTTAAAAATTGTCTCTCAATTTACAGTACTTAATCCACTTTAACTTTTTTTAAATGTATTGCATGCATGTAATGGGTCTAGCATCAACCCTTCAAAAGTAGTCATTAAAGTGCAACCCCCCCTGATTGTTAAATTACGTATTTTTCTGTTAAAAGTTCCCTCTTTTACTTTACAGTTTTCGACATTAATGAGTGAAATTTTTGAGGTGTGTCAAATAACTTTAATAAGTAATTAATTGACTACGTTTAAGGGATCTACTGGCAACCATATATAAAAGTGCTCATAAAAATGCAGCCCCGAGTCGTTATTAAATTATGTATTTTTCTGTTAAATATCCCTTTACAGTTATCCACTTTAAGAGATGTATTTCTTGCGGCCCATCAAATATCTCTTTAAGAGTTTATTGGGTAGGTATAGGTATGATATTTTTATTAGCAGTGATGCCAAATTTGCAAAAGTAGTTTTTGGTATGGGTACCTAATAGGCTAATAAACCATTACGATCCCCTTCGGGAGGTACGCTACCTCCTTCATAGTTTTTGGATATTTTCACAATGTGCTTGCAAGGGCAGAAGCCTCAAAAACACTTGGGATATACCCAGCACCCCCCCCTCGTACTGACATTTAAAAAATGTATGACTTGTCCCAAAATGATGAAGAACAGCAATCATGTATTGCTATTATAATTGTATTGATTTGATTTAAAATACTTACACATAATAGCTCATATTCTGAGCCTTGTTTTGATTGGTGCATTTTGAAAATACATGCATTCTCCCCCCTTTTCGACTACAATCGCATTTTAGAAGTTCTGTAGTTTGACCAGTGGCGTAGCTACGGATTAGCAAAGTCATAACATAAATTTAAATGCGACAGAACTTACGAAGTTAACACAATTGATAACTATGGAAAAAGGAATTCCTATCCCTAGTTCCATCCACTCCTGGAATTATGGTCGCCATTTGAGGTTTTCAGAGTAACTTCCTATGCCTATTCATGAATCCGCGTGACTACAATAATGTTATATATGTCACCTAAGCATTGCTTTATTGTAATTTGCAGGAAACATCAAGGGAATATGCGTCCACTGCTTAAGTAGGTAGCGCGAGACATGTATCTGTTGTGCATTTCACACGTCGGTCGTATACAAAGTTGCAACTTTTCAAGAGATAAGGTTATTAAAAAACTTTAATACTCAATATAGCAAATTCTTTTACAAACTATATATGTATAGAAATACACAGCAGTGCATATAAATAGGTACTATAGAAGTTTTTGTTCTGCTCTGCATTCCTACGAGACTAGGACGATATTGCACATATACAATGGAAATATATATGTATTTTTTATAAGCGTAGGAAGACGAATAGTCTGTATACTGTTTTTTATAATACTGCATGGTTATTATGAGGTACAAAATGAAAATTATAGAAAACAAAAAATAGCGACGATGATGAAAATATATGTACTACGTATGCAGCCTCCCGTGTTTTGAGAGGGAGTAGTAGTAGGTTGTGGTGTAGAAGTAGATGTGCTGAATATTTGCGAATTTGTACTGGTAAACAATCCGCTTCCTTCACTAAGATCTTCATCATCATTTAAACTGGGGTTATGAGTAATTGACTTCTTAATTGACGTATTTCCATTACACAAATTTGTATTGCAATAACAATATTCTATGCCATTAGCCAATTGGCAATCGTTTAGGTGAAAATCGTCACAGCCCATGGTGATGATCTTCTCACCTGAAACAGAATTGAAGAAAAATTAATAAAGTTTTCCAATAGTTTCAATTAGCAACAATGTTAATGATACCCATAAATGCGTCATCTAGATTAAGTACGTTGATAATGTTAGCGTATACATTTAAATAAATTTAATTCGCTGTTAACCCGTATAATTACGAATAATTACAAATATAATTAGCATAATTCCCAGTAATATAGTAACCAACCAAAGAGAAGAGGATATGTTGATTACAATGAATTTTAAGACTCCATTGTTCATAAATCCGAATTAGTTAAATAGTCTATTATATACCTGGTTAGTATTGTCTCAGTGTTATAATCTATTTAACATTTAAATGGGTACATTGTGTTTAACCTTCTGCCTACTATAGATTTCTTCAAATTTAATAAAGTTAACCAGTTCTAATTGCACATAATGGCCCCCGTTTAATCTAAATGGATGATGTGTGTTAACCGCCGTTAAGTAAAAAAAATATGATTCTGTCGGCTTAGTAATGAATTTACATCACACTTACTTAAAATTGGAATTTATCACAAATGTCAATTATTAAGTGGGGCTTTTTAGTGCACAATCACGATGGCATTGCGCTATATAAATAATTAAATAATAAATAAAATAAAACTGGGAACACTGACCTCGCTCATTTGGCCGCTAGTATATAGGGAGTGGGGATGCATAAATCGATTACAATCGAATAATAGAAATAATACATTGTTGGGTAATTAATTATCATCGACTACTTAGTACTTAGTAGTAGTAGATATGTCCCTCACCCCGAATGTTCTACGATTGTAGTATTGACTGCCGCCATTTTACTAGGGAGATATCAAAGATGACGAAGAAGATCATAGAAGAAATGAAGAGAAGGCATGAGCACCAATGGAGAAAAAAGAGCTGGAGTAACGACTTGTGACAGAGAATAAAAGCACAGGAAAGTAAAATGTGATATTGGGCCAAGAAAAAGGACCGGAAATGGGGAGTAGAAGAAAAGACACTAAAAAAGGAAGATGAAGGTTATATGTTCTATAACGTGGCGGCGGTAGCACTGCGGAGATGTACATTTCTGGCGTTCTTGCGATAATGCAATGTTATAAATTTATTGTTAGTTAATTAAATAAATATAACCACGTAATTAAATTTACGTTATAATATGTTGAAAAATCAAAGACGACGAGAGTTAGGAATAGGAAGAGCGAGAAAAAAGGGAGTGGAGTGACAAAAGAATAGAAAAAATGAAAAAATTTAAAGTTTAGAGGATGCGATGGGTATTGGTGTATGAAGTGGAAATGTGAAAATGACAGAAATGACTGGAAAAATTAAAAAGATATTGCACTTAAACAGAATAACACCAAATTGCATAGTAGAACAACGAACGACCTTAGAGAATAGAGAGAGAAAAAGCAAACTGCTGAAGGCATACCTGTCAATAACGATGAATACAGTAGAGAAATAGTGGGAGGGATATGAATGAGAGGCGATCGAGACCAGGAGAGAAAACACATGGAGAGAACTGGATGAAGAAGAGCATAGAGAAAAGAGAAATAAACAAGGGACGAGAGGATGAAGAGAAGAGGCAGGATGGACACGAGGAACAAACAAGATTGTATAGTGTAGAATGTACTTGATTCAATATCGTCGGTACTTTAACTGTACAGTTACAGGTCACATTTTTGGATACTTCGCTTTTCCAGATCCACTAATCACAAATTCTTTACTCGTGCCTGCTGTTACGTACGGAAATCAATGCGCACACCTTGGCGGAATAGATCAAACGCTTTTATCACTTGAATATAAAGCAACCGTGACAAATTCCTACTTTCTGATTGCCATTAATCAAAATACCCACACGTTCAATGTTCGCATTGTTCGTTTTTCCAAAATGATCTCGCTTTTTGAACATATCTCATGGTATACAAGATAAGTTTGCCAAGGGCGTTTTGTTTAATGTGTTTAGTGTGGAAAGCACTACGCTCCAAAGCCGACAGAGATGGACCAATTTTATGAGGCCCAGTCCGCCCCAAAGACGAGAAAAAAACGCCAAAGATGATCTGGCTTGTAGTCTTCTAATTTCCTAACCACCCTGTCATTTAAATAGCTTTTTTTTTTAATTCTACAGACCACCATGTGCCTTTGCCTCATATGCACTAGGTATTAAATGTTACTCCCCAAATAAAATTTCCATTTATATACCGACGTAATAAATCCGTTTTTACTGATTGCAATTGTATACTTAATACATCTGCGATCTGCCTGAAGTAAAAAAGTTGAACAAATCCTACAATTTGCTGGGTGGTCTATATACCCACCTTTAGCGCGGCCGTGCTTCTCTAAATAAAAGTACATGGGAGGATTTCTATTTGTATATAAATTTTTTCATCACGTTAATTATTTGATTCGATTACGCAACTCTTTTTATATGCATCAGTATGCAATGCGCATTTCTTCATTTGACTCTTCAATACCAGATTTGAATAATAAATAATTTTATTACATGCACATGGCGAACACAATGTACATAAATGGCACGTTATTTAAATTAATGAGTACAATGGACTGTTTCGCGACTATATCATTTAGTAAGTTAATATACGAAGTACTTACACCAACATGTGGACCACACTCCTGCCACCAGATGTGAACTTCTATACTCAATCTAGACATGTACAATTGTAAAGTATTTTAATTCCCATTGAATACTAAAAAAAACGTATGCTGTAATGAAAACTTAGTGGTGGTTTTTAATACTATCAACAAAAGTGATTATATTGTTACTTTTCCGTCATGTTAGTGCTAAAGCTTTCTAGGTGACTTGCTAATTCTCTTCATTTGTGACAGGTGAAATCAACCCCTTATCATCCATGTACCTACCTATTAAATTTGTTAGGAAAAAGACGAAACGCTTAAAGTCAATGACCGATAGAGTGGACCGTGAGGGAAATAAGGGTTTATTACATTGCCCACTAAATTTGGAAGTTGTGCACCCACATACAGTGTGCCGTTTAACTGTTTTTCCGGAATCTATATTCGTTAGGGGTACGCACTTCTCAATTTTTCTTGGGTCTCGCAGGGGAGGCAGCGACGAAGGAGGAACGACACAATAACAATTGCAAAGTGAAGTAGATGAAAATATTTTATTGTGAAAGCTGTAAGCTGGAGAGACAGTATAATAATAATATTAATATTATCTAATCATTATATGTGACGGCGTGTTCAACATTTCCATCCACCTTGTGCTGTAAACGGAGGGGTTCTGAAAATGATCTAAATCGAAAAGAAAAACAAAGTGCAGTCGCGACGGGCACACATTACAGGGGGAGCCAGTGTTCTCATAAAATTTATTGATAACATGATTCATTGGGAAACGGTCATTGTCGTGGGACTTTTTCGCGTTATTTGTGAAAAACAAGGGGCTGCTCGAATTGCAAATGAAAGTTAAAACTGGACAAATATTCCACGACTGTAAAATGCATGCGTTTATTTAACAAAGAAAGAGGTCGACGAGTTCGGAGATGATTATCTATTTTTACAAAAAAGTTGTGGCTATTATGTCATTGATTTCTATAAAAAGATTGATGAGGTTTTGTTCAACGCAAAGACTGTATAATAATTAAGAATAGATGCCAGAGTTTATTGAGTCAATACGGAAGCAAGAGTTTCATTATGTTTCTCTTTGTCGTCTCCGTCTAAAAAGTGAAATACAAGCAAGATATTGATTTAAACTTACTACGGGGTATAGTATACCACACCAGTTTGTCTCAGAAATAAAAACAAAAACAATTTAATTTTAACTTCCAGCACCTGAGAATTTAGTTTCCCTCTGGCTACATCGACAGAATCCAACGTAATTAAATCAAAAATCACAGTCGCATTGTAAATGAAGATGTATTGAATCCCAGTCAACCCAGAGAGAGAAAGATGATAAACCGAAAGAACCTCGATGACCTATTGATCTTAAATTAAATTAAAATACTAAATTGCAAGCTTCTACGACTTTCCATTCAATAGTTATCGCTTGGACGGATGAGTAAGACGGACAAAATTACGATTTCAAGAAGGAAGTCAATTAATAAGAATGAGGGGTGCCATGTCAATCTATTGAATGTGCTTAGGGGTCTACCAGAAACCACACCTTACGTATTTTTCTATGAAAAATTCTTTTTACTTTGCAATTATTTGCGGCGCATTAATAGATTACTTATATTTATTGTATATGGTAAAGGAGTATATCAGCAACCCTATGATGTTCATAAGAATGCAACTCCTAGGTTGTTGGGGGTATCCTGGCCGGACATGGCTATGATTAGAGCCGCCTTCCCTTCCAGGATCCTTAGGTTCATCTCTCGTGTGGGATGACTTGAGTGACGTTGACGGGGCCTTTAGTCAGGGAGGTAGTGTACCTACAACGGTTCCGAACTTGAAGCCTAGATACGCGTAGACCCTGTCTACTCTCCTATCGTAAGACAAAATCCAGGGGTTTACCTGCAACCTTATGAAAGTGTTCATATAAGTATGCAACCCCTTCACTATACATATATTTCTGTTAAAAATTCCTCCTTACATTGCAGTTATCCGCTTTAAGGGGTGTAATTTTTGTGGAGTGTCAAATAATTTTTTTAAATTAAATGAATATGGTTAAGGGGTCTACCACCTACCCTATATGAAAGCGCTCATAATAGTGAAACCCCTGGTCGTTTTCAATTTTTCTGTTAAAAATTCATTCTTATTTTGCAGTTATTCACTTTACGGGGTGTAATTTCGGTGTCGAGTCCAAAAAATTTATTAAATTTATTAAATATGTGGTCTACCAGTAACTCAAGAATAGTGTTCTTAAGGATCCCACCCTTAGCTGTTTACAAATTATTTATCCACCTTAAGGGATGTGTTTCTTTCAGTGTGTCAAATAACTTTATTACCTACAATAATTGACTATGCTATAGTAATAATAAGTAATTATTTTTGGGATACATGATAGAGATTATACAATTTGTTTAAAAACGTAGTGTTGCTCAGTTATTGTTCTAATCATTCGATATGCACACGTGCTTGTATTGAGGAATTTCGGCTTATACCGCACCTCTTGAGAACATAATTTAACACATACCTACCCACGGCCTTTGGGTAATGCGTATTAAGGCTGTTTGTTAAAAATTATACGTCTTCACGTACAGACTACGCATTCCACTTAAAAACAACGGCGTACGTATCTAATTTGTATTCAGATGAATTAACAAGATTCTTCTAGAATTATTTAATTAGTTTCTCTTATCTCTGAAGAAAATGAAAAACGAAGGCAGAGTTTAGTTTTTGAATATTAAAAAAAGAAAATGTTCGATTAGGCATTAAATCAAAGAGAAAATCGTTATTTTACCTTGGGGTAGGATGGGGGGTAGGCACTTTAATACCTCGTTTAATACTGTTTTCGCAAAAATTGAAAAGGTCATACACAAAAAAAAGCACGAGCAAATAAGTTCCATTCCTCATGTTTTATGAATATCGAGAAAAAGGCTAAATAAAAACCAAAATTTCTTCAACATTACGGGCCCTCCGTTTTTTTGATGCGTTTTAGTCCTCTTTTCCGCTAAATTTTTCTACGCACCTTTCAATAATTTTGCAGAAAAAGGTCATGTCAACAAATCACACATTAAAAATTAAAATGACCTGCTCAATATTTTACTAGGATTTGCAAATTCTTACAACATTATCCTTTTTATGCAGAAGTTGTGTGAAAAAATCCAACTAAGGCATGGATGTTGGTGTAGGCTTTTTAGACTGAATCCCAGGGGGATGTAGATATACAAAAAGCCGCATCACTAAAATGATAGTGGGAAAAATAACAGAAATGGCACCTACGTTCATATTCTTTTCGTTATTAAATATGTTAAATCGCCATATACTCACCTTTTTAAAGGATTGAATAATGGAATCAATTCGCCAATCGTGACCCATCCGACATGTTTATGTGGCCCATCGGATTGAAATCTTCAAAAAAATGAAAAAATCGTCGGTTGAATCGGCGGACATCTTGGATGTTGCAATTTGTCGCAAAAAGCAATAATTCGTCGATGTTATCTTCATAAGATCATACAAAGTAAGATACCGGAATTTTTGTGTAATAAAGTTGTTCCTGAAGTAAATAGGTTGAACTCTATTACAGTGCCGCATCATAAAATCGCTCAATTTCTTGCAATATCGCAAAATTATACAATCGAATCCATGATGAATTAAACCTAAGTTGATATGGCGCTTGAAAGGTGAAAAGAGACCTTGTATGATACTTTGCGCGCCTTTAAAAATACAAAATCGCTTTCACAAAACACCACCAAAATCAAAATTACAGAAACGGGGCAAAATACGCAATGGCCCATCAAATTCTGATTTTGAATTGGTAAATCACATTAGATATCATCATCTCTTCATCTAACACTTTTTATCCATTCGTATATGTAGGCAACTAAAGTAAAAACCGATGTAAAAACGTTGGAAATTTCGAATTTCCTTTTTTACGAAACGCGAAGTTAAAATACGAAATTAAGAAAGTTCAAAAGATCGATGCCGATCTACTACTCCCAGATTCGTGGGGTCAAAGTGAGTTGTTTGCAATTGTAATTCAGATAAAGTTTAAACATAACATTTTAATAAACGGAATTGGTCAGTACTTTTTACTGCAGATCACTTTATTCAAGTTGCTCTACGCCTCCGAAATATGACCGTGTGAGGTGAGGCGGAACAGCCCCCAGCTAGTTTCCGTCGAGTTATACGAAAAAGTACAAATGTAACCGCATTGTCGGCAGATATTGCGCGAATCCGAGAGTTAACGGCCTATACGATGAAGTTGAAAGAGCGCTTCAAGATTCTGGTCCTTTGAGCCGAATCAAATTTCTTTCCCTTTTTGACCTTTTCGAATATTTAATCGACAGTTCGCGATTTTTTACAAAGCCAATAAATCGAAAATTGATGCGAAAACTGCATGATACGACCCTATCTAGTTATATAATGAACATAAAAGCATTACACATAATAGAAATAAGGGTAGACTAAGCTGAGGGTGATTTTGTTATCTGCTTATACGCCGAATATTAATCAAATAAATTCCCGTCTTTTACTGTTTCCACTTTAAGGAAAGAGCGACGAAAAATGACTCCTACGGGATTTAAACGCGACGGGCGAGGGCGTGCCCTTGAAAAGAATGATGCTTAATAATTCAGACGGCTGCCCCGTCTAATTAAGTTAAATTAAAATTAAATCCTTTAATTAATACACACTTGAGACTATAAATTTCTGTCAGTACCTATCCTGTTTTTTTTGGCCCTCTAATTTGTGCGTGCGCTGCGTATAGAAGAAAGCGTAGGTAAAATAGCTTATATTAGTAGCTCGTATGCGCGATAGTTTATTTAGACTATAAACAAAAACAAATTACTGACCTTCCGTTTGCGTGATGCATCCTCTTGAGTCTGGAGGACACTTTTGCGCGAACAAATCTCGATTAAAATTGTTAAAGTTCGTACAATTTAAATGTTCGTCGAAGCCACATACGTAACAATTTAAACTTGTAGACGAGCGTGCTGAAAGTTAATTTAAATTAGCGAAAGTATTTGAGAATAATTTGTAATACCTAATAGTAAAAGAACGTAGATCACATTTACTAATAGATTAAATTGTCCCGCATAAATAATGTGCATAGTTAAAGGCGCGAAGTTGAGATTTGAATTAATGCTACCGGACTGTGTGTGAAATGTAAATAAATTAGTATTAATTGTACACGCTCGGAGGAAAACACATGCTGTTACGCATCCATAAGTACGCGCTTCTCCGATGTTGTCACTAGCTCTTTAATTCTTGTAATTCTGGCAAATTCGCAACATTTCACTTCGAGAGGGGAGAAATAAGCAAAACGAACGCATTCTTCAACTAATTTGCTGCGTAACGGTACAGTGTTATCCCCTCTATCTCTATCGACTAACACTTCATTATCAACCTCGAAAAACCACTAAGCCATTTATGATGCATATTTTATGTAAATCAATAAACCACAAAATATTTCCAGGCAGCCTTTATACCCCCCCCTCGATTGAGAGAGTAACTTTGTAGTAAACTAAATATTTTAATTTCTTTGTCGGATTACAAATAAATAATCTATAACCAACCCCGCAATAACCATCTAAAATAAATGTCCCTCTCCCTCTCGTCTTATGTTTATTTCGGCGATTTTTAAGAAAATTCACAGTGCAGAGGTTGTAACTTTTATAGTGAACAAAGGATTTTTATTTCTTTGATAAATCATGTTTAAATGATCTATAAGTCTATAACCAACCCCTCAACCGCCGTCTAAAAATAAATTTTTCTCTGTTAAACTTAATAGCTTTTAGAAAACCAACACTCACATGTATAACGGTCCCCGATTGCGGGGGTTGTACACCAAACACTAGGTTTTATTTTTTTATTGGTTATATATAATACCAAACTTGCAACTACCCTCTTAACATAATTTTACTTCTCGTTTTCAACTTACGTATTCACACTAAGGTACATGTCATGTCAACGTCAATCGCCTAGGTTAAAACAAATAGTGTGATTTCTTTGATAGATTCTGATTGAATGATCCATAAGCAACCCCACAACTACCCTCTAAAAATAATTTCATTCTCGTTTTAAACTTACGTAATATCTTAGAGATATCACACTTAAATGCATAGCAATCCTCGATTGCAGGGGTTGTAATTTTGGTAGTAGACCAAATGCTTCTGTTTCTATGAGTGATTATGTTTAATTGATCTATAAGCAACCCCGAAACTGCCCTCTAAAAGTAAATTTCATTCTCGATTTAAACTTAGGTAATTTTGTAGAAATGTGACACTAACATGTATAGCCGTTCTCGGCTGCAGGGGTTGTAATTTTTGTAGTGGTCCAAATGTTTTTGTTTCGTTGAACGATTATGATTAAATGATCTACAAGCAACCCCGAAACTGCCCTCTAAAAATAAATTTCATTCTCTTTTTAAAGTTAGGTAACTTTCTATAAATTTGATACTTACTCGTATAGCAATCCTCGACTGCAGGGGTTGTAACTTTTGCAGCGCACCGAATATTTTTGTTTCGTTGATCGATTATGATTAAATGATCTACAAGCAACCCCGAAACTGCCCTCTAAAAATAAATTTCGTTCTCTTTTTAAAGTTAGGTAACTTTCTATAAGTTTCATACTTACTCGTATAGCAATCCTCGACTGCAGGGGTTGTAACTTTTGCAGCGCACCGAATATTTTTGTTTCGTTGATCGATTATGATTAAATGATCTACAAGCACCCCCGAAACTGCCCTCTAAAAATAAATTTCATTCTCTTTTTAAAGTTAGGTAACTTTCTATAAATTTCATACTTACTCGTATAGCAATCCTCGACTGCAGGGGTTGTAACTTTTGCAGCGCACCGAATATTTTTGTTTCATTGATCGATTATGTTTAAATGATCTATTGGCCACCCCGGAACTGCCCACTAAAAATAAATTTCATTCTCGTTTTGAACTTACGAATTTTTTAGGTAATCTACACTTACATGCATGGCAAGTGTTGGTTAGGGGGGTTGATAACTTTTGCAGCAAACCGAAAATTTTAGTTTCTTTAATCGATTATGTTTAATTGATCTATAAGCAACCCCGAAACTGCTCTCTAAAAGTAAATTTCATTCTTGATTTAAACTTAGGTAATTTTGTAGGAATATCACACTAACATGCATAGCCGTCCTCGACTGCAGGGGTTGTAACTTTTGTAGTGGTCCAAATGTTTTTGTTTCTATGATCGATTAAGTTTAAATGATCTATTGGCCACCCCAAACTGCCCTCTAAAAATAAATTTCATTCTCGTTTTAAACTTTCGAATTTTTTAGCAAATCTACACGTGCATGCATAGCAAGTGTTGGTTAGGGGGGTTGCTAACTTTTGCAGTGCACCAAAAATTTTAGTTTCATTGATCGATTATGTTTAAATGATCTATAAGCAACCCCGAAACTGCCCTCTAAAAATAAATTTCATTCTCTTTTTAAAGTTAGGTAACTTTCTATAAATTTCATACTTACTCGTATAGCAATCGCTCGACTGCAGGGGTTGTAACTTTTGCAGCGCACCGAATATTTTTGTTTCTTTGATCGATTATGTTTAAATGATTTATAAGCAACCCCGAAACTGCCCTCTAAAAATAAATTTCATTCTCTTTTTAAAGTTAGGTAACTTTCTATAAATTTCATACTTACTCGTATAGCAATCCTCGACTGCAGGGGTTGTAACTTTTGCAGCGCATCGAATATTTTTGTTTCGTTGATCGATTATGATTAAATGATCTACAAGCAACCCCGAAACTGCCCTCGAAAAATAACTTTCATTCTTTTGTTAAACTTACGGAATTTAATAGTAATTTCTCACTTCCAAGCATAGCCATCCTCGACTGCAGGGGTTGTAACTTTTGCAGCGCATCGAATATTTTTGTTTCGTTGATCGATTATGATTAAATGATCTACAAGCAACCCCGAAACTGCCCTCGAAAAATAACTTTCATTCTTTTGTTAAACTTACGTAATTTAATAGTAATTTCTCACTTCCAAGCATAGCCATCCTCGACTGCAGGGGTTGTAACTTTTGCAGCGCATCGAATATTTTTGTTTCGTTGATCGATTATGATTAAATGATCTACAAGCAACCTCGAAACTGCCCTCTAAAAATAAATTTCATTCTCTTTTTAAAGTTAGGTAACTTTCTATAAATTTCATACTTACTCGTATAGCAATCCTCGACGGCAGGGGTTGTAACTTTTGCAGCGCACCGAATATTTTTGTTTCGTTGATCGATTATGATTAAATGATCTACAAGCAACCCCGAAACTGCCCTCTAAAAATAAGTTTCATTCTCTTTTTAAAGTTAGGTAACTTTCTATAAATTTCATACTTACTCGTATAGCAATCCTCGACTGCAGGGGTTGTAACTTTTGCAGCGCACCGAATATTTTTGTTTCTATGATCGATTAAGTTTAAATGATCTATTGGCCACCCCGGAACTGCCCTCTAAAAATAAATTTCATTCTCGTTTTGAACTTACGAATTTTTTAGACAATCTACACGCACATTTATGGAAAGAGTCGGTCAGGGGGGTTGTAACTTTATCAGAGCACCGAAAATTTTAGTTTCCTTGATCGATTATGATTAAATGATCTACAAGCAACCCCGAAACTGCCCTCTAAGAATAAAATTCATTCTCTTTTTAAAGTTAGGTAACTTTCTATAAATTTCATACTTACTCGTATAGCAATCCTCGAGTGCAGGGGTTGTAACTTTTGCAGCGCACCGAATATTTTTGTTTCGTTGATCAATTATGATTAAATGATCTACAAGCAACCCCGAAACTGCTCTCTAAAAATAAATTTCATTCTCTTTTTAAACTTAGGTAACTGTCTATAAATTTCATACTTACTCGTATAGCAATTCTCGACTGCAGGGGTTGTAACTTCTCTAGCGCACCGAATATTTTTGTTTCTTTGATCGATGATGTTTAAATGATTTATAAGCAACCCCGAAACTGCCCTCTAAAAATAAATTTCATTCTCTTTTTAAAGTTAGGTAACTTTCTATAAATTTCATACTTACTCGTATAGCAATCCTCGACTGCATCAGGGGTTGTAACTTTTGCAGCGCACCGAAAATTTTAGTTTCGTTGATCGATTATGATTAAATGATCTACAAGCAACCCCGAAACCGCCCTCTAAAAATAAATTTCATTCTCGTTTTGAACATTCGAATTTTTTAGCAAATCTACACGTACATGCATGGTAAGTGTTGAATAAGGGGGTTGGTAACTTTTGCAGTGCACCGAAAATTTTAGTTTCATTGATCGATTATGTTTAAATGATTTATAAGCAACCCCGAAACTGCCCTCTAAAAATACATTTCATTCTCTTTTTAAACTTAAGTAACTTTCTATAAATTTCATACTTACTCGTATAGCAATCCTCGACTGCAGGGGTTGTAACTTTTCCAGCGCACCGAATATTTTTGTTTCGTTGATCGATTATGATTATTAAATGACCAATAAGCAACCCCGAAACTGCCCTCGAAAAATAACTTTCATTCTTATGTTAAACTTACGTAATTTAATAGTAATTTCTCACTTCCAAGCATAGCCTTCCTCGACTGCAGGGGTGGTAACTTTTCCAGCGCACCGAATATTTTTGTTTCGTTGATCGATTATGATTAAATGATCTACAAGCAACCCCGAAACTGCCCTCTAAAAATAAATTTCGTTCTCTTTTTAAAGTTAGGTAACTTTCTATAAATTTCATACTTACTCGTATAGCAATCCTCGACTGCAGGGGTTGTAACTTTTGCAGCGCACCGAATATTTTTGTTTCGTTGATCGATTATGATTAAATGATCTACAAGCAACCCCGAAACTGCCCTCTAAAATAAATTTCATTCTCTTTTTAAAGTTAGGTAACTTTCTATAAATTTCATACTTACTCGTATAGCAATCCTCGACTGCAGGGGTTGTAACTTTTGCAGCGCACCGAATATTTTTGTTTCTATGATCGATTAAGTTTAAATGATCTATTGGCCACCCCGGAACTGCCCACTAAAAATAAATTTCATTCTCGTTTTGAACTTACGAATTTTTTAGGTAATCTACACTTACATGCATGGCAAGTGTTGGTTAGGGGGGTTGATAACTTTTGCAGCAAACCGAAAATTTTAGTTTCTTTAATCGATTATGTTTAATTGATCTATAAGCAACCCCGAAACTGCTCTCTAAAAGTAAATTTCATTCTTGATTTAAACTTAGGGAATTTTGTAGGAATATCACACTAACATGCATAGCCGTCCTCGACTGCAGGGGTTGTAACTTTTGTAGTGGTCCAAATGTTTTTGTTTCTATGATCGATTAAGTTTAAATGATCTATTGGCCACCCCAAACTGCCCTCTAAAAATAAATTTCATTCTCGTTTTAAACTTTCGAATTTTTTAGCAAATCTACACGTACATGCATAGCAAGTGTTGGTTAGGGGGGTTGCTAACTTTTGCAGTGCACCAAAAATTTTAGTTTCATTGATCGATTATGTTTAAATGATCTATAAGCAACCCCGAAACTGCCCTCTAAAAATAAATTTCATTCTCTTTTTAAAGTTAGGTAACTTTCTATAAGTTTCATACTTACTCGTATAGCAATCCTCGACTGCATCAGGGGTTGTAACTTTTGCAGCGCACCGAAAATTTTAGTTTCTATGATCGATTATGTTTAAATGATATATATGCAACCCCGAAACCGCCCTCTAAAAATAAATTTCATTCTCGTTTTGAACATTCGAACTTTTTAGCAAATCTACACGTACATGCATGGTAAGTGTTGAATAGGGGGGTTGGTAACTTTTGCAGTGCACCGAAAATTTTAGTTTCATTGATCGATTATGTTTAAATGATTTATAAGCAACCCCGAAACTGCCCTCTAAAAATGAATTTCATTCTCTTTTTAAACTTAGGTAACTTTCTATAAATTTCATACTTACTCGTATAGCATTCCTCGACTGCAGGGGTTGTAACTTTTGCAGCGCACCGAATATTTTTGTTTCATTGATCGATTATGATTAAATGATCTACAAGCAACCCCGAAACTGCCCTCTAAAAATAAATTTCGTTCTCTTTTTAAACTTAGGTAACTTTCTATAAATTTCATACTTAGTCGTATAGCAATCCTCGACTGCATCAGGGGTTGTAACTTTTGCAGCGCACCGAAAATTTTAGTTTCTATGATCGATTATGTTTAAATGATATATATGCAACCCCGAAACCGCCCTCTAAAAATAAATTTCATTCTCGTTTTGAACATTCGAATTTTTTAGCAAATCTACACGTACATGCATGGTAAGTGTTGAATAAGGGGGTTGGTAACTTTTGCAGTGCACCGAAAATTTTAGTTTCATTGATCGATTATGTTTAAATGATTTATAAGCAACCCCGAAACTGCCCTCTAAAAATGAATTTCATTCTCTTTTTAAAGTTAGGTAACTTTCTATAAATTTCATACTTACTCGTATAGCAATCCTCGAGTGCAGGGGTTGTAACTTTTGCAGCGCACCGAATATTTTTGTTTCGTTGATCGATTATGATTAAATGATCTACAAGCAACCCCGAAACTGCCCTCTAAAAATAAATTTCGTTCTCTTTTTAAAGTTAGGTAACTTTCTATAAGTTTCATACTTACTCGTATAGCAATCCTCGACTGCAGGGGTTGTAACTTTTGCAGCGCACCGAATATTTTTGTTTCGTTGATCGATTATGATTAAATGATCTACAAGCACCCCCGAAACTGCCCTCTAAAAATAAATTTCATTCTCTTTTTAAAGTTAGGTAACTTTCTATAAATTTCATACTTACTCGTATAGCAATCCTCGACTGCAGGGGTTGTAACTTTTGCAGCGCACCGAATATTTTTGTTTCATTGATCGATGATGTTTAAATGATTTATAAGCAACCCCGAAACTGCCCTCTAAAAATGAATTTCATTCTCTTTTTAAAGTTAGGTAACTTTCTATAAAATTCATACTTACTCGTATAGCAATCCTCGAGTGCAGGGGTTGTAACTTTTGCAGCGCACCGAATATTTTTGTTTCGTTGATCGATTATGATTAAATGATCTACAAGCAACCCCGAAACTGCCCTCTAAAATGAATTTCATTCTCTTTTTAAACTTAGGTAACTTTCTATAAATTTCATACTTACTCGTATAGCAATCCTCGACTGCAGGGGTTGTAACTTTTGCAGCGCACCGAATATTTTTGTTTCATTGATCGATTATGATTAAATGATCTACAAGCAACCCCGAAACTACCCTCTAAAAATAAATTTCGTTCTCTTTTTAAACTTAGGTAACTTTCTATAAATTTCATACTTAGTCGTATAGCAATCCTCGACTGCATCAGGGGTTGTAACTTTTGCAGCGCACCGAAAATTTTAGTTTCTATGATCGATTATGTTTAAATGATTTATAAGCAACCCCGAAACTGCCCTCTAAAAATGAATTTCATTCTCTTTTTAAAGTTAGGTAACTTTCTATAAATTTCATACTTACTCGTATAGCAATCCTCGAGTGCAGGGGTTGTAACTTGTGCAGCACATGGAATATTTTTGTTTCGTTGATCGATTATGATTAAATGATCTACAAGCAACCCCGAAACTGCCCTCTAAAAATAAATTTCATTCTCTTTTTAAAGTTAGGTAACTTTCTATAAATTTCATACTTACTCGTATAGCAATCCTCGACTGCAGGGGTTGTAACTTTTGCAGCGCACCGAATATTTTTGTTTCGTTGATCGATTATGATTAAATGATCTACAAGCAACCCCGAAACTGCCCTCTAAAAATAAATTTCGTTCTCTTTTTAAAGTTAGGTAACTTTCTATAAGTTTCATACTTACTCGTATAGCAATCCTCGACTGCAGGGGTTGTAACTTTTGCAGCGCACCGAATATTTTTGTTTCGTTGATCGATTATGATTAAATGATCTACAAGCAACCCCGAAACTGCCCTCGAAAAATAACTTTCATTCTTTTGTTAAACTTACGGAATTTAATAGTAATTTCTCACTTCCAAGCATAGCAATCCTCGAGTGCAGGGGTTGTAACTTTTGCAGCGCACCGAATATTTTTGTTTCGTTGATCGATTATGATTAAATGATCTACAAGCAACCCCGAAACTGCCCTCTAAAATAAATTTCATTCTCTTTTTAAAGTTAGGTAACTTTCTATAAATTTCATACTTACTCGTATAGCAATCCTCGACTGCAGGGGTTGTAACTTTTGCAGCGCACCGAATATTTTTGTTTCTATGATCGATTAAGTTTAAATGATCTATTGGCCACCCCGGAACTGCCCACTAAAAATAAATTTCATTCTCGTTTTGAACTTACGAATTTTTTAGGTAATCTACACTTACATGCATGGCAAGTGTTGGTTAGGGGGGTTGATAACTTTTGCAGCAAACCGAAAATTTTAGTTTCTTTAATCGATTATGTTTAATTGATCTATAAGCAACCCCGAAACTGCTCTCTAAAAGTAAATTTCATTCTTGATTTAAACTTAGGGAATTTTGTAGGAATATCACACTAACATGCATAGCCGTCCTCGACTGCAGGGGTTGTAACTTTTGTAGTGGTCCAAATGTTTTTGTTTCTATGATCGATTAAGTTTAAATGATCTATTGGCCACCCCAAACTGCCCTCTAAAAATAAATTTCATTCTCGTTTTAAACTTTCGAATTTTTTAGCAAATCTACACGTACATGCATAGCAAGTGTTGGTTAGGGGGGTTGCTAACTTTTGCAGTGCACCAAAAATTTTAGTTTCATTGATCGATTATGTTTAAATGATCTATAAGCAACCCCGAAACTGCCCTCTAAAAATAAATTTCATTCTCTTTTTAAAGTTAGGTAACTTTCTATAAATTTCATACTTACTCGTATAGCAATCGCTCGACTGCAGGGGTTGTAACTTTTCCAGCGCACCGAATATTTTTGTTTCTTTGATCGATGATGTTTAAATGATTTATAAGCAACCCCGAAACTGCCCTCTAAAAATAAATTTCATTCTCATTTTAAACTTAGGTAACTTTCTATAAATTTCATACTTACTCGTATAGCAATCCTCGACTGCAGGGGTTGTAACTTTTGCAGCGCACCGAATATTTTTGTTTCATTGATCGATTATGATTAAATGATCTACAAGCAACCCCAAAACTGCCCTCTAAAAATAAATTTCGTTCTCTTTTTAAACTTAGGTAACTTTCTATAAATTTCATACTTACTCGTATAGCAATCCTCGACTGCATCAGGGGTTGTAACTTTTGCAGCGCACCGAAAATTTTAGTTTCGTTGATCGATTAATGATTAAATGATCTACAAGCAACCCCGAAACTGCCCCTCGAAAAATAACCTTTCATTCTTTTGTTAACTCACGTAATTTAAATAGTAATTTCTCACTTCCAAGCTAAGCCATCCTCGACTGCAGGGGTTGTAACTTTTGCAGGCGCATCGAATATTTTTGTTTCGTGATCGATTTCATGATTAAATGATGCTACAAGCAACCCGAAACTGCCCTCTAAAATAGTTTCATTCTCTTTTTAAACTTAGGTAACTTTCTATAAATTTCATACTTACTCGTATAGCAATCCTCGACTGCAGGGGTTGTAACTTTTGCAGCGCACCGAATATTTTTGTTTCGTTGATCGATTATGATTAAATTGATCTACAAGCAACCCCGAAACTGCCCTCTAAAAATAAATTTCATTCTCTTTTTAAAGTTAGGTAACTTTCTATAAATTTCATACTTACTCGTATAGCAATCCTCGACTGCAGGGGTTGTAACTTTTGCAGCGCACCGAATATTTTTGTTTCTATGATCGATTAAGTTTAAATGATCTATTGGCCACCCCGGAACTGCCCTCTAAAAATAAATTTCATTCTCGTTTTGAACTTACGAATTTTTTAGTAATCTACACGACATTTATTGGTAGGGGGGTTGTAACTTTTCAGACACCGAAAATTTTGTTTCCTTGATCGATTATGATTAAATGATCTACAAGCAACCCCGAAACTGCCCTCTAAAAATAAAATTCATTCTCTTTTTAAAGTTAGGTAACTTTCTATAAATTTCATACTTACTCGTATAGCAATCCTCGAGTGCAGGGGTTGTAACTTTTGCAGCGCACCGAATATTTTTGTTTCGTTGATCAATTATGATTAAATGATCTACAAGCAACCCCGAAACTGCTCTCTAAAAATAAATTTCATTCTCTTTTTAAACTTAGGTAACTGTCTATAAATTTCATACTTACTCGTATAGCAATTCTCGACTGCAGGGGTTGTAACTTCTCTAGCGCACCGAATATTTTTGTTTCTTTGATCGATGATGTTTAAATGATTTATAAGCAACCCCGAAACTGCCCTCTAAAAATAAATTTCATTCTCTTTTTAAAGTTAGGTAACTTTCTATAAATTTCATACTTACTCGTATAGCAATCCTCGACTGCAGGGGTTGTAACTTTTGCAGCGCACGGAATATTTTTGTTTCTATGATCGATTAAGTTTAAATGATCTATTGGCCACCCCGGAACTGCCCTTTAAAAATAAATTTCATTCTCGTTTTGAACTTACGAATTTTTTAGGCAATCTACACGCACATGTATGGAAAGCGTTGGTTAGGGGGGTTGTAACTTTCGCAGAGCACCGAAAATTTTAGTTTCTTAGATCGATTATTTTTAAATGATCTATATGCAGAGCTGGGCAGAATACTTTCAAAAAGTATTTGAATACTAAATACTTTTACGTCCAGCACAAGCGAATACTAGATACAGATACATTGAAAAGTATTCAAATACTTTAAAAAATACGTATTCAAATACTTTAGAATGTATTCGAATACTTTCAAAAGTATTCTAATACAGTAAAAGGTATTCAAATACTTGTCACTGAAATACATTAATAATTTAAAATAGTATACTAGATAAAAGGCTTAATACTACTTAAAAAATCAAGTTATACTTTGTATGGGGTTAGCTTTTTTTATATTTCACATTATACGTATGCCTTTCCGAAATTAATCCTAGCGACTTTGGAACAGATCCATTTTTGACCATCCGTTTGTCCATGTGCATGATAACTTGTTTAGAAACGTGCGATCGCTTTGAAAATTTGTACACATGGTTTTAAGGATATAAGAAAGGTCCCTATTGTTTTTAAGTTACGTAGACTATCGAGTTCGGTATTCAGATGTATCGGATTTTTATATTTGATTTTGTGACAATGGAAACTTAAAAGTAATGCCTTTTTTTGAGGCCAGAAAAAATAATTGTCTGAGATCGACCGGGAAAAAACACTTTTCTATAGAATTTGGCCCGTAGAATTCATAATTTCAAACAGTTTGAAGATTGGGCTACTAGATCAAAAGTTACAGCCCTTGAATTTTTTTCGAAATTGGTTTCTAGTCTATAACTTTTGATTGAGAAGTCTGATCGAAAAAGTACGAATTGTTTTGAATTCTACGCACCAAAATTAATAAGAAAAAGTGTTTTCCCGAGAAATTTTGGTGCAGTCGATTTTTGGTAAAAAAGGAAGGTTATACACTGCCTTTTTTTGAGCCCCGAAAAAAAATTTGTCTCAGATCGACCGGGAAAAAAATTTTCTTATAGAATGTGGCCTGTAGAATCCATAATTTCAAACAGTTCCAAGATTGGGCTACTAGTTCAAAAGTTACAGCCCTTTGAATTTTCTTTCGAAATTGGTTTCTAGTCTATAACTTTTGATTGAGAAGTCTCATCGAAAAAGTACGAATTGTTTTGGATTCTACGCACCAAAATTAATAAGAAAAAGTGTTTTCCCGAGAAATTTTGGTGCAGTCGATTTTTAGCATAGGGCTCTTGAGTAGGAGCAATGGCCAATTAAGGTTGTTTCATTTCCGAATGAAGGAGAGCGATAACCTCTTCGAGGACGTCAATGGGTGTGACCAGGACAGTAAAATATGTGGGAGTCATCATACACTACCGCCTGACCTGGAAACGGTATATATTGAGCGAATGTGCAAAATGGCACTGCATGTCTATGGGCATGTAGAAGGGCTTTTGTCTCCTCGACTGGTATATTGGCTTTACACTGCTGTAGTGATAAGGTCAATAATACTGTACGCTGCACTTGTATGGTGGCCTGATGCCATATGCAGGGCAGCTGGGCAAGGTACACGAGACTCTCCTGTCTGTGAGTCATGAAAACCAAGCTATAGGGCACTTCGGGGACTAGAGCCTTTACATTTAGCTGTGGAGGTAGAGGCTTGGATGTCTTCTACCGTTGAGTCTCGCGGCGCTGAAGGCAGACAGACAAGTTCTGACTGGCTACGGCGCTTGATTGCGGCAGACGAGCTCAATATAAACTAGGGAATAGGGGGCAACGAAAGGGCGTACGAGCTGGATCACGAAGGCATCAGTAGTGAGGTACTTTGTCAGGCCCGAGCATACCCAAGGAACTGCTTCCTCCGTTGTCAGGGCCAGGATTAAAAATTGAGTGACCAATCAATTCCAGGCTCAGTGGCAACAAGCAACCGGACTCAGGCAGTCCAGGGCCTCTTGGCAAGTCTGGGTCTTTTCTAAGCTTCTCAAACTGAATAGAAGCATTGAATAAGTAATGATAGAAGCCAGATGTCCTCAAGCGACACTGGATTGTCAACTATCACCTGTATAACATTGGACTTGTGGAGAAGCCCACGTGCAGGTTCTGTGGAGAGGTATATGACAATCCAGGAAACTATCAATTTCCAAGAGACTACAACCATCTCATTAGCACTGCCCCCCTGAGATACTATCTCAACAAAATCGCGGTACCTGAGGGTACACGTCGCCTCTGCTTCGAGGAGTAAGAAACAGCAGAACACATCCTATGCTGGTGTGGGGCTGTCTCCGGACAGAAGACCACAAGACTTGGGTGCTATAGCACTTCTGCAGATGACGGAGTTGCAGCCGGAGAGGATTCTCAGATTTTTTAACTGCCTCTCTCAGAGATACACTGGAGCACACACAATAGATCCAAAGGATCAAACTGTGTAGGCATGAAATGGCCCAATCCAAAAGAAGGAAGGCCTTTCATCAACCAACATTGCACGATGAGATGGCGCAAGTTAAACAATGATAGTTCGATCTTCAATTACTAAGTAATCGAAAATGTGTACCTACTTCACATTCTACTCTCCTAATACAAAAAGTATTGGAACATTTGGAGCCAGAGAAGAATTTCTTTTCTGGCTGATTCTACTTGAACAGATAATTTATCTGTGAAATGGCCAATGAATGGATAAATTCACCCAAAAGAACTTTAGTGGTACATAACACAAAAGTAAACACACAGAGAGCAATATTAAAATCGTAGAATGTGACCGGATTTCTTACATGCCCTCTGAAGCATGGTAGCTAGAAGACGTTCTGTACCACTAATTGGAAAGATGTGGGATTTGAACTCACAACCTGTAAGGTTAGAGTGCGAATCTTAAACCGCTATGCTGGAACCTATAAGATACTGAAATAGAATTAAAAAAATTAAATGTTAAATATTTATTAAATTTAAACAGAAATCGGAAATAGTATTTGGACCAACAGATTTTTGCTCATGTAATATTAGTTAATATCTATAATACATAACGTAATTATAACAACACCTACATTTACAAATAAATTTATTACATTAACAAAGTCAGGAAAACAGGAAACACTACGATAAATTTAATTTCATTTAAGTTAAATTAATGAGATTTTTTAATTTAATATCACAATGCGTACAATATTACAAACTTCTTGGCCAGAATATCCCTTACGTACTCTTATACATGTAATCAGTCAATTTTAAAAAAATACATTTTCCAACTACTTCTGATGTAGGAAACAACTTGTAGATCACAATTTGCTTATGCACATTATTACAGTGCGTCAAAATTTGGGCACCGAGAAAAGCACGCAAACTATCTTAATGCTGAAAGGCAACAAAAATATGCAAAACAGCTTCTTCCCGTAAAATTTGAGTATTAAAAAAATTTTGATCTATGATAGTGACACTTTTTTAGTATCAGTAAATGGAAACATCTCTAATGTAGAAAAAACTCAAAAATTACTCCAATGGTGCAAAGCATGGGAAAAAGACTTGATGTGGTATAACAATGACCAAATTTTGTCTCACAGCACAATTTTAGGCAATTCTACCATCAATATACCTAAAGTGATGAATCAGGTACATAAAATGTTAGTATTGATGCAATACACGTTTCAGAAAACAACAAAAATGCTTATCTTCCCAATACTCGGAAAATAAACTGTAATTAGGAGGCATGATAACGTCACTCCTCCATGCAATAGAAAAAGGCGTACGCCGATTTGGCGATTTCTGAACTGCGCATGTTGGCGAGCGATACAGATTCGTCATTGAATAAATACCACCTGAAAAAATAGAATTAGTAGATGTTAATTGCAACAACAGTTAGTACTTTTCGTCGTAGTGGTTTCTGCATACTGCAGTATAATGTCCCGCATTCACTGTTCCCGAGTGCAAAATGATGGCTTTTAACGCATAAATTTGGTCGTCCAATTCTATTTTATAAGCAAATTTACAAGGTGCTTCATTCTTACTAAACACTGGAACATGACCTCGTACCACTCCAGTTTGAACGTGTCTACAAATACTATAAAGTAAAAGTGTACATTTTTACAGGCATGGCTTACCGCTTCAACGCTATTGTCATAATTTTAGGCAAGATTAGAAAGTTTTTCTCGTAACAATAACTCTTCTCACAGTGCTTGCACTGAAATCTCTCCTGACACAGGTAAAATTTGATGGTGGCAGACAAATCAAAGGCCTTGTTCGGTGCAGTTAGGTACAATATGTTTTCGTATTCAGTTTTTGATTTTATTTTTCCCGTACAGTTTCTACAACCATAGACCACGTCTAACTTGTAGTAAAACATTTCGATAAAACATGACGGGTTGTCGTATTGGTGAGCTTCTTTTTGTTCCGGTTGTGTACAATCTTCGTTGAGCGAAGAGAAAAGATGAATAAAAAATTCAGTCGCATCTTCGTGTTGCCCACTTCCATACATGCTAAAAGATTGTATAAATTGGTTGTAAAATGATACTGGTCGATGCGCTTTCGTTTTGTATTCCCATAAAGTTCTAACAAGGTCAACAAACTGTACCACTATCTTTGGTACCGGTCTGCATACTTTATCCATATAATTCGAGTCAAAGCAAAATTCCATAATGGGGTATAGGTGCCTGAGGCACTGAATCACAGTGTTCATATAGCACGTATTATTTATATTGATCAGTCCCGTTAGGCCAACGTACTGTAACATAAGAGAATTACACATTAAATGCAAAACTGATAACGGGTCAATCCACTTGAAATCGCCCAGGCAGAGTTGCTGAACATTTTTTATTTTCCTGGTTTTCGTCATGGGTGCCCCATAGGTAGGCAATCAGACACCACTATTTGAAAAAATATTATAAGCCATAGTTTTTTCTGGCAGCCATTTTTAAAATGGCAGTTTGGCGAAATTGATGGAAAAATGGGCTTTGCCGAAAATTTAATTGCCAAATTATTTTTTAAGATATCAAAATAATTAAAAAACCCCTGTGTTCAGCATGAAATGATTTAAAACATACATTATTTTAATTTCCCTATCATGCAAGAAAGTCAGTTAGAAAAAATAAAAAACAAACTAGTGACTCGTTACATTTTAAGGCCACACATTTTTAAGAAGGAGAAGAGACTCACTAATAATATATTATTTCTGTGTGGAGTACTTATAAAACTACCTGCAGCTAGGGTTGCCATCTCAAAACTCTGCCAACTAGGACAGGAAGCGTGAAAACCCCGGATTTAGGGACTATAAACGAGCTCCTAGCGAGTTTATAATTTTGTGGTGTCTGTCTGTCCGTTAGCACGATAACTCATAAACGAATGGACCGATTACGATGAAATTTTGCAGGTGGATTCTTTATCAAATTTGTAGATCGTAGTTCGTGAATTGGCAATGTAGACCAAAAAATAATGTAGGCCCTTTTGACATCTCCGTAAGTTATGAACCGAATTGCATGAAATTCAATATGCGCATAACTTTAGCCATACAAAACACAATTCCAACAGTTGAGCCTAATCGATCAGTATTCACAGTGCCTTTTGTGCATCTCGACCATTTACAGACCGAATTGCAAAATTTCTTATTTATGAAGGTATTTAAATTAGATACATAGCCACTTGGAATAAAAGAAAATTTAATGCCAGTTCAAAATTTGGTTTTGCGCATGCGCAGTGCCAACTTTATTATTTATGGAACCAATTAAATGAAATTTCATGCATATACACTTTAAATAAAAGCAAAACTAACATCAGGTTTAAAATTTGGTATTGCACATGCTATCGTTTGCGATATTTGTTTAATTTATTTTTATCACTGACTAGCGACTGTTTCAATATTCAATAAATTCCTTTCTTTGGTCCACTGTTATGCCACTAGTGAAAACATTCTTTCAACGTTGGCATTATGAGCAGGAATGCAAAAAAAAGCTCTAGGCAATATTCAATAACTCCAAGTATAAATGAAGATTCGATGTTTTAAAAAATTGTAACCAAAGCTGATTGGCGCTTAAAAGTTTATCTTGTTGGCTTAAAATTTGACAGAAACTAGATGTCCTAAAACCCGGACTACCAATGAAGCCCCGCTCGGACCCTCCCCTGACGCCCCCTAAACTAGGACAAATCCGGGGAAACCCGGACGGATGGCAACCCTATCTGCAGCAAAAGTTTTAGTCTTGAGAATGCACTCCTTTTTTTTCTATGGCTTTTCAAAAATGGCCAAAAGTATGTTAATGTCAATTTTCTTCGACAAATATCTGAAAAAGGACTGAATGAAAACAAGTGAAAATTTTACAAAATGTTCTTTAGACTAATGAGAATGTCTCACAAAAAAATTATGACGAGACTCAACTACAGAGTAACGAAATTCAATAAATTCTATACAGGGTGTTACATATAAGTACGTAAAAAAAATTGGGTCGTAGTGGGAATCAAAACAAGCACTTTTTCCAAATAAACCGAGGGTCTAAGGTGTTTCGTTTGGGAGCCACCCCCACAAAAGTGGTGAAATTTGCATTTCTTCTATAATTTTTTTCTTCATTTTCGGATATGCCCTTTCCGTGTCTGTAAATTTTTTTTCAAAATTCCTACCACGAAAGGCCGCACCCCTAAATCGGGGTGCGACAAAAATGTCTGATTTCGACGAAATTTGGTATCTGGGGATTTTTGAACATGAACATCGCGAATATGAAATTGGTTTTTGAAAATTCGAAAAAAAAATTCCACTGCAATTCTTGGTGGGACAATGAAAATGGAGAGAATTCCAAGAAATTTGTTGTGTTGTGTGGGCCTTCGGGTTAAGTGTCCCCCGTCCTACTAGTGAGTGATCTAATTTCTCGTGTAGTTAAATTGAAAATGTCGCAAATAACAAAAAAATAACGATTGAAGTCGATATTGTGATTATGAAGCCTGCAAATTCGATTTCAAAAAGATGTAGGTTGTGCGTGGCTGCAGGTGGTGGGAAAATGCTATTTAAGTAGAGTTCCATTACAATCACAAAGCATTATTCTAAGTATCATAATATCGACTTAAATCGTTATTTTTTTGTTATTTGCGACACATTCAACTAGCTCCATGAGAAATTACATTACTCACTAGTAGAACGGGGACACTTTGTGACCCGAAAGTCCAATCTTCAAATGTTAGAAAAGTTATTTTAAACAGCTGTTCGACGATTTTCACAATGCATTTCGTGGAATTCTCGTTTTTAGCGTTTTTATTGAATTTCCTGAATGTCTAGTTGAGTCATAATTTTTTGGTGAGATATTCTCATTGGTGTATAGAACATTCTGTAAAATTTTCACTTGTTTCAGTCCCTTTTCAGATATTCGTCGAAGAAAATTGACATTAACATGCTTTTGGCTATTTTTGAAAAGCCATAGAAAAAAAAGGAGTGCATTCTCAAGACTTTTGCTGCAGGTAGTATTATAAGTACTCAACACAGTGATAATATCTTATTAGTGAGTCTCTTCTTCTTCCTAAAGACCTGTTTAGAGCTTGCAAGTTTTATTGCGGGCAATAAAAATTGCGGCAATATTTATTGCACGCATGCGCGCAAGTGTACTTTTCGATCAGCTGTTGCAATTTTTATTGCGTTGCCAGAAGTAGTTCCTGAGCGATTTTTATTGCATTGCAATTGCAATTCTGGTGACTATTTTAGGGGAATTTTTAATGCCAACATCTAGAATTACTATGGCACCAAGGATTGAAGTGTGTTGAATGTATTGATATCTCTGTTGTTCATCTTGATTGAAATGCACAATAAATAGATAAGTGAAGAACAAGTTAAATGCAAATGACAAATCAAAGATATTTTGTACACACTTAATTAAAGTTATAGGGTTGGTACTATGCAATGAAAATTGCAGACTGTAAACACTTGCTATTTGTTGCAATTTATTGCTGCAATAAATATTGCCGCAATTTTTATTGCCCGCAATAAAACTTGCAAACTCTAAAGCCCGCTTGACATGGAGCAATAAAAATTGCAATTGCATGCAAGTTGCAAGAAAAATTGCGAAAGGCATGCGCAGTTCAAAGCCAGCTGATCAATTGCTGCAAGAGACTTGCATGCAATTTTTATAGGACCGGTGCTATTTTTCTTGCATGAATCGCGCAATTCTAGGGATAAATCTAGTTGGTTTTGTGTCACCAACCTAGTAAAATACAGCGGCGGCAACTATGATGCTTAGAGACGCACTCATTACTTGTTTTTATTAATCTTATTTATTCTTGTAATTTTCATGTTTCTTCAAGCAGTCAAAATTTCATTTTTATTTGAGGTTAGCAACTTTGTTGACAAATTCATATTTTTCTTCTGTTGGCAGACATGTGGCAATTGAAATAGAATTGCACCATGTCAAATGCCATGCAATTCTTATTGCATGCAAGGATTTGACCTTGCAATTTCTTTCTGCAAGTTCTTGCGCGTTGTATTGCTCCATGTCAAGCGGCCTTAAACAGGCCTTTAAGAATGTATGGTCTTAAAGTATAACCTAATTTTTTAAATTTTATTTGAGAATAGTTCTGATTGACTTTCTTGCGTGATAGAGAAATTAAAATAAAGTAAGTTTGAGATCATTTTATGCTGAACATACACGTTTTTGAATTATTTTGATATCATAAAAAATACTGTGGCAATCAAACTTTCTGCAAACCCCGTTTTTCTGTCAAATTCGCCAAACCACCATTTTGGAAATGGCTACCGCAAAAAACCATGCCTTATAAAATTTTTTCAATTTTTGTGATCGCCTACCGATAGGGAACTTATGAAATAAAAGCCAGAAAAACAAAAAATGCCGAGTAACAAATTATATTCCTGTTGGGTGATTTCAAATGGATTGACCATAACCCGAACGGTGGTTAACTCTGTGTACATTTACGGTACTCACACAGGGAAAGTAGGAGGTTTGGACACGACAATACCGATGGGGTCAAAATTTAAAAAACCAAGTTACGCTAACATTAATTTTTGTTTTTGGTCAAAAGCCATAATATAGTCCCGTCATTTTTATTTTTTGAAATTTTTCATAAAAGAACTCCGAGCGAAGTAAAAATATGAGGTAGTAAAACTAAAACTAAGACCAAATTGTCAAATTATTCGAATCATCAGCTATTCAAATATTATGGCACAAATTATGGTTCAAATCCGGATTCGGGCATGGATATTGTAATTGTATAGGTGGTTGGTTAGGTTGGTAGAGCAGCCCACATAAAAATAGAATAAAAAAAGATCCATTTGAATACTTCAAGTCTTACATGAGACCACTTAATATATAAATGCGCTATTAGAAGACAGTTGCACAGCAATTTCGTAAGGAAAGCAACAAAACCCATTACTTTGATGTACAGGAACCAAAATCTTGCCCAAGTTCAATCGGTAGAGCAAAGAAACGTAGTGTAAACATTTTTTCAGAGTTAACCACACCTCGGTCTGACAGGTAAAGTATTTTAAACTGGAAAAATTCTTACAGAATCGCGACATTGCCAACGTGGGGAAAGAGATAAATCCGAGCTAGATGGTTTTGTTGAACGGTCAACAACAGGTTTCTCATCAGGATCAACTAGAGATTCTGTACTTTTCGTATCACCAAGAACAGGTTTTTTCGCTTGTCTCGCAGCGGCCAGCAAGTCCTCAACGTTCACCGTACCCTCGAGCGAGGTACTGGACTTCTCCAAGTCAGGTAATTCTTCGAAAGGCAGCGCTACGTCTTCAATCGGTGTATCTAGGGCTACGTCCTTGTCAATATCGTAAATTGACACCAACTCTTCTATCTCTGCGTCGAATAAATTAGCGACAGACTAAAAATTATTATTTACCTTCAATATCCGATGATCCCGAAGGAATTTCACTCAAGGAGAAGGGCAACGTGTAGTCCTCTCGCCTACTAGATTCCGGATAGTTGATCTCAGTCAGGTCCACGATGTCGTCCATCATTGTCATCATTTGACTATCGTCCATCGTAATACACATAGTCGGATACATCTCCACAAACTCTAAATACCCTTTGTTTAAAATGGTGGGTTTTTCGTGATAGGTACGGTTCACGTCCCACTATAAGATAAAATCAAATTACCTTCTTGTCACAAAATCACATTTACGTTTAAAAAAAAATCAGACTAAAACATCATAACAAAAAGGCATAACCAACATAGACTTTTGCAGAAAGTCCATGTGTCAAAAAAATTCTAATTTGTACCAAGGTTATCTACAAATTTCTTGCTTCACTAAGAAGGTTGTTCAGATATCCTTTGCAACCTACAATTTACTTTGAGGAAGCTGGGAGAGTTCTTCCTCCCAACCTGTTTCAAGAATTGATAAGCCACCACTTCAACCCTTAAAATAAGAGTCATGCTTTTAAACTGTTTGCAAGTGATAGGTAAAATGGAGGGAATTGGTATTTATTAAGAAGTAGACATAGGGATTTATGTGTATTGTTTTGACCTATGTATAAAATCTGTTTTGAAAGGCGCATCCAAAATATTTTTTTAAAACAAATAAACATCTGGCTGTCATATTAATTAGTTAGAATATTGTTGCTTTGGCTTAGCAGAAAATAAATCTCTTACGCTCCTTAAACGATTGCCGGCTATACCAATTGACAACATCAACTTTTTCTTCTATTGATTACGTCGCACACGCACGATAATAAAAAAACGGAAGCCAAAGCAATAATATTCATTTGCATTAAGATCTTTATTTGTTTTAAGATGTTATATTGGTTGCATAAAATTAAGCACCCTTCAGCAGGATTTTGTCATATAAAAGTAGACATAGGAAAAAAACAATACACATAAATCCCTATGTCTACTTCTTAATAAATAGCGCTGTATACATATGCTTGACAGTCAGGTGGCGCTGAAGGCCCTGTCAACAGACATATCGATCGGCTACGGCGCTTGATTGCAGCCTGCAGACGAACTCTATCTATCTATTCGCAGGAGAGCCCGACCGGGCAGCACTTAGCCACTACTCTAGCTAGATTAGGTGAGTCTAATAGGGTAAGATTGATCTGGGTGCCAACGCACTGCGGAATAGAGGGCAAGGAGCGTGCGGACGAGCTGGCTCGCGAAGGCAGTGGTGGGGTCTTTATCGGGCCCGAGCCTACCCTACAAATCACTCCCTCCGTTGTCAGGGCCAGGATTAAAGACTGGGTGACCAGTCAATTCCAGGCTCAGTGGTAACAAACAACCGAACTCAGACAGTCTAGAGCCTTTTTAACAGGATCCCGGAAAAAAGAAGGAATACGCTTTTGGCCTTTACAGTACTCCCATGAAAGATCTCAATTAAAGGAACTGTATTCGTGAAAACCACCAAAATGAGTTCTTAATAGAAATTTGTCATATTTTCGAATTTTTCAAAAAATTGTGTGGTCTACCATTTTAAATGGAATAAAAACTGGCGGTGCCATTCCACCAAAAAATTGGAAGTTAAGTTAATAGCAGTCAGATGGCGCATGCGTAGATACATCTTTATCAGGGAACCAATATTTGTGCTGGTTATAAATGTAAACCCAACTGAAACGCGCAGGTCAAAAACTTGGATTGCGCATGCGTAGACCCAAATTTTCAATTCCCAACGCTAAAGTGTGCGACAGAAGGACATGAATGTAAATATTATGTATGTAGATGAGTGTTTCGTTAGAAATCGCAGATTTGCCAATTTTTAAAATGCTAATAAATCGTCGTGAAGAATCTTGTACCCTGTTGATCTAAATAAATAATTGGCCAACAGTCCACTATTTTTGAAATTTGTTGCGTTAAGAGAGCTAATAAATCAAAATTTACTAACCTCCTTCTTCAATATTGACATATTACGTTCGACCCACTTAACCACCACCAAATGTATAAAAAATTCAAAATATCGACCAATTTAAAAATCACACGTAACAGGCAGCTCACAAGGTACAATCTACAATTACAGAACATCTTGACGATACGCGAGCGACTAACCGGCGATCCTTTGCTTGATCACCATAATGTGGCAGGACTGATGGGGGAGGAGCCATGAAACTATTTGGAGGGAATCACGAAACCAATCAAAGTTTCAGAAATGCTTCGATTGAAAATTTCATTTCCCTAGCTAAACAAAATATTCATGAGTTTCAGCCCCCTCAACCCTAACCGTTAATGCAACCATTTTCATTTTCACCAAGTGAAATTCCATCACTAATTATTTTGCCTATTTTTTTTCTCCCGTGTTTGTAGATCTTTCTATCTACATTCATGTCAATTTTTTTTTATTACTACAAATTTAGTAAATCAAAAAAAGAACAAAGACATAGCTGATATTTTTAAATATAGATTAATTACATTTTTTGTTTATTTAAAAACATGATCGCTGTTTAGAATCAAACTATGCAATCAAAATGTTTATTTTATAAGATACGATAAACAATAATCTGCATGATAATTCAATCAAAGTTATGTTACAGACGTGTAATGTAGCGTGAAATCAGAGAAAAGAATGCTTCAGCATAGCATTATTTTATCTGCTATTTTTCAGAAATAATCTCGCAAATAGTAATTTTTTTTAACAAAAAAATTAGGGGGTAGAGGGGGTCAAAATAAACATTTTTTCCAAATAAACTTAAAGTCCAAAATTTGCATTGCTTCTTTAATTATTTCCAAACAATTTTATTAATAATAGTAATGAATATAGACAGAAGTTTAGCAACCAACACAAACCCCCATAAAACCCCCATATAAAAAAAATAACGTAAATATTTTTTGGTTTCGTGTGCTGTATTGGATTAAATTTGCATCCATATTGATCAACAAATACGAAAGTTGTCAATTTTTTTCTTAACATGTGAATTTCTATAGGAAAACAGTGTTCCATGTGCCAACGAAAAACTAGTGCAGACACATGGCATGAAATTCAGTTTGTATTACATTTGCAGCCATACCAGTGTGAGTAATTAACAGAATGTGTGTGGGCATTTTGAAAATGTTTCAGAAATTTTGTAAAAATACCAAAAATGTGCAAAAATTGTTGGATATGTTTACGAGCCTTAGAAATCTCACAAAAGGGAGGGGCACGATCAACTGTATATATGTCCTACACAAATTGGTGGAAAAAAAACTTGGAAAATTGTGTAATTAGTGACTTTTTAATTATCGCAGCCTACTCCGGTGTATAAACATGTAATTAATTAATGGGTAGGTGTGAAAACTATTGAATAGCCTAAAAACTACAGGATTTAAGCACAGGAAATAAAATAGTGGTAGTTCCATTTGAAAAAGAATAATTATGGCACTTTGAAGTTTGGAAATTTTACCATTTCTTTTCTTTCTCATTATCATTATTGATCAAATGTATTTCTTAACTTCAAAATCAAGGTGGCTGCGAATCATCAAAGTGAGGCTTGCTTATGGGGAATTATTCAGAAAAAAATAATAAGAGGTAGAGGTTAACAAATTAACATTGAAACATGTAAAAATATACAGGGTGTTCTACTTAAAAAATTGACACCATAAAAATGGGACACCGACGCACTATTGCAGGACCCTGTATATAACCACATATTATAATATTCAATCAAAAATTTTTAGTGGCTCTTCAACCCTCTGGTACCCGCTTGCAGTCTCAGGGACCGACGTGATATTAAGGGGTATTATTTGAAACAATAAAAGGTTCCTATGTGCCACCCTCCCAAGCATCTTCCTACTTCCTTGTGTTCGACATCAGTGCGACGAGACGATCCCTGCAGTAGTATAGCTTTTAGTGGGCTATTATTTGAACTCCCTTGATACGGGGAAAGTGTACACCCATTCCATTAAATATAAAAAATTAATTATTCTAGAAGTAAAAAATGTACATCTTGGAATAATTGTAAGAAAGATCCTATAGGTGTACCCATAATGAGGACAAGCATTGTGAACTCAAACTTCTCAAATTAGGGGGTGCACTTGCCCCAACTCACTTTAATTGCCTTTGGTACTCTATTACCGACTACTGGCGTTAGCTCACACAGACAGCTGTTGATGCGACCTGAAAACGTCTGTACCTAGGGAATGCCACCCATACAATACAATAAAAAAAATTACTTTATTTTACAATTTATTATTGCAAATGAATCGAAACTAATACATAGTTTTGCCCATTAGATTGATATCGGTCCGTGAGACAGTCAATTTTTGTTTTTATAAATATTGGGCAATTTTAAAGAGTTAGAGAGATTTTTCCAGTGCATAAAGAAAGATGGTTTGGACATCTACAAAGACCAAGAAAAACCTGGAACCGCAAGTTCACACAATCGGCTATGATTATAAATATCTGATAAGTAGAAACCTTACCTTACAACACAGATCTTTTAATAACACTGCGACTGTTTCATTTAAATCTTACTAATGAAATAATCTATTGCTTACACATTTTCAGGTGTAAGATTGACGCATATGCGCCGGTTTTCCTTTTTGTCATGACAAAGTGTTACATACCTCAGATAGAATAACTTTCAATTTGTGCAAACGCGAACCGGTAAACTGGTAGGATGAAGTTTTCCAGTCCATTAAAACGATGCAGTCGAAAGAGTCGCGTTTGTCCCAATGGTCCCTAAATTTAGGTGGCACGTATCTACCGAGCGTATTGGCGGACAGTCTAAAATCGGAACAAAATAAGGGATAACCGTTCGATACAATTGCGCAGCATTACCCGTAGTGAATGACATCTTCTGGAATGTTTATACAGTTAATCGAAGGCTTGAGGTGAGATGCCTGAAAATGATCCTCGCTGCGTACGTCAATGACCAATATGTTGTGAGAAGAATTTGACAGCACTTCGTATAAATCGATGCAGGATATGAATGGCTCTAAATGGAAGAAAACGATTCAGTTTTAACCAAGTGCACATTATCGCTTACCATTGTTAAAAACTGTACTCTTCATATCTTCCACCGATTGCGAATCAATTATGGCTATTAAAGTCTCTTCTTCTTCTTCCTTCCGCTTTATGTCCGAATAACGCGAATTTAATCGCTGAGTTAAAAGATTTAGCTGCGAAGTAGCCTTAGTAGCATCTGTTCCCAATAGTTTAGTAATGTAATCTTTATCGTCAGTCTCTAGTAAATAACGGTAGGTTTTTAAGAAGCGGAATAATAGGACATAAGTTTTTTCGTCGTCATCTGTGGAGGTTTTTAACGTAAGAAGTAGTTTCTTGGCCACTTCCAAGGGACTGAAAGAAAATAAAAGAAGGTATAGAAAGACTAATTATTCATACCTTTTAATCTTCCGCAAGTCAACAAAAGAACTTTCAGCATATCTATTTAACTCCTCCAAGCTGGAGGCCAATTGCAATTTGGCCATAGCAAAGGGACACTTCGTACTTCAATATGCGCCTTGTTGGATTTTCTATACACACAAATGTCGTTTACGGTATCCTGTTGATACTTTAGAGCTTGAAAAGAATTATTATTTGTTAAATTTATTATAATTTGCGTTAGACTAAAAAGATTACCCCAAAATTGTCAACTCCACTGGAAGTGTTTAGTGAACCGCTTATGCACGGAAGTGGATCTGTGTAAATGGGCGCATTCAACAGAAAACTTCAAACAGGTTGGAGCCATTTATACAGGCAAAAAACAGACACGTCCTTTTCTGAGTTCTGTCTATGGCAGGCTATGGGGGTCCATACTAAATAAAATTTTTATTCAATGCTCACAGGCTGTACGTTACCATAAATAAACCCATGCGGGGCAATTGTCTGGTGGCCCCTGCATTTTTGGACCATGTGCAAAAACTAGCATGCACGGGTATCATACGAACCACCCTGACGGTCGTTATGGAAGTTCTTTTTGGGCTACCTGCACTTATCCTCCTCAGTGCAGCCCTAGGACTCCGAACAAAGGGATGGATGAACCATGTAAGAGGCAAGGTAGGGCACCGTCGTTCTTCTCAAAATATGAGAGAATCCATGTTGTGAAACCATTCGCATTCAACATTAGAATTACCTATTTTAAGAGAAACGTACAAAAATCATTTCCTTTAAACCTATGTTCTCCTGATACTCCGTGCACCGTTTGTCATGTTCTATATATAAAAATCATGGCCGGTTTTTCAGACGATCGAGTATGCCGGGTTGCCTATACACCAGGGTACATATTTATAACTTCATTATAACATTAAATATTCAAATTTTCATGACATTAACATTACATACGACATTTCATTGAATTTAAGATGCCACTAAACATTCTGATAACGCTTATGGTAGAGTTACGCAGTGAATTTTTCGTAAGTTCCGCGCGTAAACAGAAATCAATTTTTAATATGCAAAATTGGCAACACGAAACGCTAAAGGAGAACGCTGGCGGCTGAGCCATAAATGCAAACTTTGGCCAGGAAATGGTAAAAAACGCACGACGCTGTGGAATTACCTAAAGATGCTAAAAAAGTAAAAAATGATCAAAGTCCTCGTCCTCGTGTGAGATCGAAGGGACTTCAGCGCATTTTTGTGTGGCAGATCAGTGTTTTATTAGCCAATATTGACTCCACGTACCATCAATAAGATCTTGCCGAAAGCTACCACGTTCACTTTGTCGGTACCATTTTCTCACTTACCGTGCACTCGCAATTCGCGTTTGAAGTTTTGACTCCACCATCAGTAAAATCCTTTGGGGGTTACCATATTCCCTTTGTCGACACCCACTTCTGATCACCCGCAACAAATCGGATTTGAAGTTTCGACTCCACCATCAGTAAGATCTCGTCGGGGGTTACCACATTCCCTGTGTCGATACACAGTTCCGACGTCCCGTTCATTCGTAATTCACATTTTGGTAGATTTCGCTAAAATTCCGGCATAAAATCGTATTCAACTTTTGGGTACTTCACATAGCTCGACCTTCTATTAGTCACACGAGAAAGAGAGACCGCGATTCGCGCTGTAAGAAACTTTTGGGCGCCCAAAGTCGACTACCCCTCGAAGCGCGCCGCGCAAAAGGTGGTTTATTTCGCCCCTAGGAAAAAAAACAAAATTCCGCCACGCAGGAGTTGTGCGCGTTGGCAAGATCTTCCCGACGACACCAATTTGAAAACAATCGGAGAAAAACTGCAGAAGAAGATAGATAAAAACTGAAATATCTCCAGGTTAGTATAATACGCTCGGGGATGGCGTCCAGATGTCGTCGACTCCAAATCTTGTAGCCCCATCCCTAACGTTCTTAATTACACGGCCCCGATAGTTACATGTACACTCCTTGTCTTTTTACAAGCGTTTTTCTACGGGCGCGCATTTACTGCCAGCCAGCCAGCCAGCCAGCCAGCCAAAGTGAGATTAAAAGCTACTTTTTACAAAAAAAATTTTGCAAAAATGCGCTAAAAATAAAAATTTCATGACGGTAAAAAATATAATACACTATTCCGACATCTGTCGTACATAATGTGAACTCAGTGTTCACAATTTGCACTATAATAATGATCTTTGACTATAATAATTAAGTGTCGTCCTCTGTGAATCAAAGCTTCAATTAATAGACCAGTGGTAAAGTAATTTCCTGCATTCAACAGTAACACAACTAGTCGATTATACCAACGTTAGATGTCAGAACAATACTATTTAGGCTTTTGTTTTTAAAAATCGTATTTTTGTTATTTAATTTTGTTATATTTCGATATATTTACGCAGTGCGTAGATTTATAGATAACTTGCGACAAATATGTCCGGTTACTAGCATTTCGTGTTGCCAATTTGCTATATTAAAAATTGATTTTCGTATGTATTGTTTGAAATTGTGGATTCTACAGGCCACATTCTATAAGGAAAATTTTTTTCCGGGTCGATCTGAGACAATTTTCCTTGAGGGCCTCAAAAAAAGGCAGTGTACAACCTTCCTTTTTTTACCAAAAATCGACTGCACCAAAATTTCTCGGGAAAACACTTTTTCTTATTAATTTTGGTGCAATCCAAATCCAAATCCAAAACAATTCGTACTTTTTCGATCAGACTTCTCAATCAAAAGTTATAGACTAGAAAAGAAACCAATTTCGAAAGAAAATTCAAAGGGCTGTAACTTTTGAACTAGTAGCCCAATCTTGGAACTGTTTGAAATTATGGATTCTACAGGCAACATTCTATAAGAAAATTTTTTTCCGGGTCGATCTGAGACAATTTTTTTTGAGGGCCTCAAAAAAAGGCAGTGTACAACCTTCCTTTTTTACCAAAAATAGACTGCACCAAAATTTCTCGGGAAAACACTTTTTCTTATTAATTTTGGTGCGTAGAATCCAAAACAATTCGTACTTTTGCGATCAGACTTCTCAATCAAAAGTTATAGACTAGACACTAGGGAATGCAATACCGGAGTTGCGGGATCCCGAAATACCGGGATCCCGCAGCATTTTTGCGAGATTAATCCCGCACATAAATGGAGGTTTTTTTGAGTTCTAAGTTAGGCCGAAAGTACTTTTTTGTTAAATATTGTGATAATTAGCGATTTATTTTAATATAGAAGTTAACCGCAAAGAATTGCTTATTTGCCAATTTATTTAAAGTTTTGCGAGATCCCGCGAATATCGGGATCCCGCGGGATTAACATCTAACAATCCCGCAAATACCGGGATTGAGATTTTGCTGCGGGATTGCATTCCCTAGTCCAGATATAACGAAATCAAATGCTTGCTTCAGAAAGTAAGCATCTTGATCAATTCCCCCAACACGTGCTGCATTGGAGGACCACATAAAGAGAGCGGCGTATGTCGCTGGCCACATCTAGGGCTCTGCAAACCATGTAAAGAGAAAGTCCTGAAGGATGGGTCAGATAATGAAAGATTCTGTGGTCCAAGCGGCCACAGGTATGGAAGGCAGTCCGCTGTAGAACAGGTTGCAACACCCTTCTGTTAAGCTGCCGACGACACTATCACTGTTCCCCTGCATGCCAAAATTGTATGGGGGATTGCTCAAACCAAGGGTAAGGATATTGTATACTTTCAATATAATTTACTACAGAACCTTCAATATTTATATGTGAAATATCTTTTCAGTTAGGATACCACCATCGCGAAGGAAGTTGTGACTGGGTGATCTTTCATACCCTTATAAATTTTGTACCTATACATCACCTACATGTTTTAACGTTGTAGGTATATTTTTATTATAAATATAAAATATTGTTATAAGTTTGTATCTTTGAAATATATTTTCACGGCGCGTAACGTCATCAGAAAGTAAGGTAGTGAAGCCTCTATGCACTTCCGATGCGCGATTTTTGTTAGCATAAATGAATTCCCTGACCACAAAAACATAAATCTAGATACCTTACACTACCGGGTGTGTCTTAGAAATATAATTATATAATACCATTGGATTCTTCGAATTAAAATCATGCTAAATTGACACCCAGATCTCGTCTCTAGGCAATATTTAGTTTTTTTTCAAAAACTTTACAATTAATCACCTCCACCTCCTCTAAAATCTACCCACATAGAAAATGTCACGTGTTCTTCGGGCCAAATCGTCTAAATGGTTCTAAGGAACAGCTGTACCAAGTGGCACCTTGGTATCACAAAATGCAGTATCTTTTGGTATACCTACCGCTAGTACTAATAAAAAAAACACAAAAAGGGCTACAATTTATGACACAGGAGTACGATTTTCAATTTTCTGGGCGATTTAGATTCTACGGGCTAAAATCTACAAGAATTACGATTATTACTGCAAAGATCGCCTTCGGAAAGTCAAAAGTTATAGCATTGACTAAGGTATTAGTCGATGGTTATAGGTAAAAAACCGTATTGAAATGAAAAAAAAAAACACAGAAAGGGCTATAATAATTTATGACACTGGAGTACGATTTTCAATTTTCTGGACGATTTAGATTCTACGGGCCAAAATCTACAAGTATTACTAGTATTACGGTAAAGATCCCCTTCGGAAAGTCAAAAGTTATAGCATTGACTAAGGTATTAGTCAATGCTTAAAGGTAAAAAAACGTATTGAAATGAAAAAAAAACACAGAAAGCGGTATAATACCTACTATGATCAAAATCCACTTATCAACTAATTCTCTTTAACAGTAATTTTATAGTTGTAAAATTTCCCCTTGATTAATTAGTTTGCTTCGTGTATCTTGGTTGCTGTCCAAGATTTTCATCTAGGGTAAAAACCGGAAGCAATAAGATTTAAAAATGAATTCAGACTTCTTTATGCCAATTCGATACGTGATGTAATCATTGTCGACATCCTCAGGAAATTTCTAAATAATAATATTAACCCATTTATTTCAGTTCTGAATTTTGATGTTGATTTTGTGTTAATTTTCCATACAGTTCCAGTCGTAATTACACAAAAGTAATAAACGAAATTTTATCGAGTCATTGACTTTGAATGAAAGTAATACAATTACGCAGGTGTGGGAGTCGACTACGCCACTGTTGACACATTAGTGGGGGATACACATTTAGAAAAAGATTATCATTTATTTATCAAGTGCTGCCGTAAAGCGTACAATGTTTTTTATGTAATAGCGGTTCCGTGCATTTAGTAAAATGAGTATTCCACGCTCTAGTATTAGTGACTACCCCGAACATTTAAATCCGTTTTATGAAGGCGACCAGAAATTCAAATTTTGGAAATTTGGCAGAATAAAACGATCCGGTAGTTTTGGAGAAACTTTAAGAAATTCATTGTAAGTATCACGACTTGTAACTGTAACTGTAATTTGGCTTTATTATTTTATTTCGAATAGATGCGTAGGTATAACTGCATTGCGGATATTTTCTGGAAAAATTGGTTGTATATTTAGCTTCTGAGTAATTGATTACGTTTAAGCAAGTAACAATACACTTCAGCTTTCTCACGTTGATTATCATTTAGTTTATTTGTCAGTATTTACCTTTTATTTTGTTCTTTGGACTGCCGAGGCTAGTAAACATTCGTCACTTAAATATTCTACAATATTCATTGGCTATAAATAAGTGACATAGGTATTACTTCATAGTTCATTCCTTAATTACAATATTAATCAAGGTTTCAGATAAGTTGTAGCCATTCGAGTAGGTCTTATCAGTTTATTGAGACGATTCCCTTTATCAAAAATAGCTTTCTGAAGTAGTCGCTGTGTTATAGAATCTCAAAAATTAGGTACTTCTCGATTTTCGCGCGATGTTTTGGCGCAAACATTTTATTGGCGCCTAAACCTCATCCAATTTTCTTACCTGAAAATTGATTGAATTGTCCAAAGAATCTCACAAGATAAGTTTGAATAAGAACGAATATATAAATTCAAATTGAGGGACTATCCTCAAAAACTGAATTTCTCACATTAATCAATTACAAAATATCGGCGTGCTCATTTTAATTAACGAAGGAATCCATCTCTAATGTGATGAAATACAATTAGCATACTTGGGCCGTAATTAAAGGAGCAATGTTCAGTATTCATATTTGTTTGACCTTGTAGGTATGTACGCCACTGGCAGTTATTAATTGGCATCGACGATTCAATTATTTCCATGTACTATATCCCTCTATTGTTGAACTTGTGACATTGTTATTGATCCTGAGAAAGTTACGTAATACGAGATGGGTTCCAATTTGAGGGCACTGGGTTAGGGGTTTACAATACGTACCATTTACCATCCGCCCCCATTTTATTTTTATTTGCATAAAAATCGCGTGGTGTGATTAAGACCTTGATTAAATGGGTGGGTCTACTCGTTTATCAAAACATCAATAATGTAGGTAGGTACCTTGTAATCGGTAGGCTTCCGTTACACAAATAATGACACAAAACAGACAGTCACTGAATTTCGAATTTTTTTAATGGGATGGGGAATTTTACTTATAATTGGCAATCTAAAGGGTTGCTTGTTGATCCTTTTAATACAATCGATCAAGGAAATAAAAATATTTGTCGTACAACAAAATTTACAACCCCTTCAATCGTACATTGCGAAGTAGGTAAGAGCGAATTATCTGAAACTTTACGAATTTTATAACGGGACGGGATTTTACTTATAATTGTCAATTTAAGGGTTGCTTGTTGACCCTTTTAATATAATCGATCAAGGAAATAAAAATATTTGTCGTACAACAAAATTTACAACCCCTTCAATCGTACATTGCGAAGTAGGTAAGAGCGAATTATCTGAAACTTTACGAATTTTATAACGGGACGGGATTTTACTTATAATTGTCAATTTAAGGGTTGCTTGTTGACCCTTTTAATATAATCGATCAAGGAAATAAAAATATTTGTCGTACAACAAAATTTACAACCCCTTCAATCGTACATTGCGAAGTAGGTAAGAGCGAATTATCTGAAACTTTACGAATTTTATAACGGGACGGGATTTTACTTATAATTGTCAATTTAAGGGTTGCTTGTTGATCCTTTTAATATAATTGATCAAGGAAAGAAAAATATTTGACGTACAACAAAATTTACAACCCCCTCAATCGAATACTGTTACGTAGGTAAGAGCGAATTTTCTTAAAAATTACGAATTTTTTAAACGGGATGGGATTTAATTTACAATTGGCAACTGAGGAGTTGTTTGTAAATTCTTTTAATATAATCGATCAAGGAAATAAAAATTATGAACCCACAACAAAATTTACAACCCCTCATTCGAATACTGTTACGTAGGTAAGAGCGAATTTCCTTAAAAATTACCAATTTTTAAAACGGGATGGGATCTAACTTACAATTGGCAACTGAGGGGTTGTTTGTAAATTCTTTTAAGATAATCGATCAAGGAAATAAAAATATTGAACCCACAACAAAATTAATAATACTGTTACTAGGGAATGCAATCCCGCAGCAAAATCTCAATCCCGGTATTTGCGGGATTGTTATAGATGTTAATCCCGCGGGGTCACGGTATTTGCGGGATCTCGCAAAACTTTAAATAAATTGGCGAATAAGCAATTCTGTGCGGTTAACTTCTGTATTAAAATAAATCGCTAATTATCACAATATTTAACAAAAAAGTACCTTCGGCCTAAATCCCGGTATTGCATTCCCTAGTTTCTAGTCTATAACTTTTTATTGACAAGTCTGATCGAAAAAGTACGAATTGTTTTGGATTCTACGCACCAAAATTAATAAGAAAAAGTGTTTTCCCGAGAAATTTTGGTGCAGTTGATTTTTGGTAAAAAAGGAAGGTTGTACACTGCCTTCTTTTGAGGCCCTCAAAAAAAATTGTCTCAGATCGACCCGGAAAAAAATTTTTCTTTTAGAATGTGGCTTGTAGAATCCATAATTTCAAACAGTTCCAAGATTGGGCTACTAGTTCAAAAGTTACAGCCCTTTGAATTTTCTTTCGAAATTGGTTTCTATGTTACGTATAGGTAAGAGCGCATTTTCTTAAAAATTACGAATTTTTTAAACGGGATGGGATTTAACTTACAATTGGCAACTGAGAGGTTGTTTGTAAATTCTTTTAATATAATCAATCAAAGAAATAAAAATATTAAACCCACAACAAAATTTACAACCCTTCATTCGGTTACTGTTACGTAGGTATAAAAGCGAATTTTCCTAAAAATTACGAATTTTTGAAACCGAATGGGATTCTTCTTATAATTGGCAACTGAAGGGTTGTTTGTAGATCCTCTAAATATAATCGATCAAGGAAATAAAAATATTGGACCCCTTAACAAAATTTACAACCCCCTCATTCGAATACTGTTACGTAGGCAAGAGGGCATTTTCTTAAAAATTACCAATGTTTAAATCGGGATGGGATTTTACTTATAATTGTCAATTTAAGGGTTGCTGGTTGATCCTTTTAATATAATTGATCAAGGAAATAAAAATATTAAACCCACAACAAAATTTACAACCCTTCATTCGATTACTGTTACGTAGGTAAAAGCGAATTTTCCTAAAAATTACGAATTTTTTTAACCGAATGGGATTCTTCTTATAATTGGCAACTGAAGGGTTGTTTGTAGATCGTTCTAATATAATCGATCAAGGAAATAAAAATATTTGATGTACAACAAAATTTACAACCCCCTCAATCGAATACTGTTACGTAGGCAAGAGCGAATTTTCTTAAAAATTACGAATTTTTTAAATGGGATGGGATTCTATTTATAATTGGCAACTGAAGGGTTGTTTGTAGATCCTCTAAATATAATCGATCAAGGAAATAAAAATATTGGACCCCTTAACAAAATTTACAACCCCGTCATTCGAATACTGTTACGTAGGCAAGAGGGCATTTTCTTAAAAATTACCAATGTTTAAATCGGGATGGGATTTTACTTATAATTGTCAATTTAAGGGTTGCTGTCGGGTTGCTGGTTGATCCTTTTAATATAATCAATCAAGGAAATAAAAATATTAAACCCACAACAAAATTTACAACCCCCTCATTCGAATACTGTTACGTAGGCAAGAGCGAATTTTCTTAAAAATTACGAATTTTTTAAACGGGATGGGATTCTATTTATAATTGGCAACTGAAGGGTTGTTTGTAGATCCTCTAAATATAATCGATCAAGGAAATAAAAATATTGGACCCCTTAACAAAATTTACAACCCCCTCATTCGAATACTGTTACGTAGGCAAGAGGGCATTTTCTTAAAAATTACCAATGTTTAAATCGGGATGGGATTTTACTTATAATTGTCAATTTAAGGGTTGCTGGTTGATCCTTTTCATATAATTGATCAAGGAAATAAAAATATTAAACCCACAGCAAAATTTACAACCCCCTCAATCGAATACTGTTACGTAGGCAAGAGCGAATTTTCTTAAAAATTACGAATTATTTAAACGGGGTGGGATTCTACTTATAATTGGTAACTGAAGGGTTGTTTGTAGATCCTCTAAATATAATCGATCAAATATTGGACCCACAACAAAATTTACAACCCCCTCATTCGAATACTGTTACGTAGGCAAGAGGGCATTTTCTTAAAAATTACGAATGTTTGAAATGGGATGGGATTTAACTTATAATTGGCAACTGAAGGGTTGTTTGTAGATCCTCTAAATATAATCGATCAAGGAAATAAAAATATTGTACCCACAACAAAATTTACAACCCCCTCAATCTAATACTGTTACGTACGTAAGAGCGAATTTTCTTAAAAATTAAGAATTTCTAAAACGGAGCGGGATTTTACTTATAATTGTCAATTTAAGGGTTGCTTGTTGATCCTTTTAATATAATTGATCAAGGAAATAAAAATATTTGACGTACAACAAAATTTACAACCCCCTTAGTCGCGTTGATCAATTTCAGCATTTACATGGGCCAAATATATAAATGGACAAGTTCGTACTCGGGATTTTGATGAAAATTTTTAAATATATACACGTAGTGTTTCGCAGAATGGACTTTTTAGAATGTGCAAAACTTGCTTATGAAAAGTTTTAGTGTCTTTGAAGGGACGTTACTAATTCGAGACGTACAGACTGCTCGATTACTACCATTATTCTACTCTATAACGCCATAAACAAAAACACTTTCGTGAATTTTGGCTACCTATAACGGAACGATAATGCAACAATTTACATCTGTCCTATAAATTGTTATTACAAGACGAACTTTATGACATCGTAAAGAGGGTTATCCTCTTCACATCCATAAAATGGAAATTAAAGATTTCTAACCTTCTAGGGAAAACGCAATAAACAGTAAACTTGACTCTGAAAAACTTTAATTATATGCGACCATATAGGCAATTATATTACAATTACTTGGTGCCGGTCATAAACTAGGTCTACAAAGTATCATAATAAAATTATCGACTATCAAGAGGGTAAATTGCGTTTTTGAACGAGTATAATAAGACCTGGAATTCGGAACAGAACGATTATAAATAGAGGGTTATGTACGATAGTTTTGAAGCAAGCAATTCTGCCTAGAATGCTTCAGGGGATTTATTCGGATTTAACTGCACCTGCATAAGCGTGATGATCTGGGGTGTAGCGGTCATTTCTTTTGAAAGTTGCGGTAAACTTTGCTAATTTACCATTTTGCTTCAGACAGTAGCTCTTATAATTCACAAAACTTATTTGACTTATTTGAAATCTTTTCCATTCTCTCGCAAGATTAGTCATTATCCTTCAGTACCGGGTCGACAAGTACCTATATATACAATGGAAACTGATTTGGTACATGAAATTTGAGGTACTACTTGCGGAGTTATTCAAAGTTTGTCTGATGGTATTTTCGTGAAGTTGGCCGTGGTTTTCCGAAAACGACAAAGGTACAATGGAAACAAACAAACAATGATACATTAATTTGATGAACAGGTAGATTCGTTCATTTTCGAGTCGCGTACTTTTCACGGACATTAACATCGAGCTCGAAAGAAGATTTCTTCTTCTCACTAAATTTTTGCGCGTCAAAATTGTGCGTTGTTGATCTAAATCAGTCTTTTAGACAAAAATTATGAAACGAGCACTCTTTTAGATTTTAACTTGGTAAAGTGCCAACTTTTCGTGCAGGATGAAAGATTGAAGCGTCATTATGACAAGGAGGCTGATCAGAATTTTAAATTACAAGGTGTTAGGCTTTTTCCGAATTACTTTTGAAAGGGATGAGGGGATACATTTTGTGCTAGTTCTACTTCATACGTACTTCAATTATAGTGTAATGGGAAAATAAATCAATAGGAAATGAAAAAAAACTTAATTAAAACCATTAACCGAGTGTATAAATTGACTTCTTATTTTGAACATATCGCGTGACAATTACTATAAGCCTTTAATATGTAGGTGACCTTTTCATTGGACTTATGTTACTGTGTAAAAGAATGACGTGTTACATATTGTTGCAAAAAAATAATAATAAAAACCTGAGGAATGTCCCCAACATCCATTTCTTAGACCATTGGCATGTTTCAAATTATAGTTAGCGAAAACATTTTCGAACATCGTTGATAGCATAGTCTTGGAATATAGTTTGAAAATAATAATAAAAATGTTCATTTGATTCCAGATTATTCAAATCTATCAGAGGAAAGAAGAGTAAAGAGAAAGATGCTTCACCTACTCCTCTGCCACTGCGCAAAAATAGTCCAAGTAAGTATCCGTCATTACTAATTAGTGTGTCATAGTTTATTTCCCGACATTTTAAATCGATTGCTATGAGAGATAATGACAATCGAATTTATTTAAAACGGTTAGCTAATCGTTTCTTGTTTGGGTAATGTAATCATCGCACATTCATTCTAATGCAAGTTGACGCAAATATTTAATCATTGCACGTCCAGACTTATTTTGCATTTAGCTCAATGTAGGTGGGGACGTAAGGAGCGGTAGTAATGGTAACAATTTTCATTAGGTACCTAGTTATGCAAACATTACTATTACGATTGTTATCTCTTGCCCTTTTATTGCCAGAAATAAGACTAGTCACGCTGATTCATTATAATAGGTGAACTTGGCGGTATATCCGCACATCATTTCGATTTTCTTGACCTTGTCGATAGTGAAGTAATTTTTACATTTTTCAGGTGTAGCTCCTTTGCATCGCCAAACGCTTCCTACCATATACTCTGAAAATCAGAGCTCCAATCGAAGCTCTACGCCAGTACCGCTGCCAAGATCTAGGTTCAGCGAAAGGGTTGCGAAATCATCGTCACAGGTACAACCTCAAAATTGCGACGTTAACCAAACGGCTCCGAATCCCTTTGAAAATGCAGTCGCCAAACCCCCCACTAAATTATACATCAAGCGCAAAAAAAGAAGAGCGCCTCTTCCTCCAAGTCTGGTATGATCTTCGCCGAGATGTCTCCTTGTAACGCTTTATTTCTTTCAGGACGGTTGCAGTGTCTCTTCGGAGTATAACGGTTCCAAGTGGAGTTTAACTTCCGAAGGCACAGATATGTCAACGTATTCCGATACAGAACTTACTATCGATCCAGAAGTTTCCTCTCGGATCGCCCACATTACCAAAGAAATCCAAAAAATGGCCGACGAAGAGCACGAACCGGCGTACACGACTGATATTCCTGATGTTGTAGTATCATCTATAGACGCAGTACAAGTGGACAAATCGCAAAGTAAGGAACTGGAAGTTCCCATTGATGAGAATGATAATGTTCTCGAGAGCGTTTCAATTGAAGATGGCGTAGAAGCCACGGGACCTGATGTTCTACATCATACAAATTGTAATGATGAAGAAAAAGCTCACCTATCTTCCACAGAGTCGACCGAGGACCTTCGTACAGATGACTCGCTAACAAATTTAATCAACAGCATAAACGATGATACTACAAACGTAGACGGGAACGATTACGAATTGAAAGAAGTAGATTCTTTGACCAATATTATTAATAGTATTAATTTTACCGAAAATGAAGCGTTTGAAAGTAAACATATTACAAGAAAATGTGATGTTGAGATTAATGGGATCTTAAATTGTGATAATGAAACGATAGAAGCTAGTCTAAGTGATACTGAACTTAAACAGACTAATCATGTGGAGGAACACATAAGCAGTTCAACCACAAAAGAAGATGTCAAAGTTGATCACTTACGCACATAGAAATGTGATAAAATTATATATTTTTATATATATTGTATAGTATTCAATAAATAATTTATTAATTTTCTGCTTTAGTTGCTTATAGGGGTCGAAATAAAAACTTCTAGGGAATCATCACCAATCATTGCAGTATTAGAAATTCGTAATTTTTAAGAAAATGCCTTTACCTACGAAGCAAGATACGATTGAGGGGGTTGTACATTTTGGTGTGGGTTCAATATTTTTATTTCCCTGATCGATTATATTAAGAAGATCTACAAGCAACCCTTCAGTGGCCAATTATAAGTTAAATCCCATCCCGTTTAAAAAATTCGTATAATTTTTAAGAAAATTCACTCTTTCCTACGTAGCAATATACGATTGCGGGGGTTGTAAATTTTGTGATAGGTCAAATATATTTATTTCGTTGATCGATTATGATTAATAAATCAAGAAGCAGCCCTTAATTGCCAACTGTTAGTAAAATCCCATCCCGTTTTAAAAATTCGTAATTTTTAAGGAAATTCGCTCTTACCTATGTAGCAATATACGATTGCGGGGGTTGTAAATTTTGTGATAGCTCAAATATATTTATTTCGTTGATCGATTATGATTCATAGATCTAGAAACAACCCTTAAATTGCCAATTGTAAGTAAAATCCCATCCCGTTTTAAAGATTCGTAATTTTTAAGAAACTTAGCTCTTACCTACGTAGCAATATACGATTGCGGGGGTTGTAAATTTTGTGGTAGGTCAAATATATTTATTTCGTTGATCGATTATGATTAATAGATCTAGCAGCAACCCTTAAATTGCCAATTGTAAGTAAAATCCCATCCCGTTGAAGAAATTGGTAATTTTTAAGAAAATTCGCTCTTAATACCTACAAAACAGTATTCGATTGAGGGGGTTGTAAATTTTGTTGTGGGTCCAATGCTTTTATTTCTCTGATCGATTATATTAAGACTATCTACAAGCAACCCTTCAGTTGCCAATTATAGGTTAAATCCCATCCCGTTTAAAAAATTGGTAATTTTTAAGAAAATTCGCTCCTACCTACGTAGCAGTATACGATTGCGGGGGTTGTAAATTTTGTGGTAGGTCAAATATATTTATTTCGTTGGCCGATTATGATTAATATATCTAGAAGCAGCCCTTAAATAGCCAATTATAAGTAAAATTCCATCCCGTTTTAAATATTCGTAATTTTTAAGAAAATTCGCTCTTACCTACGTAACAGTATTCGATTAACGGGGTTGTAAATTTTGTTGTAGGACCAATATTTTTATTTCCTTGATCGATTATATTAAGAGGATTTACAAACAACCCCTCAGTTGCGAATTATAGGTTAAATCCCATCTCGGTTTAGAAATTCGTAATTTAAAAAAAAATTCGAGCTTACATACGTAAGAGTATTCGATTGAGGGGGTTGTAAATTTTGTTGTGGGCCCAATGCTTTTATTTCCCTGATCGATTATATTAAGACTATCTACAAGCAACCCTTCAGTTGCCAATTATAAGTTAAATCCCATCCCGTTTTAAAAATTCGTAATTTTTAAGAAAATTCGCTCTTACCTTCGTAACAGTATTCGATTACGGGGTTGTAAATTTTGTTGTAAGGACCAAATTATTTTTTATTTCCTTGATCGATTTATATTAAGAGGATTTACAAACACCTCAGTTGCGAATTATAGGTTAAATCCATCTGGTTTAGAAAATTCGTATTTAAAAAAATTCGGAGCTTACATACGTGAGTATTCGATTGAGGGGGTGTAAATTTGGTTGTGGGCCAATGCTTAATTTCCTGATCGATATATTAGACTATCTACAAGCAACCTTCAGTTGCTAATTATAAGTTAATCCATCCGTTTAAACAATTCGTATTTTTAAGGAAATTCCGCAGGTTTTTTACCAAAAATCGACTGCACCAAAATTTCTCGGGAAAACACTATTTCTTATTAATTTTGGTGCGTAGAATCCAAAACAATTCGTACTTTTTCGATCAGACTTCTCAATCAAAAGTTATAGACTAGAAAAGAAACCAATTTCGAAAGAAAATTCAAAGGGCTGTAACTTTTGAACTAGTAGCCCAATCTTGGAACTGTTTGAAATTATGGATTCTACAGGCCACATTCTAAAAGAAAATTTTTTTCCGGGTCGATCTGAGAAAATTTTTTCTGAGGGCCCCAAAAAAAGACAGTGTACAACCTTCCTTTTTTACCAAAAATCAACTGCTCCAAAATTTCTCGGGAAAACACTTTTTCTTATTAATTTTGGTGCGTAGAATCCAAAACAATTCGTACTTTTTCGATCAGACTTCTCAATCAAAATTTATAGACTAGAAACCAATTTCGAAAAAAAATTCAAAGGGCTGTAACTTTTGAACTAGTAGCCCAATCTTGGAACTGTTTGAAATTATGGATTCTACAGGCCACATCCTATAAGAAAATTTTCCGAGTCGATCTGAGACAATTTTTCTGAGGGCCTCAAAAAAGACAGTGTACAACCTTCCTTTTTTACCCTGGAAAATTCTCTCTTACCTACGTAGCAATATACGATTGAAGGGGTCGTAAATTTGGTTGTACGTAAAGTATTTTTATTTTTTTTATCAATTATATAAAGATTTGCAAACAACCCTTCAGCTGGCAATTGTAAGCTAAATCCCATCCCGTTTAAGCAATTCGTAATTTTTAAGAAAATGCGCTCTTATACCTACGTAGCAATATACGATTGAGGGGGTTTAAATTTGGTTGTGGGTCCAATGCTTTTATTTCCTTGATCCATTATATTAAGAGGATTTACAAACAACCCCTCAGTTGCGAATTATAGGTTAAATCCCATCTCGTTTTAGAAATTCGTAATTTAAAAAAAAATTCGAGCTTACATACGTAAGAGTATTCGATTGAGGGGGTTGTAAATTTTGTTGTGGGTCCAATGCTTTTATTTCCCTGATCGATTATATTAAGACTATCTACAAGCAACCCTTCAGTTGCCAATTATAAGTTACATCCCATCCCGTTTTAAAAATTCGTAATTTTTAAGAAAATTCGCTCCTACCTATGTAGCAGTATACGATTGCGGGGGTTGTAAATTTTGTGGTAGATCAAATATATTTATTTCGTTGATCGATTATGATTAATAGATCTAGAAGCAGCCCTTAAATATCCAATTATAAGTAAAATTCCATCCCGTTTTAAAGATTCGTAATTTTTAAGAAAATTCGCTCTTACCTACGTAGCAATATACGATTGAAGGGGTCGTAAATTTTGTTGCACGTAAAGAATTTTTATTTTTTTGATCAATTATGTTAAGACGATCTACAAGCAAACCTTCAAGTGCCAATTATAAGTTAAATCCCATTCAGTTTTAAAAATTCGCTCTTACCTACGTATAACAGTAATCGATTGAGGGGGATGTGAATTTTGTTATGGGTCCAATATTTTTATCTCCTTGATCGTTTATATTAAGAGCATCTACAAGCAACCCTTCAGTTGCCAAGTACAAGTAAAATCCCATCCCGTTTTAAAAATTCGTAATTTTCATTTCACTACTAGGAAGATGCTGCCATTTTTCGAGATTTGTGAGTTCTGGAATTTCACTAGCTCGATTGAATACACAATAGTGTAGGTGGTTTTAATTAATATAAAACAACCATTGAATCAGATTAAAATAAGCCGGAAGATGTGCCCAATGTTTAAATCTTTAACAATATTATGATATATACCAAGAAGTTCCATTCACGGAATTGTAATACGATCTGTAGGTGCAATTCTATTCTTCGCATGCTGCCTAAATTGATTTTGATGCATCTGCAAATACATGTAATGATCGTTTAGTTTCTTTACGTAGCTCTTGGGATACGACACCACATTAATTTTGGTAAGTGTGGACACCACTCTTGAAATTCATTCATCAGAAGTGACCGGTTTCGTTTGGAAAAAGAATTGTATCACATAATTTATCTAAAAAAAACTAGGAAGTTGAATATTAAACCACGTTTGCTAGATGATTTTGAATCAGAATAATTGAGTTCGAAACTCATGACTTAAAATAGAGATGTAATTGAGCGAATCCAGTTAACCGCAATTTACCATAGTACAATACTCGGGAAAAATGTGTATGGTAAGCTATTAGGTATATTAATTTTTTGTATCATTGTCCAATGATATTTATATAAATAGGTTTGTGGGATCTGATAATATAGGTATCATACCAAGCCTCAATATCATGAAGATTTTAATTGTGGCATCTGTCGCCGTTTTGTTTACAGCCTCGCTGCTCTCAGCACAAGAGGTACAGTACTTAGGTAACTCTTTACGCTATGTTGTAACGTTTTAGAAAGAGCAAGAGGAAGGTGAAGCTGCAGCGGCCGTAGCATGCATAAATAACACCGACCAAGTCCACACTGCGGGAAACTTTACAGAAGATAAATTCTTCGACGACCCGATATCGAAACAGTACTATGTCTGCCTCATGGAAACACTTGAGGAGATGGTAGACGGCGTTATAAACATTGCAAATGTGATGAAGCACATGGGAAATGCATCAGAACAGGCGAAGGAAGCAGTGAAAGGTTGTGCAAAGTGTGCAAAGAAAGAATCTGACAAAGGCGACAACGCGTATAATTTCTTGGTATGTTTGAGAAATAACACTGATGAAATAACAACCAATGATGTTACTTGCTAACTGTATTGAAATAGCTGAAGCAATATGTTAAAATTATCTACTATTAATTAGCAACTGTTAAAAAAACTAGTTTTATTTAATTACCATTTGTTACAAGTTGGAAGAGTGCCTAGACATCACGTTTATGAAACAAAGATACGATGTTTTTTTTTGTTTTGGTAGCCTATTTTGAGGCACATCAAATACATATATGCCTGGCTGTAACTTTTGAAATAGTAGCCCAATCTTGGAACTGTTTGAAATTATGGATTCTACAGGCCACATTCTATAAGAAAATTTTTTTCCGGGTCGATCTGAGACAATTTTTTTTTGCGCGCCTCAAAAAAAGGCAGTGTACAACCTTCCTTTTTTAGCAAAAATCGACTGTACCAAAATTTCTCGGGAAAACACTTTTTCTTATTACTTTTGGTGCGTAGAATCCAAAACAATTCGTACTTTTTCGATCAGACTTCTCAATCAAAAGTTATAGACTAGAAAAGAAACCAATTTCGAAAGAAAATTCAAAGGGCTGTAACTTTTGAACTAGTAGCCCAATCTTGGAACTGTTTGAAATTATGGATTCTACAGGCCACATTCTATAAGAAAATTTTTTTCCCGGGTCGATCTGAGACAATTTTTTTTGAAGACCTCAAAAAAAGCAGTGTATAACCTTCCTTTTTTACCAAAAATCGACTGTACCAAAATTTCTCGGGAAAGCACTTTTTCTTATTAATTTTGGTGCGTAGAATCCAAACAATTCGTACTTTTTCGATCAGACTTCTCAATCAAAAGTTATAGACTAGAAAAGAAACCAATTTCGAAAAAAAATTCAAAGGGCTGTAACTTTTGAACTAGTAGCCCAATCTTGGAACTGTTTGAAATTATGGATTCTACAGGCCACATTCTATAAGAAAAAATTTTTTCCGGGTCGATCTGAGACAATTTTCCTTGAGGGCCTAAAAAAAAAGCAGTGTACAAACCTTCCTTTTTTACCAAAAATCGACTGTACCAAAATTTCTCGGGAAAACAGTTCTTCTTATTACTTTTGGTGCGTAGAATGCAAAAAAATTCGTACTTTTTCGATCAGACTTCTCAATCAAAAGTTATAGACAAGAAAAGAAACCAATTTCGAAAGAGAATTCAAAGGGCTGTAACTTTTGAACTAGTAGCCCAATCTTGGAACTGTTTGAAATCATGGATTCTACAGGCCACATTCTATAAGAAAAATTTCCGGGTCGATCTGAGACAATTTTTTTTGAAGGCCTCAAAAAAAGACAGTGTACAACAGGCATATATGTCTATTTTTTAATTGATTATACCTAAAAGGTCCTGTTTTAGTTAATTGAAATAATCAAAAATATCACTTACCTGTCGTCGTTCAATTGCTATTTTTTTTCTTTTTTCTTTTCTGGTACAAGGAGAATATGGCGAGGGAAAGGAAGAAAACAGGATGGAGAAGATTTAATTAATTGACAGATAAGCAAATGCCCAACACTACCAATGACGACGCCAAAAGACCAAAAAACAACTCACACGCAATAGAACTTTACCAACAACAACTATTGAATTGAAAAATGTTATCAATAATGTATCACAATTTCCCAAACTAAAAATTAAATCAACGTATGCATACTCCATCTACACAAAAATGAAAATAATACTATTTGAAACTGAAATTTAATCATCGGTTTCAACAGGTCCGCTCGTAATAAATGAACAATATAATCGGACCCCTAGCCGTTTTCGGATTAAGTACCTACCTACGTATTATCAGTTTTCGAAATACGTATTTTTAAAATTAAAATTCTCTCTAAGTGAGCACCCATCCACCATCCACTGAACATGCTTAAAGGGCCTGCCAGCATAGGCTCATGCTCATTAAGCACTATCGAAACCTACCACCAACTATCCATTGCAAGGGGTGGATATTTTGCGAAACGTTAATTTTATTTTTTTAATTGAATATACCTAAAGGGTCCACCAGCAAACCTATGTGAATGAACAATAAAATTCAATCCCTTGTCGAATCACAATTTTGTTCTCTCGCCACTTCTAGGGAAGTCTATTTTGCGAAGCATCAAATATTTTTATTTATTTAGTTTACTATGCGTATAGGGGCCCTTAGCAACATTATATATATATATATGAACAATAAAATTCAACCATAGCCCTTTTCGGAGCTGAAAGATAGTTAAAGGGTCCGCCAGTAACCCTATGAACAATAGGATTCAAAATTTTCTCTGATTTAGCGCTTACCCATTATAAGTGTGTCTGCTTAACGGCACATCGAATATTTTGACTTCTTTAATCATCAATGCATTAATTCAAAACACGAAAAATATAAAGACTCACGCGTTTCATTACTTGCTAAAAAACACTTTTTTGTTCAACAAGATGTTAAAATAAAACCATAAATTTGCTACCTGCTCTTTTAATTTAATGTAGGTACGCTTTGTTGTAGGACTTGCAAAAATAATTTCAACGCTCATTTTTATTGTACGCTATTCTTACAGCAAGTATGTCGAAGGTGTTGATTTTGTTTAGGTATTCTTTTCATGTACCTTCTTTATTTTTTTTTGTCCATATCTTTATTATGGCAAACTAGTATTTTCATAAGAGCTTTCGGGATATGGTGAGAATAAACTGAGCTACAAGAAACAAATCAAAGTGTACTCAAAACTCAAAAAGGTAAGTGAACATCGTATAGCAATATTCCATTCCCCCAGTACCTATTATAGATCTACAGGTATGTGTAACAGTGTAGTGTAAATATGCAACAGAATGAACGCGTTAACTCAAATGGTGTGTTGTAAGGGGGATTTACTGGTGCCAATGGAAATAGTGATTTTGTAGGGAACGTTATCCTCCGGGTTCCCTCACAAAATAGGATCACGCCATTGTGGTGCTATTTATCCATTTTCTATAGGTACATCCCCGATTTGCTCTACAAGCTATTTAACCAAAGTCGAAATTACAGAATAATTTATGGTACCTACTTAAACTCGTACCATCAGTGCCAAGTAAGCGACAACTACTTTTAGAAACTCAAGTGTTTTGATGTCGATAAGCAAAAGGGTATTTCGTGAGATAAAGTAAAAATTGTTTTCTATACCTACGCCTTCTTTAATTTAAAGTGAATAGGTACTTACTACATGATTCTCGTCATGATATCTAACATAAATGGCACTGTATGGCACTAATATTTTTGAAATGCAGTTAAATTTCTGATTATTGAACCCAATATGCTAATTTAAAAATACATATTTTTGCATATTCTGCCGTATTGCATAAGTTTACACATACTTTAAAATATCTTCGCATCAATGTACCTACTTATGAACAAGTGTTTTCTTAATTTTGAAATGTCACAATCAAGGAATTAAATTCCCATGTATTTATCTAAACTCGATCTTAATTAATGAATGCCCCCTATCCAGTCATCGACATCCACAAAGGTAATGATTCGGAAAAATAAAATCTCATTAAGTTCACCAAGCACATAATTGCATCGCGATTCAGATCATTAATACGATAGATTTTAATACCGAAAGTAATTAGTTTATTGCCCTTTAGTGGCTTAGGTCAGGTTTAACAATGTTATATAATATATATCGTTCATTTTGAAGTATATCCTTAAATTTTCGATAAAATTACACGTTAATTAGTTCATTCGCATATTGCAACGTGTCAGAGCTGTACATAATTTTGTAAGTTTAGTGCACTTTCACTTTCAAAAACTAAATAGGGCACTTTTGCGCTTTTGATGTCTGTCTGTTTGCGTGTCTGTTTGTCTGAGTCACAAAAGCTCCGGAACGACACCACTTACAGACTTGGTATTGATGTCATTCGATCAGAAATTAAAAATTATTTCATGTTCGTATTCTCGTTAACGCATAAGGGCTATTAAAATCGAAAAAACAAATTTGAAAGTGCACTCTTCGCCTCTTGCTCACAAGCGGTTTAACCGCCGACACGGTCCACGAGGTCGCAACTCCCCAAGGTTTGGAAAAATCAACCCCCCTTCCGCAAATACTGGAAAAATTTGGTAACAAATTCCTTCTTACTGCGAGAGGACAAAACGCTAGCGAATATTCATTTTGACTGCTAAAACGTGGGTCGTAAGTACCTCGACCTTTTAAGGGGAGACTACTCAATTTCAAGTGTTCACACTTAATATTCAGATAAAATCTTTGTACATGAGCACCGAAAACTAAAAACAGGTACCTATACGTAAACATGATCTTACTACACGTGTGTCTCGTTTGCAAAAAAACAATGATTAGATATTGTTATCTCAACTCTTTTCAATTCTGTTTGGATAGACATATATCCCAATTTGGTAGTCCAGGTGTAGACGACGACGAATTAATCACGTTTATCCCCCAATTCTGATTACTGAAATTGCGACAGTAATCTCAGTTTGCTGACCTTCGTAGAAATTGAGCAGCAATATCTTATCAATGTAATTGTTCGGTTAATGTGACAAATATTGTTTACTCTAACATTGAGTGTAGTGATGTGCTTGTTTACGCGGTGCCAGTAATTGTAATAAATAAGTTAGCACGCAAATGTGCGAAATTGTGGGTCAGTTTTATTAGACCGCCGGCGGGAAATTTGCAATTTTGTTACCAACGTAAGACGTTCTGCACGCGCAGTTTCTTTGGTTCCTGATGGTTGTAAGATTGTAAGTTCACAATTTTGATCCTTATGTCCTAGGGATTAGGAGCTTTCGGATTTTGAATAAAATGCTTTGTTAGTGGTAGAGTGAAAATTAAGGTTGATTTCTGTCTTTTTTTAATTAGTGTTCGTAGTCAGTGTTCATTTTGAACATTTTGATAATTCCATTTTTGAGCATTAACTTGTAAAAGTACAAAATCACCGCTCGCACACTTATAGCATCCGGGTAAATAAGATTTGCGTTAATTGCGTTTTAGGATAATTAATTGTTGTACGTTTCAGATCTAGCCTGGCTCACTCCTTCGATTAAGAATTGTATATGATTATGGTTGTCGCAAACTGATACATACAGAGCCACAGTTTTATTCACAATGACTCCTAATCGCAGAGACCGAGACTGGCCAGTTCCGGATGCTATACACCAAATTAAGATCGCACTGGTTCACGGGGAAGAAATGGGCACTAATCTACTGGCAATGTCTCGTGATCAAATATCGGGTGAAGTTACATTAGCGGACCGTGACGGAGCTGTCCATTTACTACGATTTCTCAAATTTTGGTTCAATTTACCTTCCGCAGTATTTATCACAGCTACCAATTTGTTGGACCGGTTTTTAATTAAAATGAAGGTGAGTAAAAATAGAAGCGTTAATACATAAACAAATATTTTTAAACACTTGATTTGTTTTTTTATACGTCAGTAGCCTTGCCTAATTGTGCTAAGGTCAAGTCTGTGATGTAATAGGAACAAATATTTTGTTCCATTTAGTTACATATTTCATATCTGTATTGTAATTGTAAGGAAATCAAGTTCTGGAAAGTTGCCACAGTTTTTTTCAGTCTATTTACATTGAATGGGCTTTAGTTTCCTAAAGTTTAAAGTACAAAAAATGTATACCCAGCAACAACATGTACTTACAGAAACACAGTTGATCAAAGAGAATTATTATTATTATTGTGTAGCAAATTGTTGATTATTTCTTTGTTACAGGTGCAGCAACGTTACTTAACTTGCCTTGTTATAAGTTGCATGAACGTTGCATCAGATCTACATCACTACAACATTGATCCAAAGATTCTAGTCAGTATCTCGCAAAGTAAATGTTCTGTCAAAGACATGAACCGAATGAGTGAAATAATTAAACAAAAATTAGATTTAGGAAATGGAAAAGTTCTAACGAACGTCTTAGATTATCTGAATCAATTCTTAGATCTTTTGGAAACAGTCGCTCACCAGTTTCATCTAAAGTCTGTTTCCAATGTGGGTTTGGAGGTTTGTACTTTTGATTAGGTCGATGGTGGAGATCTTATTCGTTTGGTTACAGAAAGATGAGCTTTTATGTCATTTGGAAGTAATTATGTGTGATTCTCAATGTGCCTCAGCAAAACCTGCTGTAATAGCGCTGGCATTGATTCAAAACGAATTTGAGCGTTTTATGTCATGTGCAATACCCGATACATTATCGTATCACTCTTTCGAATTACTACAGCTGTTCACGACTGTTGTAGACCTTCAATTGATTTGCTTGGTAAGTGATGATAAAAACTAGACAAAATTACTTACAGTTCTTTTCCAGATCGTACCTGTTGAGTTTACGTCTTGCCACAAGATCATAAAGGATAGTTTAACAAGTTACGACAAACACATGAAATCGTTGTACCGACAAAATCTGCTATGGCGATATTCGTCACGATCACTTTACACCACAAGGTCTGCTTGGAAGTACTTCAAATCACTTAATACAATCTCCGAAGAATAAACTAATCTGCAAAATAGAAAATTAAAAAGTATTGTATTTTTAGTATTGAAATGTAATAAATTTTGGACAGTATTTATTGCATATCAATGTATACAGTGTATGTACGATGTTTTTAAGAAAACTAAAAAGTATTTTAAAAGTACAAAAAAATTTTTAAAAAACCAAAGTTTATTACATAATATTTTTTAATTGTAAATACTCTTGAATATTGATGGGAACACAGCTCTGTTCAATATTACGGCATTTGATCTTTACTAGTCGTAAGTTGTTACCAATTATTGTAGCAAAAAATTTTTTATATATGAAAATATTTGTGTACAATAATTGCTACTAAATCAGTGATTATTTTTTATGAATTTGAGAGATATGCCAGTTTTATCAAGAAATAAATAATTTTTCAGTAAGTCGCTTTTTATTTTATACGGGAATTGTACTATTCAATACCATTTTCCAGTCTTTTGTATTTGTTTCTAATATTAATAACAATTTTGAAAATATATTGATGACACCAGGCTGGAAAATGAATCAACAACTTCTAGGCATCCAAAACAATTGTCGATTATCAAACAAATTATCGATGTAGCTCTTGAACTGACTAAAAGAAAAACAAGGAAGGTTTTCGCCCTAAGGCGAGTAACTCGTGTAATTGCCATGCATTGATCAGTACTTCCCAAAAGGCCGTAGCTACGTGCGCTATGTTTTTCTTTACTGGAAGCATTTATGGTTTAAGAAATGTTTCTACAAATAAGAGACAATGCGCATGCGCACATTAATCATCAAGATTTTTCTTAGACCATCAGAAGCCCAGAACATCAGGATTAATGTGCGCATGCTTCTAGTAAAGGGAAATATATCACCTACTGCAAAAATCAGATGTGATAGCTCTGTGCAAAAACGCGTCAGGCTCCGAGATGATCCTTGTGAACAATGTAACATCATGTTCCACCTAGCCCTGTGCTGGTTGGGTGTATTGAGTTGTAAAGTTGTTTAGAGTTGCAACTGTAAGTGGAAGAGCAAACTAAAACGTGCTGCACCCTCATGGGTCAAAACGGTCGACGAGAGCGTAGCGTCCCTGGTCGCAAACGTTTAAAAGCAAAGCTCTGAACTCGGCAAAGGGAATTGCTGCTTCAAGAAACAACCAGCTCTCCGCGTGCAGAATCAGTTCGCCTTGCCGCATCCCACGACAACGCTCGCCATTTAGTATACAGTGATATTTATTAAGAAGTAGACATAAGGATTTAGGTGTATTGTTTTTCTCTATGTCTACTTTTAAAAGACAAAATTGCTTCTGAAATGCGCCTAATTTTCTTCAACTTCTTAATACAAATAAAGATCTGGCTGTGATATTATAATTAATTAGAATATTTTTGTTTTGGCTTTACAGAAAATAAATCTCTTACGCTACTGAAACTGTTACCGCCACTATCTACCATTTGGCAATATCCACTTTTGTTTAGCTGAATACATCGCACACGAACGAAAATAAAAATAGGGAAGCAACAATATTCAAATTAATTAATATGATAGCCAGCTTTGGTCGTTTTAAAAGATATATTATGACGCATAAAATTGGGCGCCCTTCAGAGTATATTTTACCATTTAAAAGTAGACATAGGGAAAAACATAACACCTATGTCTACGTCATAATAAATGTCGCTGTATTTCTTCTATAAAACGCAACAGTATTTTATTTAGCGCCGCCCTTCGTAGACCTCTTTAACAAGTACAAGAATGTGACTACACCACGATTGCTCAGTGATAAAGTGACGCATTCAGTTAAGCACCACATCGAAATATCCGGTCCACCTGTATTCTCTTCGAACGCTGCAAAAGACTTAGTAAATTACTTGCTCACCACAATGCTAGTTTTGTGAATCGACGCAATTGGAGCTGTACTCGAGCAAACCACCAGCGCAGCTACACAACTCTGGGATTTCTTCTCCAGGAAATTCACGAAGACAGAAATAATTTAAAATCAATAATGAATGGTTTATCGCCTCGTTTCGTTAACCGAAACGGTTCTTTATTTTCTAACCAGAATGGCCATATGGCTTCACTTTCAAAGTGAGTTTAATAATTCATGGTTTCAGATGGCAGAAAACCGCGGACAATCGCGCGAGCTTCATGGAGAAATATGATGTTAGGTTGCTAGATTAGCATTTTTGTGAAAATTGGTGATGAAAAACTCTGAAACCTACATCAGCTCAATCCATACTCTTCTTTTTGATCAGACGGAACTTCGAACTCCCAATAGGAAAAGGTCCATGTTTAGTGATTTTACACGCACTGCATGGGGATGGATTTGTACCAAATGCATTACTAATCCGGAAGCATAACTGGAGACTAAAACGATGACATGAATGGAAATAATTTCATGAAATGGTTGGATCCCAAATCTGTTCTGGACAACACAGTTTACCATAATACTCTCAGAAAAGAACATCGTACTGTCAAATAAAAAAGAAGAAATGCAACAATGGTCGGATGACAAAAATGCAAAAAAAAGGACCAAACTGGAGACTGTATGAAGCAATAAAAAATGTAACAATGACATGACACGTAAAATGGTGCAGCTTCTTATGCAAAATGGAATCGGGCGCACTTCGCAATGACAATTGATGCCTAAAAGAAAAAGCTGATCTATCAAATTTCTGTAACAGAAAATGTAAACAATTCAACTTCCCACAAAAATCCGCGATTTGTCAATGTCTACCTTGAACAGTTTAAAAATAATAAGCTTTTATGTGCTTCCGCAATTTCTTTGAACGCCGGCATATTACCTAAATGACACTTAACTACCTTAATTGTCTACAAAGTAGGTACCCTGTTCTAAAAACACGTTTTTCAAAATAATGCGGATACACTGACAAATATACAGTATAAAGTTGGATAGTGATGATTAACTTGCCGAACTACGGTTCATTAATTATTTTAAAGGATTTATAGGGCTGCAACAAAACATAATAACATTTTTTACTCAACAGGCTTTTAAACTAACACACCTACTCGGCATCAGCAGTTTAGCAAGTCGAAGTTAACATTATTGTTGTAGTTACAGAACGTCAAAAATGAAACAACCGAATTTGTCAAAAGTTAAGAACAATAAGAAAGCAGTCGATCAATTTTTTAATTGAGATCAACAACAAAGCGGTCATTTTAATGTACAATGAATAAATCACAATTTTACAATAAATTTAAATACGGCACGTGTTACTGAATGTGGGTAACATTTGCGGAGTTGCACTTCTTACAATTTTCCAGTAAAATATACAGGTATAAAACAAATGTTAATGCCCGAAACATTCAGTAAACACCGCCACAGTATATACAAATGTTATTAAATTTAAGCACTATTTAAAAAGGAAATTCCTAATAAGATTTGGCATTAAAAAAGATGCAGTGCTGTAAATGTAAAATAGTAACATTGTGAAGGAGTTTTGATTATTTACATCGATAGTAATTTTGATCAATTTTAGCCTTACCCGTTTTGACTCATCGACAACCGACCATGTTTCAAAATCAGGGTTTTTTTTGTTAAAGTAAATGTGTACACGAAGCAAGGCGTTCAACAGGAGTCAATGTTAACATCTATTTTACATTTAATTAAATGAAAATTGTTCTATGAGAATACTAATTTTTGATTACGTACAAACATTACTGTTATATACTCAATTGCATCATATTTCCTCTCAGAATTGATCTTGATTTTACATTCAATACAGGTTGCTACGGATCAGTACAATAAGCAATATTTGGAACAAGTCAACTAAAATTGTTACTTCAATTATTCCAGCAATATACATTAGGATTACACGCAATAAATGAAACAGCGCTATTATCAGTAGTTTATTATTCTCGCTCCGATCTATAAACATTCATGAATCACAACAGGCGTTTCAGACATTACCATTCTTTGGCAAGTTGATAAAATTTTATAAATTTAAACACACTTCTTTTTTAAATATAAATAAAAATACCATACATACACAATGGGAAATTTTAGCAAATTTGTTCCATACATTTAAAGCTTACTGTATTTAAAATATCTAAAAGCGTTAACAAAAGACTTATTGAAAATGGCTGCCAATTATATTTCGAGTTCATGGAAGAAGCAGGTGGCTTCTGGTCTACCTCAACCTTTGCTAAATACAAACAATACGCTGCCGTCGGCTTTTCACACAATATACTTTATCCAAATATAAATCATGACTTTGAGGTAGTCCAGTCGCCAAATTAGAGCGATCAGAAAACATTCTTGCCTCACTTAGTAAATCGGCCAAGACACGAACCACAATTTTGAATTAGCAAAGCGCCATACTACCCGAAGAAAACTTTCACTCTGTTCACACCTCTCACATCGAGAGTAATTATCATATTTAAAAATCTCAAAAATAAAAGTGAAATACGTAATATTATATATTTATCGACGTACAAATGTAGAAATAAAGGTGCGGTTATTCACATACACCATGATCAATAAATTGAACATGGATCCATGACACAAACAGTTTAATTTTAAGGTGGTCAAATGCGAGGAATCAAAATATACTTATGAGCTGAACTACAATGTTGAGTCTAGATTGTGGTGTGTATTTTTGACTAAGAACAACTTCCGGTTTCATTCAATTGATATTTGCAGATCCTCTACGTTCAATTAAATGATCCAGAGCAGAATAACCACTTTATAAAACCATGGTAGAACACACAATACCATCGAAATGACAAACATGATCAGTTAAACAATCACAAACGAATTACACCTAAAGACAGTGCGTATTTTCAATAATAACAATAATGGTAACTAAACTGTATCAAATACTTTGCTCTAATACTAAATGCGTTTTTGGATAGATCTAACTTAACAACATATGCTAATTACTCTCGGAAAGTGGCTTCAAGCAAACGCCAAACGTTTTTTTAAATAGTTACAGTTGTACGTGTTAAATATACACGCGCGTTAAGTTTCTTATCATTTTGACATTGCACAACACAAAGAACCATTCTGAAAGCTTCCGTTATACAGGGCCTCTGTAAAAAAAAAATGGACTTGCGACTGTGTCATATACGGGAATGTATACTTTTCAAATTTTGGAAGATCGTTTATTTAATATCTAACTTAATATTATTTGTGAACGACCCTGTATATGCATAAATGAAAAAATCACCATGAAGTATTGTATACGTATTCTCTTTTAAAAAGACAAAAACAAAACCTACGCTAAATATAATAATCAATCTGCTATTATTTTTAAAATCTTTTCCAATAGTCATCCACGAAAATGTTAATTACACCCAGTATAGTCAACTAAATGTAAGCGGACAGTTGCATCTGTCAACTATTATCTAGTAGTAATTGGCATTGACAACATGTACATTCCTCTCAGATACAACTGTCAATTTTCATCGACTGGTGTACCTGCTTAATCGACAGTGAAATGTAAATTAATTGGCCGTTTAACGCTTTTGCAATAATCAGCCATTTTAAGAGCTGTGAAATAAAACTGGTTTCAAGTATGTGGCATTAACATATTTTCAAAGAGCTAAGAAACTTCTAAGGAACTTAATAAATTATAAATATGAACTAGTACGATATAAATAAGTGACTTTAATGAACTGTGTGTAAAGAAAAGTTTACGAGTAAGGCTCACTCTTACAGTTGCAACAGCTACGGTTTCTTAATATAACCTTAAGGCTACTTTATATTGTTTTTAATTAAATAGTACATAACGTAACAAGTCTGTACATTGGTCTTTGATTAAAACTAGTCAATTAAGAGTTGCAGCACTACTATGACCACACGGCAACAATGTAAGTTGTTGGTCGGTCTCACTGTACTGTAGTCATTTGGCACGCACTCCTTTCTTCTTCTTTCGTTTAAAGAAGCAGCAACATCTAAATATCATTCTGATAAGCTCACATTCGGACATTAAACGGACATACTTAGTTTCATCGAGCAATTCGATTTCTTGAGGTTGGGTTATGGGAGTGTTGCTGTGTCCGGCGGTAGGGTCGTCGGCGTTCAGCTCGCCGTTGGTGGAACTCACAACCTGAACCGAGCCGTGTCGATCGGCAGGAGTCAAGTTGCCTAAGGTGCTCTGCTTCGACGCCTCAGGCCAGGCGCTCGTTTTACCCGTATTCTGCGTAAAAATCATTAATAACACAAATTACAACTAAATGCTTACCTTATTTGACATGTGACGTTCGCGGTTCGGCGAGACAAGTACATCGTGAGCGATTGTTTGTATAGATAAAATTGGTGTACTCTGTTAAAATAACATTGCCGTTAGTGTATGTACAATTTGCGGGGGCAAGTAGCATTAAAAATAATATTTAAATCTAGACAAAATGAGGTGACTACTTAAAGGTGCCGATCATAAAACTGATCTGATTTTTTATATCCTACAGTAAAAAAAAGTACAAAAAGTCCGCCATCTTGTCTAATCGATCGACGCGCGCGGGCAGCTACTAGGTACTCTACGCACGCATGCGCCAATGAAAGCAAAGAGACGTGTGGTTTCGCTGCTAAAGACAGGACAGGACCGAACGCAAAAGCAAATTTTCGTAAAATAGGCTCAACCGCTTCATAAAATACAGTTGCTCAGCTGAGCCACTAAATGCAGGATTGTCAAGCGCCTATTGTAACATAACACTACCCAAGAAAACTACTTGTGACCCGAAAAACAATATTTCACAATATTTTTAATTTAAGAGTGTCATGACAATGTTAAAATAGTCCACTTTGGTTTAGTCGAGGAGGCTTTGAAAAACCTATTTGGCCTCATTAGGAAAACCTACCAGACTTTTTTTGATTTCAAACCGTAAACATCATTAAACAAACTATAATTTATTATGCAAAGGCTTTAACAAATAAAAGTCCTATCTACTAAAAATTAACTGTTTTAACAGTCATGCTACATGTTCAATCTAGGTATGAGATCGAGTGGATGTGGGGTAGAATGTATGGCGGTAGACCGCCACTTCTACCAAATTGAAAACCTTACACCCCAAATGAGTAAAAGCATTTGCTAAATACTAATTTATTACTTATCAGTCTTTGGTTGTATACAATTAATTTTCTTATGTATCTAAACAATCGTAAGCGTTTTTCTGTTATTGTAACCTAATAGTACTTGTTTCATACACATATTTATTTCTCTACTAAGCTAGTAATCATAATGTGCATACAACGTGTCCTTGCCCTGAAATCGCACTGTATTTTTATTTATTTATTTGTATTTTTATACAATCTAAAGCAATTGGCGACTGTATCACACCAAAGAGTAACCATAATAAGACATCATATGCATTGTGTGTTGCCTAACAAATTTTATAGCTTTTTCTCAAGTGCAGAAATCCCAGCATTGCCCAATTTTTAGTGTTTGCTTGTTGTACTTACTTAGGTATTATGTAATTCCATTCTACGCTTATGGTACAATTTATTAAGGTCCGAACGCTTGTTGGTTTGATTCATAAGTGCGAAAATATGTTCTTCGTGTAACAATAAGCCGTTTTTTGAGCGGTAAATAATAGAAATAAACGAAAAAAGCGCGGAAGAAAAAATAGGCCAATAGACGTTTTATAGCATTTATTGTACAAATAATAAGATAATTAAAGATTCCCGGAAAAAATATTGAAATCACTTTAATGTTTGCTAGCCAAACTATAAACAATATAATAAATCCAAAATAAACTGCCCCAATTGGATTATGGTTGTGATCAAACGGTTCAAATCAGTTAAAAATGTGATCTGTGGATCAACGCAACCCCACCTCTTTAAAAATGGTTTCTTTTGCGATAACTGAAAAACTGTTGGCCGATTTGGACCATATTTTTTATCAGTAGATGTGTCTAATGTCCCCTTTAATCTCGTTAAATTTCAGTCCGTTCGACCCACGCATTCCGGAGATATTTAAACGCTCCAGAAGCGTGAATGCCCGTGTGGCGCAGATCAGTTAGCGCTGGACTGTGGTGCTAAGGGGTCCCTGGTTTGAATCCGGGTTCGGGAATGGATATTTGTAAATGTATAGTGGGTTGGGTTGGTAGAGCAGCCTTGGCTGAAACCCCGCCCACTCAAAAATAAAGGCAAAATAAATAAAATAAATAAAATAGAATAACGTGCAAATATTTAATTAAATTTATTTGACGGGTGCAGATTTATTAATTTATTATTTAACTGCACTATATATTTTGATCGATTATTGGAATAGACTGATGTTTTTTTTTCTAAGGACATAAGGATTATTGCATTGTGTGTTAACTTTTAAGAAACAACTCAGCGTATGTAGGCATCTATACAAAATTAAAACAAACAAAATTTCCTGTAAAATAATCGTTATGCTCATCATAAAATCCAATTTGCTAGTGCATTTTATAAAAGATGTTGTCTACTTTAATTTGATTGTAGGAGATGATCTAAAAAGGATGGATATAATAACAAATTTAATTTACATTTTTACAAATGTACATGTTATTGGTTATTCAATTAACTAGTAATTACTGTGTATTCAATAGATGCCAACTAAACAGGAAAATACAAATGTAATTAACAATAGGTACTGAATTGTTGCTGATTTCTTTTATACTTAAGTAATGTTTTCTAATTATATCATGTCCACATTTTATACAGCCAATAAGAAAGAAAATTAAATGAGACAACCACGTAAATAGTTTAAACCGAAATTCTATAAATTTTCAATACGCGGCAATATTTAAAGAGGCAGTTAGTTCTGGCGACCTCTACACGAGGGCGCGCTTTTGGAATCCTAGCGGGCAAGTTCTTATGACCAACACGCGTTTATACCATTGCGCTGTTTCTCTTACTATGGGTACTCTTTGATCACACTATGGTGGGTGCCAGGACATTCGGACATTGCACGCAAAATGAAGGCCAAACAAGCAGTCAGGCGGAAGACAATAGGGCCGGAGCCCTTCTATGGACTGCACAAAGCCCACATAAAATAAGCCCTAAACGAGTGGGAGGCGATTAATAGGATCCACCACTGGCGGAGGGTACCAGGACAACGACAGGCCACATTACAAAAAGCCAAGGAAGCTCTTGCCCTCAATAGGAAGGACCTATGGTCCATTACAGGGCTGTTCACAGGCCGACAGTACCATCTACATTCTATGCGAATGCAGAAGCTGAAATCCCATGAAATAGGGGAACTAAACCTCAGAGCAGTAATTAGCTTCTTCCATCAGCGAAAACTACTCTAAAATGAGTCAGGGCAGTACAAAAATCCTCAAACGCATCGTTACAAATCAACAGGGTATTAAAATTTCAAGATTTTTTAAGTTGTTTCTTTATATCTGCTGCAGTTTTTGAGATATTGTGCTCAAATTTCAAATATGAAGGGCTTACGTCATTGGTCGCCACAATGGTAGTGAGAATCTACAGAGTGTTGTTTTTTCATGTACCATTTTCTACTCCCAAACTTTTTTCTGTGCGCCACTGGTAGATTGTAAATTAAGTGATATTGAGGATTGGACACTGATATATGATAACATAAAATCTCATTTGGTATGATTAAAATGTGCGAACTCATATGACAATGGTTTATGATAGGCACTGTTCAATAGTCCCCTCTCAGTTCATCAGTTACCGACATGAATCTGAAAGTACATACGCAACAGGCGAATAATTCAATTTAGAGCTAACAACTTACCACACACCAACGAAATTTATATTTATCTAGCCGCTACAATTATTATCAAAAAGCGAGTGCCGACGGAGTACAAAGAAAAATTGGTGATGACACATCATTAGCGTTGGTGATACCATTAAAGTTACAGTACCTTTGCGGATTTCGTTTTTACAACGTTAGACGGCGGAGCATTACGTATTTGTTGCAAAATATACAAATATGGAGGCTGCTCCGAAGAAGTAGTAGTAATTTTAGAAATGAATAAAAAAAACAATTTTAGTAATAAAATAGCATAATACCATTGTCTTCCCGGTCCAATCGAATTCTCCGTCGTTTACGTATCCGCGCCTCTCGAAGAGAACTGTAAATAGGTTGCGAAGGTATTCGTAGTCGGGGGTTTCGAAAAAGTCTAATCGTCGAACGTATCTAAGATATTGCGCCATTTCTTCTGGGTGGCCTTCGCAGAGAACGTCTATCGGTGTGGCGCGTTTCGTGTCGCCGATTTTTTGATAACGCTCCTTTAAAGTATCCGCCTAGAAACAGGTATTATTAGTAGTCGAAACAGTTGGGGCTGCACCGCTTACTTTTAATCCCTGCCATGGTAAAGAACCTCGAAGAAAATACATAAACATATGCCCGAGGGCTTCTAAGTCATCCCGGCGTGACTGTTCTTTGCCAAGATGGGTGTTGATGGACATGTAACGAGCTGTTCCTGTAAGAGACTTGTGTTCTCTGTATGGGATGTGTTTGTTTGTTTCTAATTCTATGTATTCCTTAGCTAATCCAAAGTCTATAAAAGTCATATTAGCAGACGGACGCTTCGTTCGCAAAAACTTTACCTATTATATGTATAATTTTCTCTCTTTTTGTACTTGCACGGCCTATGAGAAAGTTTTCGGGCTTCACATCGCGATATATTAAGTGTCGACTATGCACATACTCAATTCTATGTAGCTAAAAATTCGCGACATTGCAACATCCTTATTGAGATAACGAATCGCTACTTACTAGCTGGGTCGCAATCATAAGGACAGTCTTTAGTGTAAACCTACGATCGCACAAATCGAAAAGGTCTTCAAGGCTTGGCCCCAATAATTCCATTACAAGAGCGTTATATTTACCGCAGGGACCAAAGTAATACACGTCGGGTATACCTTCCGCTGAAAGAAGAAATACAAATTTAGTTAGCGGAAGACTCACCTTACTAAAGTATTTACAGGAGTACCTCTTGATAAAAACAAATCGATCGATTATATCAACATGTAAAAGATGGCGCGTGCGCCTGCGCAGAAAATAAACTTGAATTTGTAGACCGAATTTACTGACATTTTTTTAATAATAATAATAATTTATTGTCCAAACAGACTATCTAGTCTAAATACAGGACAAACTTAAATATTGTTCAATAAAAGCCGCACAGAAATATAGAAAAATTAACAAAAATGTAACAAAAATAATGATAGATTTATAACTAAAGCGAAAGAAAATTGTTAACAGAGTTATACAATAAACAAAATAAAGTCATAAATCAAAATACAATATTGGTAAATAAGAGAAATTGTATTAGTGCAATGGCAAAAGCAAAAAAGAAAAAGACAAAAATTATTGGATCATACTTATAAGGAATTTTAAATTAGTGTTAAAAATATCAACAGTATCGCATACCGAGTTATAATTATGACACATTCGATAAATTGGGGAATTTTGTAAGAGATTTGTTCTGCAATAGGGTAATTTAAAAGTTAAAAAATGTGAACATTCCAAGTCTCAACGTCTATCTAACATTCCCTCTTTGATAAGAGGCTTAATAATAAATGTATCAACTTTTGATTTATCTTCAAATGTAATTGAATCTTGATAAACAAATAAAAGAATGTTCACTAGGTTATCCAAGAGATGATAATTATATATCTGCTAAATGTGCTTCATGACTTGTTTGATACCTAAACTGTAATTTCTTTCTTCACCAAAACTTGCAATTGAGGTAATAATAAAGAGTATTATTATTATTATTATTATAAAAGCACCTTTACAGAACTATTTAAAACTGTGATTCCCAACTGATAAAAGTCGGTAGAGACACTAGTAGGTAAAATGTGTATGTACAGTGGAGTCAAGGGCGAGTAAGTGGAGTAAATAGTGGGTTTTTCGGGTCTTTAAAGCGTATGATATAACTTTTAAACTCCCACGTATCCTTGACCACCTGACGACTTGCAAGCAGTTAGTTTATATTTTTATCTCACACAAGACAACATTCCAATCGTTTCATTTATAAACAAAAATTAGCCCCAATATCGATCCGATGAAAGACCAAACGCAGGACTACCCAACATAAGTTACTTATGATTAGGCCATTTACAAAAATGTTTATTATTTCTAGGTTAATGCGCCAATGGCCAGACAACCGTCGTTGCATGTCTATTCCATTACAAATTCAATGCTTTTATTTATTAAGAAAAGAAAATTAATTACAATGCATAATAAATTACAAAATTATATAAATTCTACTTACCATGTGAACCAAGCAATTTGTAAAACCGGTACTCTAAATGCAACTGGGGTGCTTTTGATTTCATAGGTTCCAGCTTAATGGCAACGTGTTCATTATTATAAAGATTTTTGCCTAAAACAATACACAAGTCAATGTGAGAAACAGATTGTTTTTAATATTGAAAGAAATGACATAATTAATAAAAATCTACACAGGGTGCACCCTAACGGTACCCAATGACTTGCACTCCAAGTCCCTGTATTCATGTCTTGGTGCATGGTGGAAAAATAACGGACATAATGTTTACATATGTTGTGTAAACGGTTAGTATACAATAGTGAGCCTAATATCACTCCCTGGTAGATATCACTATCCTGTAAATGTGATAAAAATCTAAGACTACAGTAATATATTAAACGAAAAACCTGTGATTAGTATTATTTTCTGTTACCTAGACGCAGTTCTCCGAAGTTTCCACAGCCTATTTTCTTCCCAACGCGAAAATTCGGGCCGACCATAAGAACGCCCGAGCTTGAATTCACAGAATGCCTCGATGAATGCGTTTCACCACCCGTAGAAGCACCTAACGACAAAACAAGTTTATTAATAACATAATGAGGGGCGCGTTCAAAGCGGCGAGAGGTGTGCACAAATGGGAGCGAGAAAAGATAAATCGATGAAATGAAATGTAATAACGTACATAGTGTTAGAAACTTGAGAGAGTTGAAGAGGTCATTATGAGTGGCTCACACTAAAAGAAGTTTTTATTTTAAGAAACTAACACCACTAATAGTGGTCCTTACTCATTATCACACTGGTGATATGAAGAAGTGATGGGAGTAGATTAACAATAATATCCACTGGGAAGACAATAGGTCCTAAATAATAAAGTATACGGATAACCAAAAAAATATTAATTTGATTACATACCATGCCGTTTAGAATTCTTCCTGGGCTCCATTTTGCAAAATTTTTCTGGATCTGAAAATAAAAATGACAGTTAAGTAGTGTTCCATTTTCATACAGATGATCAGGGCTTTATTATAAATTTTAACTAATTACCTTTATGCGAGGGATTGTTTTTGTAAAAGGGCTGCCAAACATTTTGAAAAATATGATCGCATTGTTAGAAAGTGATTTTGCTAAGAACCGAGAGAATTGCTATAATTACGAAATTAACTGATAAAGGGAGCACTTTTTATCAATGCAATTGTTTGTATGACCTTGTGAAGCATCAGTAAAATATTTGTTGAATTGTATCTATTTCAAAATGTATACAATACTGCAACTAATTCCGTACGACTTGTNTTGTCTCTAATTTGTTGAACGTCATCCTGTATCATCCCTGTGCTATTGTTCATAATTTAAACTCTACAATAAAATACTTGCACGATAATAAATAAGCGATACCATTTCAAAACTAGAAATTATTATATAACAATCAGAAATAGAATAAAGAAAGAAATGCAAAGAGTAAAAGTTTATTATGGATGACAAGGTATACAAACAAAGAGCTTCAAACTTGGAGTGGATTGCTCATTCAAAGGGTCCTTGGTTAAATTGAGAGCTAAATGGTGAATTTGTATTTTTTTCAGCATTGGAATATTTACACATGTTCCGCTTCATAGCGAACGTGAACGAAGGTATGTCTGGCGATACCAAGAACGTCTAAAGAAAAATGAAACTTGACCAGCCTTTGTTTCTATTATACATTTAAGCAACTAAAGTCATTGTTCAATAAAACCAGAGCATTAGATTTTGAATTTGTTATTACCCTAAGCAGACACCTCACTGTAAAGCCGGACACTGCCCTCATTCAAGAACCCTGGGTTGTTAAATCAAGGGTTTCTGATCTTGAGATTACAAAAGGAAACGTTTTCTTTGACACACTGAAATAAACTGAATTGGAGCAAACATATTCAGCTCACAGCGGAAAAAGTAAATAGGGCTCCTTGGAAATGTCGCCGCGCAATTGGCAGACTTGGGGGACTATTCCCTGTGACTGTACACTGCCGTGACCAATGTTCTGTTATGGAGCACTTGTCTGGTGGCCTAGAATCTGATTCGACAACCCTATCACTTCTTGATCAAATGCAAAGACTAGTCAAATTCCTCAAAATTATGTTCATTTCTTCAAATTTTCAAAATTCCCCAAAGCTCTTACGTTTCCTCAAATTTAGGGAAATGTATTTCACGCAACATGATAGTGGCATGTAAAACTAATGCATTTTTAATTTCCGAAACAGCATGTCAGAAATTAATAAATGGGGAGCCCCCCTTAAGATAACAATTTGAAGACCGTCTGGCACACTTACAAGATACAGGTTACTTATCGCAAAATATTTTTCAAGGCTCCAGTTTTATTCCGCTAAAAGTATTTCAAAACAGCAGAAGTAGGTTGGAACGGACAGATGGACAAAACGAAAACAACGGCACATTTTATTTTAACTTAAAAAATTCGTAAAAAGTATTTTTAGAGACGTAATCTCCCGCTCGTTTTCCTGTAAAAAATGTACGCTACTAGTAAATCTCGTAGTAAAATTAGAAAAAAAAAAGCGGTAAAAAAACAGTCACCTAATTGCATCACGTAATGTTTTGCAAACGTCACCTTCAGGTAACGATAACTTTTTAAATGGTGGTTATTAATTCCATACCCAAACATATTAATGGCTCTTTTTTATTACCCTACAGTAAAAGTTCTATTTTTCCATTTCGCTTGCTCGCTTGAATTGAACGTTAGATCTGTAAAAACCGATCGAATTAATCAATCGATTTATTGGTTTGATACGCGCCATTTAATTTCACCACTGGCATTCACGATTTTTTGTAACTGATTTCACATTTGAGCAATCAAGACGACCCGTGACCGTTTATGAAAATGCTTGAGCTTCAATTTTTGAAAATGCTAGAAGGGCGTGCATGTGAAAGCTCTGGGTGAACTCGCAAGGAATTGAAGTTCATTTAGAAAATGCCATTTGGGCAGAGGAACAGGCTTTCTTGCGTTCAACAAACAAACGTCTAGTTTTGTTTCTCTTTAGGGCTTTAACGCAGTTAGAAGCTTGCCTTGAATGCAGCACGTTGCAAGTAGGTACACTGTTTGCACATGCAATAAGAAGAAAACCGTAACAATACGTTCAAAACAGCTCCAATTTCATGTTAAGCCACACTCTGCAATAGGGTGGGCCGAAAAACGTTTTTTTTTTCAAAAATTTGGAAATTTCGTTTTGGAATAGTTCGCAAAAGTTGCCTTTTCTATTTCCAATGAAAATGTTTATGAATAGTTTTTTTTATTGTAATGCGTATTTTGCCCCCTACAGCGATTTAAAATTTAAAAAAAAAATAAAAAATAGAAATTGGGAATTTCGAATTGGAATAGCACGCAAAAGTTTCCTTTTGTGATTTCGATGAAAATATTCATTTACATGTTTTAAAATTTACTACGTCTTGTGCACCCTACTAGCCCCTGAAGATTGAGTAATTTTGTAATTTTCTAGTTTAATGCCATTTATTTTTTTATAAATGGGTCATTTCTTCGTGAAATGTTTTATTATCAAATTTTGGCTTTAATGGCGAATAGAACTACATTCTATATATACCCACCTGAAACAAACTAAGAAGAGCTAGAGAACATTCAAGGAACAAAACTATGATTTCGACAATGTTTGAACCTATCACCGCAATTTATTTTGATGACCGCAAAGATAAAACCTTAACTATTGAAGAAATAGATGGCAGATCCCATAGAAGAACGATAGTAAGTTGAAGAACATATTTCTTTGATTCAAGAACCAGGTTCAGTTTTCCTGGGTCATACAATACCTTTGTAGGGATCAGCAAAGGACCTGTTTCGAAGTATAGTTGATTGTTTACAAGAAAATGACTTTGATTGGTCTGGATTATTAGCAGTGGGGTGTGATGGCACTGTAGTCAACATGGGATTAAAGAATGGAGTTATCACTCAACTTGAATCAACGTTAGGACGTCCTTTACAGCGATTTATCTGTCAACTTCACGCCAATAAGCTAGCATTGAGACATCTGTTTCAGGCACTTGATGGCGGAACAACCGGTCCTAATACATTTTCAGGTGTATTGGGTATGAATTTAGTTACTGATTGGCTTACTTTGGCAAACCGCCTATTGCGTCTCTATATTTCGACGGAAGAACCCAGCTCAAACTTAAAAGAATTGACAAATTTTGTTCTCAAAGTTTATGCTCCGTTGTGGTTTTTAATTAAATTGAATACATCGTATTCAAATGGGCCAAAGCATGTTTGGCAAACCATTAACCTAAGTCGATATTTAAGAGACGCTTTGAAAAGAATTATTGATCCAGTTATCCAACGCAATGCATATTTTGCACACCCAGAGAATTTGTTAGTATGTATGCTAAGTGACCCTCGACCCCATATCAAAGAACTTGCCATTCGACGGATTTTAAACGCTAAGAGAAGGGAAAATCACTAACTTAATCGACTGGCATAATAATGAAATAAAATTCCTTATCAGTTGTTTGTTTCCAAAGAAGAGATGGGTTTATAAAAGCAAGGTTAGAATCTCGTAGACTAATACCCCAATTTGAGAGCAAAAAAGACTTCTTACAATAAGTTTATCCGTTTTACATTTTATTACGGGGTCGATTTCTTCATTTGTTTGTTCGTTTAATGTAAAAGTGTAGTGTAAGATAATAAAAAAAATAATAAACAGAATGAAAAATTTGATTCTCAATTTTTTTTTATAACTTGAGCGTCGGTAGGGGGCAGAAGACTCAATGTAATAAAAAAACGACAAATAAACATTTTTGTTACTATAACACATGGCATCTATTGCGCTCTATTTCAAACCGAAATTCCAAATTGGATTTTCTTTTTTTTTTGAAAATGTTAAGTTTCGGTAGGGGGCAATAGATAAATGACAATAAAAAAATAGTTAATAAACATTTTAATTATAATAATAAAAGGCTACTTTTGCGAACTATCCCCCAGTGAAATCTTAAAATTTGATTTTTCGGCCCACCCTACTCTGCAATTTCAGCAAATGCTCCAGCTGCTTAAATCAAATAATTTATTAAATTTTGAGAGTGAAACTCTCGGTGAAACCTTTAGGTGCATAAGCTACTGTTTCAATTACGTTGATCCCAGGCAATCAAACAATAAGCTATGTTAAATCTACCATAATCTCTTACAAAATCTTTAAATCCGAAGGCAGTAACTTAAATCTTTATATGGGCTTGTAGTGTTTAATTCGCGCAGACAAAAATGAGATGCTTGTCCATGGATTGACACCAGCAGAACTCACCTAGCAGTGAAGCTTACGATTGTCCAAATCGACTTCCCATAAAATTACATACTTTTTAAGACTTTTAGGACAGTTTCGAATCCCATTTCAAAGCAAGTCTCTAAGTCAGTGATTGATTTCCGCTTATTTTCTCAATATTTCTCTATAATTTCCTTGTTTGAAATATCCTCCTATATTTCCCCAGAATTTCCTCTAATTTCGTCCATTTCCTACATATTTCCCAGCTTCATACTAAGCCGGCCGAGATAAAATATAAACAGAAAAGGAATAAAGCCCTTTTAGTTGTTATCAGACCCAGTTTAAGCTGGGGGTCGGTGAGTACGTGATTTTTCAAAACACCGGGCCGCCGCCGGGAGGATTAATACATTAATGCCGGCTTTATGGTTTTGTGGTAGAGCGTTGGACTGTAAATCCGGAGGTCGGGTGTTCGAACCTGGGTTAGGGTGAATTTTTCACCAGTTTCGAGCATTCTACCGGCTACTCCGAATTAAGTTTTCCTAATTCGTAAGGTAAATACCGGAGTAGTATAGAACAACTTAAGACCTTCTGCAGAGGCACCTTTAAAAATTTTAAATTTTAACAGAAGCAGCGGTTTAAAATTAAGCTCCCTCCCCACACCACTATGAAAAAAATTTATTGCGAAGTGATTAGTGAAAGTGACATAAATGAAGTGCCGAAGAAACACGGTTTAAAATTGAGGACTCCCCCTCCCTCCCACTATGAAAGAAATTATGGCCCCTCCCTCCCAACGTTTATAGCAATTTATTTTAAAGTGTAATATATAAACAGCTCGCGGTTTAAAATTACGCGCCTCCCCTCTCTCATACGACGAAAGGAATTTATGACCCCCCCCCCCCCGGTCGTTATAGAAATTTATTTTACAGTGTAATATATAAACAGCCCCCCTCAGGATCAAGGAAATTTTGCGATATGATAAGTGAAATACATAAAAAGCCGGGAACAAAACGCGGTTTAAAATTAAGCCCCCCCCCCCCTTCTACCATTACAGACATTTATTATGATCGATTATATTAATTATGCTGAAGCTGTTTTCGCGCATGTGCAAAAAAGTAACTTTCTTACTTGTGGACTATTTTTTGCAAAATTTTAATGGTATATAGTTCTTATAAAAGGATTGGACATCCATGTCAAAAATTCCTACATCGATTAGATACTTCACTCAATAAAAAGGAACTATCACAATAAAAGGAAAGTGATGGGTCTCAACAGATACTACAGATACAACTAATTTTTTGTTTAAAGTAGTTGAGGAATATTTTCCGAAATTTGGTGCCATTAAAACCCGCGTTAAAACCTGTATTCCCTACGTAAAAACGATACTCTAGCTAGACAAAGAAAAGTTAAAATGAAACCGCTTTTCTAGAAATTGTACGTGACTAAGAAGCAACCCATCTTTTCATTACAGAGTTCAAAATTAAGGGGCCTCATTCAAAATTTTGAAGTTGGAATAGCCTTGAAAGTCGAGATCAAGGTCATCCTCGAGCTGACCACCGATTATCCCCTTTAGAATTGCACAACTTTTATGAAAAACTTTTTTCCAAAAAGTATGATCCCAACAAGTTATTAAATCATCAAGATAAATGAATCACCTGGTATACCCTCGGGTATACCTATCATACATATTTACATTTATTTGACACATACAAGCATAGACTACTATAACTAGTACTAGTCGTTATAGCAGGCTCCGATACAAGGCAATTTTCCTTTAATTATATATTAATTACATTTTATTTTGACATTTTTTGACTGCGTTAAATAAAACGTGATAAGTTTTTCACAAAAGGACCACTGAATGTTCCTTTCCAAAAAAATATCCCCCCCCCCCCCCCCGTAAACTTGTGGTGTTATTGTTTGACAGTCACCTCCTAAAAATTATGGTTAAGTCTTGGGTTAAGTGCTAAAACCACTAAATAGTTTGGGGGAGAATTGTGAACTGGGGGTCTGGAGGGTATGGAATACTCCCCAGCAAATTAAAGTTTCAGTGTTCCTTTTTCTACAACTATCATAAGGTCGAGCATAAAATTTTCGTTTGCCAGAGGGAATGGCTGGGAGTTATTCCATACCTGGCGAAATATTTTCTACCGTTTGCAAGTGATTGCGAGACGCACAAACATCCCCAACAAAAAATAATTGAAGGTGTCAGTCGTCAATTAACAATTGAGCCAGTTGATTTTAATAAATAAATTCGGTACAATTATTTGATATTAAATGTCATTTGGACAATACCAAAAAATCAGTCTGACACTTGGTCTAAACAAAATACCTAGGAAGACTAGGATATTTCTAGCAATCCTAATAAGTTTCCAAAGTGTTTCAGGAAAATTATAGGGATTGAGCGTATTTCAATTTTTACAACACGATTCTTCTGATGATTCGAGAGAAAATTCTTCAAAAAGTTTTTGAACAAAATTTTGAAAGAGATTCCCAAGGAGATTTATAAACTTCTGAGGTTTCTAACAACTATTTAAAAAAATCCCCCAACAAATTTCTGAGATAGTCTTGAAGGTTTTTAAAAAGGTTCTCACGAATTTATAGAACAATAGTCTGTCTATTCGACATGCAAGAAGAAAACACAGTTAACAATAAATTCTTTATAATACTACAAATACCTTGAAATACCAAATCAAAAATACCAATACCAAAATATCTACTAAGTATCTTCAAAATTAAAATACCTCAGCTTCTTTTTTCAAAAACCGACCTTTAGCAAGCATTGAGAAAACTACCTAAAACAAAGTATGAACAAATGTTGTTTAAAAACAAGTATAAAGATCTTGGAAAATTGGACCATTGCCTAAAAGGACCTACAAGACAATCATTAACAAACAAGACATATGATTCGCATGGACAGTAATAATAAAAAGTTACTACTGTTGTAATTACCTTAATCCCCAAGATGCAAGGTGATGAAATATTGAGCCCCCTTAAATCTCAGGGAATCTGATACAAAATCTTTAAATCCGAAGGCTGGTAATCTTAACCACACAGATAAAAATGAAGAATCGTCCAAAAACCGGCCTCACCGTAAAGCTAACCCTATGGGGGATTGCGCAATTAATAATCAAAAGCGAGTAAATCATAAATCATAAAAATACACAAATGCAAGGTTAAGGCTAACGTACAGTATGGCTTCATAGAAACGATTGTATTAGCAAACCTATTTTCTGTTTCAATGTAAATAACGTAATTCTAAATATACAACTAAGATAATAACTTTACTTACTGCTGCTTCTCGACTTTTAAACGAAACCTTTTTACCTACTACGTTCATAGATAAGATGCCTTATCTGCAGGTTAAGATCTGTTTGCAAACCCAATTTGAAATTTCTGTCGTTATAAATTTTCTAGAACACAATTTAAATTATCACTGCTGATAATGGTCTTAGTTCGTTCGTGTAGATAACCTAACAGAATTTAATTAAACAGCTCAGGCTCCGGTTTCCTATTACATAGAATTAGGATACAAGGTGACATTCGATTATAAAACCTAATCACCAAATTGGAATCTAGTTTAACGAAGGTAACAGATTGGTGTGCAGCCTTAGAAATTTGTGTAAAAGCGTAAAGCGTGGTCGCACATACAAATAAAGTTAAATGCAATTGTTACTGGTACCTGTTTTAAGAAGCGAGTTCGATGCAAGTGGTCAAATGCGATTGAGCTGAATGGTTGAGAAGTTCCAACAGTATTCTTTATTAAATAAAATTGTTTTAGAGTAAATATCACATTTTGTTTTTATCACAGTGCCTAAAAAGTAAATTCCTCTGCTCCATCAACTGGTCGCAATATTCCTCGATCGAAATCAGAATGTGCCGCAGAGTTCAGTACAACACCTCCGACGTTAGCACGACTGAACATTTATAAACACTGGAAATGTCATATTTCAATGATTATAATCCCAGTTGTAAAGTTGAACGCCATTACAAAGCTGGTACCGGGTCAACGTCATTTCTGCCATTAAATACGGGTTATTTCGCAGCGTGCGACTCTTGCGTCTTCCCTGTACATTTAAGAAAGATCTTCCAAACATCTATTGATAAAAACGAACACTCCAACTTCACTATAAGTCTAATTATTCACAATCATATGAACACTTACGATAAAACCGATCCCAGTGTAATACTACAGACATTATTGGGGGTCATTTCTCGAACGCGCCTGCGTCATCCAACTTTTCAATATGTCATTTACATACAAAAATAACTTCAATATTTATCCACAACAGGCGTTATTACCGTAAATCTCGGAGTGGTCACTTAAATATACGAAAATACACCCGTTTATCGTATTCCAAATTTGTTTAACGATACAATTATCTAATCCGTCCGTACTAAAGGTCTAAATTCAAAACAAGGAAGGCGTGGTAAATCATATGGCGGTTACCATGGGAACTTCGTGCGATCGTATACGGTTCGAAAAATTTCGCGCCAAATTCGCGGAGACACTGCAGATGAACGCGGTTCTCCAAATTGCGAAAAGGGAAAATCTAAACCACCCACACGAAAAAGTGCCGCCTACGCAATAGTGAGAAAAGCTTTCCGTGAAAATTACGTAAATCCCAATTACTTCACGGACTCAAATGTGATTCATCGATTACCGTGCATTTCGAGTATCTGTAAGACGTGCGGCGCCATCTAGAGGTGCTGCATATGAGTTGTTACTGTAGTTACATCAACTAGCGCGAGAATGCAGCACTGATTTCGTTTTGCTTTTTTCGAACCAGTGGCGTAACTTACGGAAGCCTGTATACCGAGTTCCGACATCATATTCTTCTTAGTCAGCGCATCTATCGAGGTTCCGCGTGTTCCAGCCCACGACCTTAAAGGAGTATATAGGCATTAAACAACCAATTGTTTAACTGTGGGCTATTCCACGAATGTAGTAGTAGCGTTGATTAGGGGTTGTAACTTTTGCAGCGCACCGAATATTTTTGTATCTGTGATCGATTTTGTTTAAATAATTTATCAGCAACCCCGAAACTCCCCTATGAAAATAAAATTCATTCACGTTTTCAACTTACGTAATTTTTTAGAAAATTCACCCTTACATGCACTGAGATCGTCGATTGGGAGGTTGTAACTATTGTAATGCACCAGAGCTGGCCAGAATACTTTCAAAAAGTACTTGAATACTAAATAGTAAATACTTTACACAAATCAAAGGTATTTGAACACTATAAAAAGTATTCGAATACTTTGAAAAGTACTTAGTTCATTATCTTACTTTGAAAAGTATTCGAATACAGTAAAAAGTATTTAAATACTTGTCACTCAAATACATTAAAAATTTAAAATAGTATACTAGATAAAAGGCTTAATACTACTTAAAAAATCAAGTTATACTTTGTATGGGGTTAGCTTTTTTTATATTTCTATTGTCTTTCTGAAATTAATCCTAGCGATTTTGGAACAGATCCATTTTTGACCATCCGTTTGTCCGTGTGCATGATAACTTGTTTAGAAACGTGCGATCGCTTTGAAAATTGGTACACATGGTCTTAAGGATATAAGAAAGGTCCCTATTGTTTTTAAGTTACGTAGACTATCGAGTCAAAAAGTTTCACCCCAGGATCGTTCGGTATTCAGTTGTATCGGATTTTTATATTTGATTTTGTGATAATGGAAACTTTCCCTAAACATTTCTAAATAGTTCTCAAATACTTGAATAACTTAAAAGTACTGCCTTTTTTTGATCCCCGAAAAAAAAGTCTCAGATCGACCCGGAAAAAAATTTTCTTATAGAATGTGGCCTGTAGAATCCATAATTTTAAACAGTTCCAAGATTGGGCTACTAGTTCAAAAGTTACAGCCCTTTGAATTTTCTTTCGAAATTGGTTTCTTTTGATTGAGAAGTCTGATCGAAAAAGTACGAATTGTTTTGGATTCTACGCACCAAAATTAATAAGAAAAAGTGTTTTCCCGAGAAATTTTGGTGCAGTTGATTTTTGGTAGAAAAGGAAGGTTGTACACTGTCTTTTTTTGAGGCCCTCAGAAAAAATTGTCTCAGATCGACCCGGAAAAAAAATTTTCTTACAGAATGTGGCCTGTAGAATCCATAATTTCAAACAGTTCCAAGATTGGGCTACTAGTTCAAAAGTTACAGCCCTTTGAATTTTTTTTCGAAATTGGTTTCTTTTCTAGTCTATAAGTTTTGATTGAGAAGTCTGATCGAAAAAGTACGAATTGTTTTGGATTCTACGCATCAAAATTAATAAGAAAAAGTGTTTTCCTGAGAAATTTTGGTGCAGTCGATTTTTGGTAAAATAGGAAGGTTGTACACTGCCTTTTTTTGAGGCCCTCAAAAAAATTGTCTCAGATCGACCAGGAAAAAATTTTTTCTTATAGAATGTGGCCTGTAGAATCCATAATTTTAAACAGTTCCAAGATTGGGCTACTAGTTCAAAAATTACAGCCCTTTCAATTTTTTTTCGAAATTGGTTTCTAGTCTATAACTTTTGATTGAGAAGTCTGATCGAAAAAGTACGAATTATTTTGGATTCTACGCACCAAAATTAATATGAAAAAATGTTTTCCCGAGAAAGTTTGGTGTAGTCGATTTTTGGTAAAAAAAAAGGAAGTATTCAAATACTTTACGAAGTATCCAAATACTTTGCGAAGTATTCGAATACTAAATATTTGTGAAAGTATTTGAGTTACAAATATAAATGCTGCTTCCATAAAAGTATTTAATTACAAAGTATTTGAATACTTTAAAGGATTTGAATACTAAAAAGTAATTGCAAAATAGAATACTGTCCAGCTCTGTAATGCACTAAATACTTTTGTTTCTTTAGTCGATCGCGTTTAAACAATCTATAGGCAACCCCGAAACAGCCCTCTAAAAATAAATGTTATTCTTGTTTTGAACTTACGTAATTGTTTAGACAATTCAAACTTACATCCAAAGCAATCCTCGATTTCAGGGATTGTAACTTTTGTAGTGGTCCAAATGTTTTTGTTTCTTTGATCGATTATGTTTAAATGATCTATCAGCAACCCCGAAACTACCCTATGAAAATAAAGTTCATTCTCGTTTTAAACTTACGTAATTTTATAGAAAAGTCACACTTATGCATAGCAATGACTATTCCAGCTCATAGGTATCATCTTTTCGAAGGGTGTTTTTCTTATCAAATTGCAAAACAATACAACTCGTTGCCAGCTTTTATCAAAAATCTTTCCTTGAAGCCTTTTAAAACACAAACGCGACTTTTACTTTATAGAAGTCAAATCCAATGTTAACCAGTTCTTTTAACTCTTTAAGTTTTTTTTTATTGTGTTTTTTCTACATTGTTACTAGTTTCATTTTCACATTTTTTTAACAAACACAGGTATACCGTTTTATTTAAGAGAAACATCACTCATTTCGCCATAAAAAAAAATGAAGTGTATATTGGGGTAAAGTGGAAGAGCAGACCAATTAGTCTGAACTTCACCCTTTCACTATTATATATTTGATATATCGTTATGCCTTATTTTTCATTTTTGTGTTGTTACTTTTGTATATAATATGTGAATAAAGGTCATCATTATTATTATTATTATTAATCGTTGATAAGGGGGATTGTAACTTTTGCAGCGCATCGAATATTCTTGTTTCTTTGATCGATAATGTTCAAATGATCTATCAGCAACCCCGAAACTACCCTATAAAGATAAAGTTCATTCACGTTTTAAACTTACGTAATTTTTTGGAAAAATCACACTCACATGCATATCAATCGTGGATTAGGGGGGTGTAAATTTTGCAGCGCACCGAATATTCTTGTATCTTTGATCGATTTTGTTTAAGTGATCTATAAGCAACCCCGGAACTGCTCTCTAAACTTAAATTTCATTCACGTTTTAAACTTACGTATAATTTTTTTAGAAAATTCACCCTTACATGCACTGCAATCGTCGATTGGGGGTTGTAACTTTTGCAATGCACTAAATATTTTTGTTTCTTTAGTCGATCGCGTTTAAATGATCTATAGGCAACCCCGAAACTGCCCTCTTTAAAAATGTATTTCATTCTAGTCTTAAACTTAACGTAAATTTTTATAAATTTCACACTTAATGCATAGCAATCCATCACTGCAGGGGTTGTAACTTTTGTAGTGATCCAAATGTTTTTATTTCTTTGATCTATTATGTTTAAATGATCTATAAGCAACCCCGAAAGTGCCCTCTGAAAATAAATTTTATTCTATTCTAACTTTATCGTTTTTTACATTTTTAATTTTAGAAAGGATACATTTTGACAAAGCGCCATCTTAGCTGGCATTATAGTGGCGACTTGAAACTTGTAAGGTGCAGTGCGGATAAAAATATCATTAAAAAAATTCAAAATGGCGCATAGTGTCAATTTTGCAGTAAAGTATACAAAACCGCCGAACGTCAGCGTAATAAAAGTAAAATTGTGGTGGTTTCCCACATTACATCAGCTGATCCTAAGTGAAAAACGCGAGAAATGAAATATTGCTATATCTTGTTTATTGCAAAAAAGACAATGGGCGCTGAGATGGAAATCATATATGTTTCCTTATTATCTTGTCTAGAATCCACCTAAAGGAAGAATGGTCGTGAGACGTTCCGTTGGGAGTAAAAAGGAGTTTACGAATTCTTTGTACTTTTTATATGAAAACACGCAATTCAGAAATCTATAGGATATAATTCTAACCTTTTGTAGGGTATACAGTTCGAAATAAGTCAATTCAAACATTTCAATATTTCTCAATAAAAAAGAATAAGTACCTAATACACCAATCAAATCGAAATTTGGTAGCTCTACTCTGCAACAGTTATGGGTAGGTAATTAAGACTTTTGGATGCACGAATAAAGGGAAACTTTAACAAAGCTTAACAAAGGAAGGGAATTAAAGTGGGTACTAACGATATACGTGCATAATGCATTGTTTTCTTATTACGTAGATGAATCGTTTGGCAATCCTATAATACAGACATAAAGGGAAAGAAAACGAGGTGGCAGAATCGTATTAACATTCCGAGGACTCGGTGCCGGCTTAAGCTTTACACATTGCGGTCCGATAGCCTTTTACTGATAGCAACCCATTTGTTCACCGACACTGATAAGGAACAAGAAATCTGCATATCAGATTGAACACCACCCGAAAGTAGTAAAACTGCCTTTTAGTTCTGAACAGGTTGCCCTTGTTAAACTAAACGCACGAAATTTGTGACGGTTTTGTTCATTGTCTTGCGTCGAATTGTTTTAGGAGGAAAGCAGCTTTCTGCACATAATTCATTTTTTTTAAATCAACCTATTTCCGAGTTGGATTTCATTACTTATGCATCCAATTCCTAAAATACCTACGGTGGGAAATGGAAACCACCCTTTCACTTAAAGGAAACGAATCAATGAAATCGCGGTTTGAATAAAACTGTATTGACACTTAATTTTGGATTCAGTGTAACTGGTATCATCGTTACATTACAATCCAGAGTTGTACAGATATCAAACAATATTTGA